AGTAATGGCACGAGCGTCTTCGGTTCGTCGGTTTGTTGTGGCGTGCATCCGACGCTGATACTGGTCTGCCATTGGATCCAAAGGCGACGGAAGGTTTCGAGATGCTGCAGTAGCTGCATCCAAAAAGCCCCTCTGAGGGTTCCTCGCAAGGGTATGACCTGGTGAAGGATCCATATGATTTTGCTGAGTACGTGTGTATGGTGACGCCGGCAATGGAGAAGGCCCATGAGCCAAGTACGGAAAGGAGAATGGGGAAGGGCCTGTAGCGATCGGACCCGATGTCCATGGAGCGGGCGTATCTGTTTGCCTGATAGGACGTATAGGGAATGATGGTTGAATGCTTGTATTCGCGACTGCAGTTCCATCAACATGAGAATAAGGACTGATATATGACACAGAATTCTCAGAGCTGGTATATCTCGATTCGGGAGGAAGGGAGCCATAATAAGAATATGCAGCACTGGTAACAGAAGTCTCGCTACCCAAGTGCCTTGCTGTCTGCCGTGTCCGGGGTGGATGTGATGAGCTCACAGAGGCCTGTTGAGTATTGGGGGATCGCGAGTCAGATGGTTGCGGGGGCTGCGTGCTGAAGACGTTCTCGAAAGGACTGTGAGTTGTGGGCCCTGACGTCCGGGATGGGTCGAGTTCAAAAGAACCCATGTAGGCCTCAGGCCCAAACGGGTTGGGACCTGGAGCCATAGTTGGTTGCGGGGGCTGCGTGTTGAAGACGTTGCCGAAAGGACTGTGACTTGCGGGCCCTGACGTCCGGGATGGGTCGGATTCAAAAAAAGCCATGTAATCCCCAGGCCAGAAAGAGTTCAAATATGGGTTTATACTTGGTGGCTGCATGCTGTAGGTGTTTTCCAAATGACCTGCAGATCGGCTTCTTATTGCAGGCACTTCACGGGCACTACGCCGCCGCGGCTCGCTTTCCCAGGACGCGTGGAAATCATACACATCGCCTGTTGGGGTTGATCGGACATAACCTTGTAAGTGACGTATTCCGCGAGGATCGCCTGGTGATTTGCTAGGATCGCCCGAAGGTTTACCCTGTGTACGTGAATTGAGCTTTGCATCTGAGAAGACTGGTATGTCATGAGCAGTCTCGACTTACCGACCCACCACCTCGTAGTCCAGGTGTACTATCAGCAGCAGATAGTGCATAGTCGCCACTCGTGTCATTGGAGCCAGACGTTGGACTTGTCAATATCTGCCTTTGAGGCGTACGAGGGACATTGGAGGGTGTGTCGTTGACCGGGGACTGTGCCGCTGATTCTGGGCGAGCTCGCATTGGAAGTTGCACAGTATGTGAGGCAGACGAGGCCGGAACGGGTACTGGGCCATCTTGTCTTTCCTGATGAGGCGTAGTAGGGTCTGCATGATGGCTGTTGCTACTGTCTGGGTCTATTGATGATGATATATCTTCACATGCAGATGTATTCTCGCCGTCCTCATCAACAGATGTGACAAGTGCTTGCTGTGGTTGCAAGAAGGGAATCTTGCCCAGGGCAGTGAGGGCATCCCGAGTTGCTCTCTGTGGACCACGTCGAAGGATGGGCCGTCCGGGTTGTCCTAGAGGGCGGCGTGGCAGAGTTGACTGAGGTCTTGTTGCCTGCCTGAGTGCTATGCGACGGAATGTCTCTTCGACATCGTCGGGCGTCAGGGTAAGTTCTGACGGGCGTAGGCGTAACATGCTGTACCAAATGGGAGCAAACGAGCGGCGGTCGCCCTGGACGGCGTGGAAAGCGATATAATGGAATCCAAGTGGAGGAGTGTAGCAGGATGGGAGAAAGGACACGACATGTTTGGTGATGCAAGCCTACCTGGTGATTGAGTGCCTACTTGTTGCAGTTTCCCTGGGGAAGCTTCACTGTCGTGCATTGTACCAGCGACGACGCGCGAGGCTGTCCTTGCCGGAAGATGATGTTATCACTCAGCCTTCTTACAGAGATGGCAGCAGTTGCCGCGGTAGAACGGGAAATGCACATGGTCGGAATGGTCAAGCCACTCGGAGGGGAACCTGCGTGTGATGATGCTGCTTGGTTTGGTGAGGGGGCAGGGATGAAGTATGGATTGGGGTGACACGGCGCGGGCGGCATGTCAAGGCAGAAGGAAACGCATGCAGACGGCGTGATACGCAAGCTGGTGAAGCGTCGACGCGTGCGTACTATTTCTATTTGCGTGTTTGGGCAATGGCAGCCTCAGGCGGCGGTGGTGGTGGGGCTTTGGGGGTGAATTGTGCCTGTGGTGAGGGCGTGAAGTCGGTTTCGTCAGCCATTTGCCGAGACATGGCATCAGCCAGCAGCGGCGGCTCCAGCGTCACGGGCGCCCCATAACCTCAACTCCAGGCGATAGAACCTGTCCCCCCCATTTCCTGGCCTCTGGGCCCCTGCCATGCCTCCGTTGCACGTTCGTATCCCGCACGCTAATCGAGGCTACTTTGACGCGCCGCGGGTGGTCCCTTCGCTACCTGCAACCTTTCGCTCGTTTACCGCCAGTGCTGCCCAGTGGCTGCCATGATGAATGGCGACCTGAGCCTGTCGCAGACGCTCGGCGGACTGCGCATCGCGAACCCAGACGAGGACGACGACGCCCCTTCGCCGCCGCCGCCCCAGCAAACCCACGAAAGTCAGACGCCCGCCGGCCAGCCATCACCGCCATCACCGTCGCGCGCCTCGTCGTCGAGTGCCGTGACCGAGACGCCGCATGCGCATATCCAAGGCCAGAGCCAGAGCCAAAGCCAGAGCCAAAGCCAAAGCCAAAGCCAGGACCCCTCATACTCACTCCCACACACGCATCCGCACGCACATGGCCATTCCTACATTGAAGAGGAGCCGTCAGCCCAGGCCTCGTCGCTGCAAGTCAATGCCAGCAATGCCTACGCCGGCTCCCCCTCAGGCTCCCCAGCCGCCTATCCCTCCCCCTTGGCCGACACTGCATCGGCCTCGTCCCATTCGCCGCGCCTCTCCCACCGCCAGTCAATGCCTCTAGCACACCAGGCCCAGCACCAGGCCGGCTATCCGCCCTATGCACAAGGCCCTCTGCTCCAGCAGCAGCGGAGTCAAGCGCCCACGTCGCAGCCCATTCGCGAGCGGCCCATGTCCCAGAGCATGTACCAGCACCCCAACCTGTCGACGTCGTCCACCACCGCCCCGGGCACCTACCGCTACAACGACGAGGCCATGACGGGTGATATACGCCGCACTGCGAGCTCACGCGTCGCCCCGGGTGCCATGCCGACGCGGGAGCTCAGCCGGAGAGACCCATATCGCCAGTCCGCCCAGATACAGGGTATCAACGGCCCACTACCACCTCGGAGAAGCTCGCGACGGATTCCCATGGACGGCTCGGTGCCAGGCGTATCTCACTTATCAAGCTCACCGTATAGTATCGAGGGCGGGCCATTGTCCAGCAGTGAGGAGTGGAAGGAGCGGGGGGCAGCCGTGAGCACCAGACAAGATCTCGATCAGAACGGACGGCCGATAACACGCGTGGTGAAAAAGGGCGTCAAGGACTTCAACTTTGGTAGGACACTTGGAGAAGGCTCCTACAGTACAGTACTGGCCGCCACGGACCGTCAGACGTTACGCGAATACGCAATCAAGGTGCTTGACAAACGTCACATTATCAAGGAGAAAAAGGTCAAATACGTAAATATCGAAAAAGACACCCTAAACCGACTGACGGAGCATCCCGGTATCGTCCGACTCTACTACACCTTCCAAGACGAGCGCTCGTTATACTTTGTCCTCGACCTGGCAGCCGGCGGAGAATTGCTGGGCTTCCTCAAGAAGATGGGCACCTTTGACGTTGAATGCACACGCTTCTACGGCGCACAGATACTTGACGCCATAGATTACATGCACCTCAAAGGCGTCATACATCGAGACTTGAAACCTGAGAATGTGTTGCTCGACGATGCAATGCATGTGAAGATTACAGATTTCGGCACAGCAAAAATACTGGACCAGAAGAGATCGAATGGTGCTGGCTCCGGTGACCCTCTCGAAGGCGTAGAGTCAGATCGGGCACAATCCTTTGTCGGCACGGCCGAATACGTTTCCCCGGAACTCCTAACGGACAAGAACGCTTGCAAAGCGAGCGACCTATGGGCTTTTGGCTGCATCATTTACCAATTGCTTGCCGGACGACCGCCATTCAAAGCTGCCAACGAGTACATGACGTTCCAGAAGATTGTTGGTCTGGAGTACACATTTCCAGATGGATTCCCTCCACTCGCAAGAGACTTGGTCGAACGGCTATTGGTGTTAGATCCCGTGACGCGGTTACCTATGGAACACATTAAGAATCATGCATTTTTCGATGGAATCCAGTGGGGCAAGGGGCTGTGGAAACAAAAGGCGCCGCGCTTGAAGTCCTACAGTCCGCCCGCCCAGGAGCCCATCAAGCTCAATGGTAATCCATACCGTCGTTCTTGGAGAGATAAGATGTCTAACATGCATCTAGGACCCTCGACACCGGCAGCACCAGCTAGCACACAACCCCAAGCACGACCGAAGCCACGGATCATTACCGAATTACCACCGCCCTCCCAGCTCGACATTGACTGGTCTCCCGTCCTTACAAAGCGAGACGAACGAATATTGAAGCTTGGGAATATGTTTGTCACTCAGCATCCCCCTGGTCATCCTGTGGGCGGCAAGGAAGAGCCCGCAGAACAACCTAAGAAGTTCTCGCGGTTCTTTGGCGGGAACGCCGTCAAGAAGCGGCAACGGCTCGTTATGATAACTTCCAATGCACGCGTACTGATGTGCGCAGCAGGCACAAATGACAAAAAGCTAAAGGAGGAGGTCTCTTTGCTCTCAGCAGGTTGCTCATGGAGATCATTTCAAGATTCAAAGGGTCTGACTGCTTGGCTCGTAGAAACAGTATGTCCGCCCCGTATTCCTGTGAAGTACAACACTAATATCCCCCAGCGAGACAAGCAGTATGTCTTCGAAGACCCCAAAAACACCACCAGCGATCCCGATGGCAGCAAGTACTCCAGCCAAGAGTGGCTTGACAGCATCGAACAAGCCCGAGACTACGCATTCGCACAAACAATGACGAATTCATACTCTGCCGATGCAGGCTTAAACGAGCTCGTCTCAAATCACACCACTCCGACCAGTACGTTGGGAGGAGACTCGGCCCTGGAGGGCGTGAACATCCCCGCCTCGCGCCATGGCCACCTTCGCAAAGATCAAGGCGATACTGACTCGATAAAGGGTAGGAAGCGCTTTAGTAAACGTCATTCCAAGAACGGCTTGGCCAATTTTTGAGCAGCGGAAGTGTACACAAACACACAGACAAAAAAAGATAACTGGCTCGGAGAAAATATGAGGGTTTGCTGGCAAAGCAGATGATATCCCGCCTCCGGGTGTTCTTTTTTTTGTTTATTTGTTTTACTCGCAAATACCAAACCAACACACACTCTCACACAAACGACCGTACAAAAACCTTTCTCCTCACCAAACCTCAATATGTACTCGTATTACTACGATTTGGTAAAAACTTCTTCTTGCTTTCTTGGGGGCATTTTGCGCTCCTATCGTGGTGCAGACACTTCCATCCATCTATCAGAACTACTACTCATAACCAGCGTACGGCGTTCCTGGCGTCTCTTTCTCTCTCTCTCTCTCTTCTTCTTCTACTACTTCTACTTCTTTTTCTTCCTCCTATGTTGAGGTTTGTTCCCTTTGTCTTCTTCTTCTTCTTTCGAGGCTTGAGGTTTGGCCATACTACCATCAGATCGGATCCATCATATCATAGCTTATTCATCTCTTTTGTGTGCATTTTATTCCATCTCTATCTATCTACAGGTACGCAGGCATGGCTAAAATCTCGTCATCATCATCATCATCATCATCATCAGAATCTATCTTTGTTCGCTCTTGTCTCTCTGTTTGTGTTCCGGAAGATGTTGTGTTGGCATTTAGCGGCTTCGGCTTTTGTGACTTTTAGGGGGGGTTTAAGATACATTTTGGAGAATAAGTTGTTTTCTGTAAAGAAGAGGAGCGAGATGTGGAGGCTGACACTTACTTACTTCTACATAGCCAACGCCTCGTTTGGAATCGATCATGGTTGGTTGTGTTGGTCAAGGGACGTGGGATATATACCATCACTTTACCCCCTCTTTCTACTCTTCACTCTTCTTCTTGTTCGTATGTGTAGTAGCTCAAACTGTTTTGTGGGGGGGAGATGGCGTGGTTAGACTTGTGCTGTGTGTGCGCGTTCGTTGGAGAAGAACCTTGTAGTTAACCAGTTTCTCTCTATCTTGAGGGAACGAAGGGATCGAGGGGAGATGGATTTGATACGGGAATATTGAAGGGACTCAGACTACACCTAGATTGGCCAATTAGTATCTTGGCGCGCTCGTAAGGAAGAAAAATAAATTTGTAATGCAAGTGTTTGGTTGTACACTATCGGCTTCGTTGACGTGAGAATTGTAGTGTGCTGCTGTGCTAGGGGTTGTCACGTGTAATATCCGACAATCTTCACTAAACCATCATTTCATTCCATTCCATTAAAACGCACATGAAAACATCCATAAACCACAAAAAAGGTATATACTGAAAACCCATTCGTCCGCCCAGTATAGGCAGGACGCAGGGTAGCTAAAGATACAATCTCAACATGAGAGAGAGAAGAGCTAAACTATAAACTCGAAGCATAATAATAGAGAGAAAAAAAGGAAATCCGTTATCATCAACCTGCCAGCCGGCGGCGTTTACAACACACACACACAACAATCCTCGGAAGGAGTACCAAAAAAACGCTAAAACAAATGCAAATGCAAAAACACATTATCCACCCAGCCCAGCCTTCCATCCTCATTCATATACACAGCCCCACCCTACCAAGCATCACCGAATATCTCCTTAGGCGTCTGCACCAACTCATTAGCAGCCTGCCTCCTCCTCCCCTCAAGTTTCGCCAGCTTCGCCTCCATCTTGCGGTCCCTCCGTGTAGTCAAATGCGGAGTAACGGGAGTAACAGGTGTAAACGGCATGTAGGGACTGTATGGCGTGAACGGGACACCTGTCTTGGGTGTTTGCATGGATAGTTTATCGACGCGGTGGTCGAGGACCGTGGTTTGGATACCGGGGGAGGCGAGGGGTTCGGCGAAGGAACGGAGGGGGAGGGAGTGGTTGGCGGGGGTGCTGGTGGGGGCTTTGGGTTTGGCGGTGCGTTGGGGGGCGGCGAGGGGGAGGGGGTGGATGGTGTTGATTGCTTCGTCGCGGTAAGGGGAGATGGGGGATGAGGTTTGGGTTGGGGGGGAGGGAGGGGCGCCGGGCGTGTAGAAACGTGGGGATAAGGGGGTGCGGGCTTCGTCGTCTGAGTCGCCGGGGTATTTGGCAATGGGCCCGGAGATGCGGAGGTTCTTGAGGTTGAAGCGGGCGTTTTTGCTGGAGGCGTTGGGGTTGAGGACTTGGGAACGCTTGGTTAGGATCCCACGGGGGCTGGGGGGTGCTTGTTGTTCGGCTCGGAGGCGGTCGTGGGGGAGTGGTGCTGTGGTGGGTCGGTCTGAGTAACTTGGTGGGTAGATTGCTTTTACGGGAGAGACCGGGCTGTCGTTGTTGTCGTTTTGTGCGTGGTTGACATTGATGGCGGATGGTCTTCTCCGCTCCGTTTGTATTGGAGCTGGTTCTGGTTGTTCTACGCTAACCTTTGAGGCGTGCTTTTGTGCGTCAAAGTCCATAACAGCGGCGTACAGACGCTCCATGTCGGCTTGATTCTGATCACGATGGGCGTCGACTACCTTTTGATCAAAAGAGGTTGGTGATGAAACTTCAGGACTCTGCGGAGTACTATCTGATGAGCCATTTCTTTTGAACCTCCTAAAAAAGGACCGCGCCGACAGCGGCGGCGACGCAAGACTAGGAGTCTTGAGGCTCGGTCGAATTGGCTTGCCCTGGAGCTCAAGCTCCAGTTGCATGGGCGGATCGAGTGCTTTGCGTCTCATTCTTCTACCGACAGTGAGGAGAAGTACCCCCCAAACAAGTACGGTCAAGACGTAACCGCCGACGACACCACAGATCTCGTAGGGTAAAACGTCCTTGTTTCGAATTGCGTGGTACGCAGCAGGAGGGCCGTCTTCAGGAGACGGGACGGGGTCGCGATAGTTGTTGAGGAAGTTGTAGGGAGCAGCAGAGGCACCGGTTGCAACAAGAAGTAGTGAGACGAGTGCTGGAGGAAGAGCACCCAGCAGCATGGCTTGGGATCATTCCAGGAAATATGGGAAGAAATAGGAAAAGCGAGGGGTGTGTATCTTCACACACTGGTCCAGGGTAGAGCGACGATCCAGGTCCGCCGATGCACAGCTTATTTGCTCGCTTCCCGACTGTGAGGAACCGGGTGAAATGCAGAGTGTAGCAGCAGGCGACATGGTGATATGAAGAGGAATGAGCAGCGGGTAAGTATTCGATCAGCGGTCTGCAAGTGGACGAATGCAAGAAACGGACGAGTGGATGTGATGGCTTGAAGTGGCGGGTGTGCCATGTGATTGGGCTGCCCGTTTCTTGAGCTACATGCAGGCGTCCAGTCGATGTACTCAGTCAGCCGCTGAGGTGGGGTTCTCAGCACCTACGCTAGTATCAATACGGCCGACCCCGATACATGGCTGCATTTCAAGCACGCCGAGTCGCTGCCGTGAATAGAAGTCATATAAGGCCTCTCCGAGCACGCGTTGTGCATGCTGTGAGCTGCGTGGTGATTTCTTCACGTGTGTGTTGAAACAAAAATGGTTGAGAGAAACATGTTTCTACCACTCCCGCATGCCCCGACTACCAGATACAACTAGACTAACCCACACCTGCGACGATCGACTGCACTGCATCTGCTACAACTGCTGCAAACTCGGGGCACAGTTAGCGGGAAGAGACGGTCCGCATGCATGAAAGCTACCTTCTCGGGCCTAGCAAATATAGTCCCTGCCGTGCACTCCCATTCGCCAGACTAAAATGTTCCAAGCGCCGACGATGCGAATCAGCGCACCGTCACCTCATCACACTAGACATCACAAGCCACTACATTGCTTGATACCAAGGTTCATCTGAGGGGAATATTACTACAAGACACGCGTCTGGCCCTCGTGGGGCGCAAATTCTACGCGACTATTGCAATGGCAAATGGCTACCCCACGTTCATGCACCCTTGCGTATCGTGTCACAAGCCCGGCGTGCTGCATTAACGACCCATTATTAGGCCGCATCACCCCCATATCCTGTGATTGTAGTTCGCATTGGCTCAACTTCTTTTTCCTTACGACTCGCATAGACTTCGGCACTCGGTCTGATTGCCTTAATGTGTTTATGCCTGACATGGTCGGTGAGTGTGCAATGTGTCATGATAACAGGTGCTGATATAGAGATAATGGAGGTTTCTATTTTCTCCTCTTCAAACTTTCGACGCCCAGCTGCATGTCGAGACACCACAATCACTACCTAAGAATGCATCGTGCCGGTGCCGTGTTAGCGATCGCTAGCAAACATATCTGCCCAGAAGAGGCTATGGGAGCTTACCCTGTCAGAACCTGAGCACCTCGTTGGTCTGAGGCGTGCGAAGGTGATCGGACATGCTCAGGATGCAGTATCGCGCACTTGAGTGATGGGAGTATCGTCGAGGCTGACGCCTCACTTCCCTTCGGCCTTTGCAACGAGTGATTCGTCCAATTCGGTACGCTCCCAGACGCTCTTGTCTTTCTTATTCTGCACCCACAGAACATCGCCTCTGAGGTAAGCCACGGCGCCTCCACGTCCTGTAGCGCTTGCTGTGATTCGGAATAGCGGTAAGCCGGTCTGGGTGTGAGCTTCGCGCAGTGGTATCAGGAGCAAATTCTCTTCGGCGCAGAATTCCTCAAGTATATCCTTGAGAGTCGCCTCCTCGACTTGTGGTGCTGGGCGTGGTGGCTCTTTTTTGACCGATTTGGAGAATTGAGTCGTATCTGGCGAGGCTTCTGTGCCTTCCACCTGAGGAGCAGGCAGATCTGTCATTCTCGCCTCGCCAAGATCGAATGCCTGGTTAAATAGGAAGTACGCTTCGTTCCAACCCGATGCAACCGAAGGCAGATTGTTGATGTCATCTTTGATAATATCGTTTTTCCACCACGCAAGCCAAGTCCCGACTTCTTCAAAAATGACCTCCTCGCTCGAAAGCCACTGATGGAGAATTTCGAGGAACTTGGGGAAGAATTGAGATCTCAACAGCTCTCCAATGACCTCGTTCGAGACGAGGCCCTTCCAGGCAAAGACAGCCTCCAGCGGTGCCAAGTCTGGTTCGGCAGGGTCAATCTCGAAGTTGTCTCGCAGATAGGCAGCAAAGCGTGGAACCAAATGGGAGGTGAGGAGATGATCAAACTCTGCCTTCCCAAAGACCTTTCTCCATTGGTCCATTCCTGGTAATGGGCCTTTGGAGAGATCGATGGACTGCAATGCATGTCTAATCTTGCGCTTGATTTCAGCAACAAGTCCCGATCCCTTGGGGTCGAGGTCAGACGGCCTAAGGAATGGTAGCCACTCCACAATCCACGTATGTGGACTCTTTTTGAATTTTCGTGGGTTCCACTCGTGGATCGAAGTGGACAGCTTTCGCGTGACCTGTTCGAGCACCCTCTTGGCGATGAATGGTGGTAAAACTGGCGTCCAGACTTGCACTAAGTGGACCATGGGCTGTGGGTTCTTGACATCCCACTGCGTCACTGCAGAGCTCACAGTGGGTAGCCAGAGCTTTAGCATCATAGACTCGTATGACGACGAAGTTCCTCGCTTTATCTTGTCCTCTTCTTCGTCGGCTGTGTTGCTACTAACCAATGCTTCCGAGGGATGCGTGTAAGTCTGAGACACGATCCTCCTGCTCCGCGGCTGTATAATGTCGGCCATTTCGGAGAATGCTGCTGCGACAACCTCAAGCGCATCTTCAAGCGGCTCCCAGGACGCGATCTTCCTCGAAAAGTGTGGATGGATAACTGCGATGGATTCACGATGCAATGATTTTGATGGATAGGCAGCACGCAGGCTCTTCAATCCTTCACAGACGGCCTCGAATGTGCCCGTACGCAACGACTCGATCCGTGCCTGCAAATCCTCCAACTCATCCATTTGTCGCTCCAACGCCTCGAGCTCCTTCTGCAGCGCATACTTCTGGGGCGGAATGGCCTGCGACTCAACCTGCAATTGTTCGAATGCTTCGGAGAAACTGTTGAGATCTCGTCGGACGCGTGCTTGCAGGGAGTTTTCAAATGGGATGATGTCGGCTCCACGGAGAGACACGCCCGAGGTAGGAGTCGATGCGCCCGTCGTGGCATCGATGATGGACTGCAACGCAAGCGGGACATGCATACCAGCAGCCTCCAGTTCGTACAGCGTCTTCTTTGGCCGAGGGGCTGTCGTGCGCGTCTCCCCCCTTGTCTTTGCCTTTCTCTTCTTCTTTTCTTCGCGCTCCTCTTCCGACGTGTCGACGTACTTTTCGCCGTTTGCTTCAGCCTTGCGCTTCTCCTCCCGCCTCTGCTGCTCGCTCTTTTCTGCGACAATGCCAATGCCGCCCTTGGTGCCGCGATTCACGACCTGGATAGGTTCCGAGATACCAGCGCCCTCTTTTCCCAGTCCACCTTCGCCCTTGTAACCCATCTTCGCCAGCATCTTGGCGCCGAAGCCGGCCTTGAGTGCGCTGCCATCGTCTGCCTTTGCCCGCTTGTTCGGCTGCTGTCTGAAGCTGTGCTTCCGTTTGCCCCCGTCGGTGTCCATGAGGGGCGAGTAGTGCTCGAAACGCGCACCTGTTTGGCAGTGTTTGGCAATGTTTGCGCGCGCAGTCGCCGTGGTGGTTTTTTGTGACGTGTGGTGAAGGCGTGACGCAATACGGCCTGTGTAGAATTGAAGCGTGACATGCCAAGCCAAGTGTTAGCGTCGCGTCGGCCCTGCAGCATAACGCGTGCTATTATTGGAAGGGGGACGGGTTGGGACGATCTACCCTACAACATGTTCCATGCCCCAGGCTCAGCAACAAACATAAGCAAAAAGTCTCCTTTCGCATTGCCCAGTAGAGGAGCGACCTCATTGCTTTGGCGGACTATCTACCGCCATTTATCCACTTCCCATGCCCGCTTCCGCTATGGCTTCAACGCCGCCCCTTTCTCAGCCCGCCGCCATGCGCTCACCCGACAAGGCCAATGTTGACCTGCGCCATCCGGTCCCAGATCTGCAGTCACTACAAGGTGCATACGTGGGGAACATCGAGCGCCTCGAAGAGCATGCAGAGCGCATGAGCGAGACCGGCTCAGACCTGCAGGAAGAGATTCGGAAGACATACTCGGAACTAAAGCTGACTGACAGTCGGCGTTCGTCATTGCGCTCCCCTCACGGCGATGAGCTTACGAGGCAGTTCAGCACCCGCAGCCGCGGTCTGTCCAACAGCTCCCATGCGAATTCCATAGTAGATTTGAACGGGAATGCGCGATGGGGTGGCTACTCTCCAGGAGGCTACATTACCTCACCAGTCGGCTCTCTGCGGTCCGGAAGCTGGTCCAACCCACCATCTTCGTCAATTCAGCGTCAGCGCTCGGGTTCCAAAGCATCGCGCTTAGGACAGGTTGTACATCCCGAACAGGTTGTAGAAGAGGAAGGAAACGGCCATGAAACCCACCCAGCATCCGCCCCACCCGCTTCCCAGGATCGCGACTCTGCATCGCCGCCCCAACGTAAGGTTTCGTCTTTTACAAGGATATTCGATGATGTCGCCAACGGACTTCCAGAAGACTTGCGCAATAGTGTCATCATGGGCACACCGCCCAGGAGGCAGTCTGCAGACCACCATCCCGGAGATAACTATCAACGGCATGCAGACCACCATGATTTCCCAGATCGGCCCCCAACAGCAGCCTCGACCGACACCACACACCAGGTCCATTCGTTATGGCACGATTTCGATGGTGTTCACTGCCCGGACACCGTCGAGGAAGAGCCCGAGCTATCTCAACTTGGCCGGAATCTCAGTCGACAATCCTCCAATAACCTATCATTTAACATGGGATCTGATCCAAGCCTCCGTTTGATGTCTGGCCCAGTATCTAGCCATACCCAAGGCCAACCGCCACCAGACGACGGCATGGTCTACTATCCTGCCCCTGTACCCAGGATGCTCAACTTGCCAAAGCGTCTCTCCCAAATGCCATCCGGCAATCAACAAGCTAGACGGCGGACACAATTACTGGAGTCTATGCAGATGGAAAATCGAAAGTCGATGCCGTTGCCTGCCGACCCCATGGATCAGTCGCCGAAAGCGGCCAGGAAGAGCAGAGCGAGCATCATGGGGCTTCCACCCCAATTACGAGCAAGTGCATACTTTGACAACCGTGCAGCCCCTGTGCAAGAATTTGCAGTCAAAGGAGATTCCGCAGAGCGGATGCTCGAAAGCATCCTGGATGCTTCTGCACATGCACCCGTCTCGGCATTTACCGACCATCCGTTTGCCGGTAACGTAGGTCATGAAGTATACGGTACCGAGCATAAGCGCATGAGCTCCAAACTGCCCGAAATGCCGCCGACCCTGCAGGAGACAAGAAGGCGAAGCTCCTTCAACATATTGGACACCAAACACAATGGAAATGGTGAACGCCTAAAGAAGTTGAAGAAACGAAATTCCTCGGCTGACATGAACCTCCTGCTTGTCAAGGCAAGCGAAACCCGGATGAGTCTGGGCGACCAGTTGGAGGAGCGTGATGAGGATGCACGAGGGCCCCACAATCAACACGAGGACGACGCCACCCGACCCTCGTACGAGGAAGGGCACGAGGGCCATCCTCAAGAAGGCAGCGAAGAGGAGACATCGGACGAGGAAGAAGAGGTTGAGGAGGAACTCCAATATGGTGCACCTACTACCCTTCTTGCCGAGCTGCAACTGCGCCAGGCGAAACAGAAGACTAGAAACATGAACTATGTGACGCTGATGGAGCAAGGTCTAATTGACGGTCGTCAAACTCTGCTCCAGATGAACGACAAAGCCGAGGCGGAAAAGCAACGGCGAATTCGCAAGAAAGTCAATCTGGCCTGGGAGGCTCCAGGGGAAGATGAAGACTCCGACGATGATGTGCCCCTGGGTGTTCTTTACAAACAGCCTCCCCGTGGCCCTAAGATTATAGGTCTCATTGAACAGCGCGAGATGGAGGATAGAGAGCCGCTGAGCCGCCGCCGCAACAGGCTTCGTGGCCTTGATCCAAATCACCGGCACATGGAGCAAGCTGGAGCATCTTCAAGTCAAGTCAATCTTGGTGTCCCCCAGATGCCAACGCCTGACCCAATCTCGGATGAGGATGAGGGTGAGACGCTAGCTGATCGCATGCGCCGACTAAAGGAAAAGCAACAGCTCGAGGCAGCGCTTGGCGACGACATTCGCAACAGTCACGTTAGCGGTGACTTTGCCGCCGAGATGATGAGCAAATTTGGTGTTACAGAAGACCAAAACCATGCGAAAGACACACCTCTAGAATCACCCAAAGACTCACCCAAACCTGGCGAAGAGGAAGAGCAGGAAGAAACACTTGGCCAACGCCGTGCTCGACTCCAAGCCGAAGCCGCCGCTCGCGGTGAGCTGCCCCCACAAGGCAACACCCGCCCCGGTCTCTACGGTTCCACCAGTCTTGCAGACATCCTCTCCGCCAACCCCATCGACCCCCACAACCAAGCCCGCAAAGTCTCCAACGAAGCTCTCATCTCACATCTACCCCAAGGAAGTCTCCTCCGCCAAAACGTCATGGACCAAGAACGCAAGAAGCAACAACGTCTCAACGCCACTAAGCGAGCCTCTAGTTACGGCACCATCGACCCACTCATCAAAGGTGTGGGAGACAAGGAAAAAGACGACGATGACATCCCGCTCGGTCAGAAGATTCAAGCCTACAAGAACTCCCAGAACCCCATGATGAACTCGCAAATGGGTGGCGGACAGGGTATGATGAGCATGAATGGTATGGGACTCATGTCGCAAACCAGTCTCAACATGTCGATGCAGCAGCCCATGATGGGTGGCGGCGGCGGTGGCATGGGCATGATGGGTATGCAATCACCGATGGGTATGCAGTCACCAATAGGTATGCAATCGCCAATGGGAATGCAATCGCCAATGGGAATGCAATCGCCAATGGGAATGCACCCACAGATGGGCATGCAGTCGCCAATGGGCATGCAACACCCAGGCATGATGCAACAGCCCGGTATGATGGGTATGCCAATGGGCATGCAAATGCCCATGGGACCAATGGCTGGCATGGGCATGAACGGTATGCCCATGGGAATGAACATGGCCATGATGCAGGGTGGTATGATGGGCCCGCCCATGGATCCCAGACAGAGGGATCAGATTGATCAGTGGATGCAGGGTATCAGACATTCGTAGTCTTTTATTTTGTTGTGTTGGTGCCATTTTGTTGAGGTTGTATAGCGAGAGGTATTTCGTCGATTGGGTGTATAAGGGTATGGGATGGATGGGGTATAGCATGGCATGGCATGGGCGTGGTATGGCTTGAGCGTTTGTTGGTTCGAGTATTTAGCGTTGGCAAGTTAGCGTCTGGGGACTTTATAGAGGATTTTCAAAGGGGAATAATTTCTGGATACACATAAGCGATGCTGCTACGATTTATGGAAAGCGCTTGTTTCATTATATCACGTTTTGGACTTAGGACTTTGGATATTTTAGATCACTTGCATTACTACTCTAGATTCACTATTCGAATTATCAACATGTTGTTGCCCGATGTCGGCGAGTTAGGAGCTTTGTCCTGCCGTAGTGAGCGTTCGATTTACTGGAAGCGCTTCTCAGCTGCCTTCCAGTTGATGACGTTCCAGATGGCCTTGAAGTATTCGGCCTTGCGGTTCTGGTAGTCGAGGTAGTAGGCACTAGGGAAGGATTAGACATTAATTCAGCCATTTTGTCATCAATACTTACTGCTCCCACGCATCAACACCCAGGATTGGGCGGAATTGGCCTACAACGGGGTCCTGGTTGGCGTATGTCTTGATTTGGATGCCGCCAGTCTGCGTGTCCTGTACCAGCCAAGCCCATCCACTACCCTGGATACCTGCCAGCGCAGCGTTAAACTTCTCCTTGAAGGCGTCGAGGCTGCCATAGTTGGTGTTGATGGCGGCCGATAGAGCACCAGTCGGGGGTTCACCACCGCCCTGGTTGGTAGGCGCGAGGTTCTCCCAGAACAGCGAGTGGTTGATGTGACCGCCACCGTGGAAGTTGATGAGGGGCTGCAGCGCAATTTGAGCCTTGATGTCTTCCTTCTGCTTGGCCTCTTGGATTTGCTCGCTGAAGTTGTTGAACGAGGTTACGTAGGTGTTGTGGTGGTTCTTGTGGTGCAACTCCATGATCTTGCCCGAGATGTTGGGTTCGAGCGCGCCATAGTCGTCTGAAGGAGGTTAGAGCTTGATCTATCTTTCTTGAACGGTACCAGGTGCCTTACATGGAAGATCGGGTAGCGTCGCCTTGCCGCGAACAAATGTTGTGCCTGCGAGTCCAGCGCGGGAAGTTACGGGAGCCGCAGCTCGGACAGCCGAGCGCAAGGCAGATGTGCGGAGGAGTGTCGTGTTCATGATGTCTTCAATTGGTGTGGGTGACTCAATTGGGGGTTGCGGGTGGTGTTATAGTGTGGTGAGGTTGGCGTTGGAGCTCTGGGGTAGCTGGTGATTTATTGCCTGACATTTCGTCATATCTGCAGAGATGCCGACCGCCGAGCCCACAGTTTCCTTCCTCGCAGCCATCTTCATCCCGTCGCCAATGACAGCACACTAACCCGCCTGACGTGTGAATGATGATGTATTCATGTCCGATCAATTCACGTGCTCGTGCAAACGCGAGGTTGCTGGGACAAGATGGGTGGCACCATGAGGCTGATTGACGCCTTCAAGGTCCCCGCGAAAAGCCCCGCGCGGCCGTTTTCGGACAGGAGACTAGTCAATAAGCTTATCCACACATTTTTTTGACAATCGCGTGCCCTAGAAGAGAAGGCGCACGTGTATACGAGCCTTCCATCGGTACCATGATTGTTGCGGATTATATAGTGATTGAAGTTTCCCCTGCGGTGTAGAGAGCCCACCTTTGCTTCGCGCTTCCGTCTCAAGCCATTGTTACTCTTGAACCAGAGTCTAACTACCCCGCCAACGTCATCATGGCACCAGTCAACATTGTGCATCTGCCAAATGGCCAGAACCTCACCGTTACGCCTGTCTTTGGAGGTCTATTCTTCAAGTCGAGCGACATCGCTACCCACTCGCCCTTTCCGCCAGGTTGGACAATTGTACTCAACTCTGAAGATCAATTGGACGCCGGGGAACAGGAGGTACAGAAGCAGGACGAGGAGGAGGAGCACTATCCCCCGCGCAATGTACACCGATTCAAGAAGCCCACGCTGAATGGAGACCACCTCTATATCTCGTCCATTTCGAATCCCAGCAGCAATGAGTACAAGCCTGCTGCGTCGCCGACGCGCCAAATTGCCATGATGCTGTGGGCGACATTGTACTGGTACTTCCACCAGCCAGAGCCAACACTCCAGGTTACGAATACGCTGTCGAAAAATACCGCCGATGCAGGAAAGCCAAAGGGAGAATGGAGGATTAACATAAACAGAGAGGGTGTGTTCAAGGGCAAAGTCGTGCTGCCCAAACTGGAGCGCATGGGGCTCATAATGAGCGAAGAATCAATCGTGGGTTGCGCACAAGAAGAAAGCTCTCCCGAAGGCTGGTCGCGCATGTTTGTCAGTCGGAGGACCTTCTGGCAGTTGGACCCTAGGATATACCTGTTCACGCTTTCGCCCTTGGCAAACAACAATTCGCCCTTCCCGTCAGGCTCGCCCTATCCTTCCAGACCATCATCGCCCGCTCCTGGAGGTGATTCGAAAAAGGAACATCAGTTGGATCAGGTATCGCCCGGCCTATGGTCGCCTACCGCTCCAGGACCGTTCCACTCGAGTTCGCATCTACCCACATTCTATCCTCCCCCGCCAGCACAATATGTCTTTACTAATAACATACGACACCCCATACGCCCGAAACCACCCCGACAAGGAGAGATACTGTACACCAGATACATACCCAGCGTCGGGCAATACCTCTCATTCCGGGTTGCTTCCATTTCCTCCAAGCCGCTCCGTCATCAGGGTCCTGTCTCCAACCATTCGCCTTTCCCGAATCGGAACAGTGCTCTCATAGCTGCTGAATCTCCAACAACGGGTTCGCCGAATGCTGGCATGTCAGATGTTGAATACCTGCACAAGTGGATGAATGACCCCCGAGTAGCACATTTCTGGGGCGAGGCAGGACCTCAGTCTCACCAAGAAGAATTCCTTCGGAAGGGACTACAATCGAAAAATTCGTTCCCAGTCATAGGCTGCTGGGACGGAAAGCCCTTTGGCTATTTTGAGTTATACTGGGTCAAGGAGGACAATCTCGGAAAGTACTTACCGATCGTCAGCGATTACGATCGAGGCTTTCACTGCTTGGTGGGCGAGCAAGAATTCCGGGGTTCGCACAGGGTCAAGATCTGGTTAAGTGCGTTGGTACATTACTGTTGGCTCGCCGACAACCGTACAGAAAGGGTGATGTTGGAACCGAGAGTCGACAACGAAAAGTAAGTCGTTTCCAAACGAGCATGAGTAAGGAAACAAAACTGACAGTTGCAGACTTGCGCACTATCTCCAAGAAGCCGGCTTCTACAAGGAGCGAGAAATCAGCCTCCCGCACAAGCAGAGTAACCTGTTCAAAATCAATCGCGATGTCTGGAGGGGACCGGCGTTGTAGTCCGCGGAGGCGGCAATAAGTGTGGAGTTGAGCAGAGCCGCATAAACGGCTCGTGGGTGGAGGTTATGTGGAGTCAGCGGATCATGAGATACCAAAGTCTAGACTTCCTTCCTATACTGTCAATGCGTGCAGGGAACCTGGCAGGGAAATGATCCCCAGTCGTTGAGGTTAGGTTGCCATGCATGTGTGAACGACTCCATTCTACGTAAATTCTTACTATACGTTTGGTGCGTATACCAGAGAGGGTTTTTCTGCATTGTTGCGTGATGCCTATCAACAGAATACGCAATTCACACCACGCGTGATCAGAATACATCACCGTCGACGCCTCATTTAGGCTTGTGTGGACCAGTACCAACGGAATTTGTGAGCCATTTACTGCCACATGAATGGAGAAGGAGCGCCCAGCAGCCCAACGATGTCAACAATACTGCGGGAAAAAAAGTCTGCTTGCCCATTTCGCCTGGAGACTGTCGATCAGTTCTAGCAATGCATCGGAGATGCGACATTAGGACGAGGATTGACCATTGATGTGCGTTTCCAAAGGTGCGATACCAAATGTGGGGTTTAGCGAGGGTCCAAAAGTTTTTGACTACACGTGAGACGTCATTGCCATACGGGTAGAAAAGGAAGCGACAACGCGGCCGTTGGGTCACGATTCCCAATTCTGACTCCTCCAAGCAAACACAGGGCTTCCTCTGACCTCATCGTTCCTCGCAGTTGCCTGTTGCCTATCGCTGCGGCAAGTATAAAGCTTCTGGTTCCGGCAGACCATCTCCAAAACAATACACAAACGCACCTTCAACAGCCCCCCACCTCGCCAACAAAACAGTCATGGCGAATACAACAGATGCTGCCATGTTCGATACCTATCAGACTTCTCTCACCAATAGGTACTGCTCACCGGAGATGTCGCAACTGTTCTCCCAGCGCAGCCGGCATTCCACATGGCGCAAGCTCTGGCTCTTCCTCGCAGAGGCTGAGAAAGAGCTCGGCATTGAGACCATCAGCGAAGATGCCTTGAGCCAAATGAGAGAACATTTGAAAGTCACCGATGACGAATTCGGCGTCGCCAAGGTCGAGGAGAAGAAGCGAAGGCACGATGTCATGGCCCACGTTCATGCCTATGGGCAGGTTGCCCCGGCAGCGGCTGGCATCATCCACTATGGTGTAAGTCTTCAAATCTGTTGTGTGAAAATACCGTTGCTGCCTACAATGCTTCAATTTGCCAACATGGACTCAGAACTGATGAGATGTAGGCAACAAGCTGCTATGTGACCGATAATGCCGAGCTCCTGCTTATGCGCGACGGCCTGGATCTCTTACTCCCAAAGCTCGCAAAAGTAATCTCCAACCTCTCCGCTTTCGCTCTGCAGTGGAAGAGCGAGCCAACCCTGGCCTACACCCATCTACAGCCCGCCCAGCTCATCACTGTTGGTAAGCGCGCTGCCCAATGGGCGCAAGACCTTCTCTTCGATCTAGAGGCCATTGAGAGCGTTCGTGAGGGCCTGCAGTTCCGCGGTGCCCAAGGAACTACCGGAACACAAGCCTCTTTCCTCGAGATCTTCAACGGCGACAGCAAGAAGTGCGACCAGCTCAACGAACTACTGTGCAAAAAGGCCGGCTTCCCATCCTGCTACGCCGTTTCCACCCAGACCTACACGCGCAAAGTCGACCTCATCATCGCAAATGCCATCTGCGGTCTCGGTGCCAGCGCTCAGAAGATCACTGGCGACATCCGCCATCTCGCTAGCTGGAAGGAACTCGAGGAACCCTTTGAGAAGGACCAGATAGGCTCTTCTGCCATGGCATACAAGCGCAACCCCATGCGTTGTGAGCGCGTCTGCTCGCTATCCCGAGAACTCATGTCCAAGCCCGCTTCCTTCGCAAGTACCCTAGCCAGCCAGTGGATGGAGCGAACCCTCGATGACTCTGCAATCCGCCGCATGGACATTCCTGAGATGTTCTTGCTTGCAGATGCTATCTTGCTCTCACTCGACAACGTCACTGCTGGCCTCGTTGTCTACCCCAAGCGTGTCGATGCCCGCGTTCAAGAAGAATTGTCTTTTATGATCACTGAATCCATCATTATGCGTCTGGTGGCGAAGGGTGAATCGCGTCAGGAAGCCCACGAGCAGATCCGTGTCCTGTCTCACCAAGCTGGCGCCCAGGTCAAGAACGAGGGAAAGCCGAATGATCTCGTCGACAGGATCAGGAAGACGGATTTCTTCAAGCCCATCTGGGGTGAGCTGGACAACATGTTGGACAGTAAGCTGTATACAGGCCGTAGCGAGGAGATCGTCGAGAAGTTCTGCGGTGCCGGCGGCATCCTGGCGCAGAAGCTGGGCAAATACCAGGACTATATCCAGGGCGCCAAGGTGAGCGAACTCAACGTGTAGCCAACATAGTGTATTGAGACATGATGCATACGGGGGGTTAAGGATGTCGGTATTCTCCAGAGTGGCTTAACAAAATTCAATTCAGGGCCTCTAGATGGCTATGTATTCTCCAAACCGCACCATATACTCTGTGAATATCGTGTATACGTGGTTGAAAAGATATACAAAGGTAGTCATACTTATTTGAATTCTGGTATATTCATTACGATGGTGGCTTCAGCATAACTCCGGTAGTCCTATATACCCCACCTAAACACCATATCGTAGCCAACAAACGCCATAATATGCAACAATATAAAAAAAGAGAGTGGTATAGAGCAACCCAAGACCCAAACATGACACACCGACATACACCCTACACATAGACAAAGAAGAATTGATAAGAAGATTTAGTACTTCCGGCCCCTCCTGCGTGGTAGACCAGACTCCATACCCGCCGTCGAAGTAGGCCCTGTAGCCTGTACGATGACTTTTGGTGTGGGTATACCCTTCCGCTGCGCATTCTCCTTGCCTTCGCCAGGTGCAGATGAAGCAGCAGCTTGTGGGAGGACGACCTTCTTGGGTGCAGCGAGACGGCTCTTGCGCTGCGGCGTTAGCGCCACACCGACGGGAGTCACGTCGAGGGAGGGGAGTTTGGTATCTGCGGAGCTTAAGGAGAGACCGCTGTCGATGGAAGTGGAAGCGACGGGCATTTTCTTGACTTTGCCAGCTTTAGGCTTGGGTAGCTGTTGTGATGATGGTGCGGCGGTGGAGTCCTTTTCTTCCTGGACGGTCTCAGGGAGGAGTGATGCAGGTGCTAGTAGACCTTTCCCGGGAGTCCCGTTCGTTGAACCTAGTCCCCTCACTCTTCGTATCTTGGGTGTGGAATCCTTGCTCGTCTTTGGCCTCTTCTTCTTTGGCTCAGGTGTAGCGTCTCCCATACCTAGCTCGTCTGGTGTAGCTAATGATTCCGCTTCAGCGAGCGCGTTGGCGACGGTGTCTGGGTTTTCCTGGTAGTACGCTAGCTGTTCGTCCCACCGTACGTTCTTGCCGACGACGAGCTCCTTTGTCGAATCGTCGATAGGTGGGAGACTGGATGCCTCCATCATGAGCTTCATCAGGCGGAGAGTGACTCCAAAAGCACCTTGCTTGTTCTTGCGTGTGTTTGTACGGGTCAGGTCTGCCAGAACCTTTGCGTCGTCTTTCTTGAGAACTACAACCTCGTTGCCGTCGGCCCGACGGATGGCGATCTTGGGTGCTGGTGCTGGGCCTGTTGAGGCTGGAGCAGGTAAACGTGATTTCTTTGTTCGTGATGATCGTCGTGATGAGCGTGCGCTCTTCTCTTCTGCGTCCTCCTCATGTTCTACTGGAGCTGGTGTAGGTGATGGTAGAGGCTCTGTTGGCATGCTCAGCGCAGGGGTTAGTGATAGATCAAGCGTCAACTCGTTGTCGTGCTTGGAAGGCGAATTAGGATCCTTCTCTTCGAGAGCCTTGCGGGGAGATGCTAAAGCATGGCGAACGACGTCTGAGTCTCGTCGGTTCTGTAGCGACTCTCTTCGGTGGGTAATGATGGCAGCCTTTTCAGCTTTGCTTGCAGCAGCGCGATTGAGGAAATCCTTTAACACAGCTGTATCGTCATCGAATGCGACGGTCATTGTGACATCGTCAGGCCCAGACTCGGGACGAGGTGGCGGTGGAGGCGAATGAAGTTTCCGTGGCTTAGAATCCAATGATTGAGGTTGAGCAGGTGCAAAAGATAGAGTGAGTCCATCAGTGATATCTCGTATGGCGTTGGTGTTGGGCGCATCTGTCATTTCCATGTCTTCTTTTGGTTCCTCTGTAGGTTTAGCGCTGTGCTCTTCCTCCGGTTCCTGTGCTTTTGGTGCTGTAACTGGCTCATCCTTTTGCAGCGCTGCCTGGTAATCACGCATGATGTCTAGCTGCAAGGTAGCCTCTGTGAATTCCCCCTCGGGATCTTTGTCTTCAGAGTCGCTCGGCGTGTCTTGTTCACTGCAATTGTCGTCTCCAGCCATGACTTCTGCTTCAGTGCGTACTTCGATATCAGACAACCCAGCGTCCTCATCCTCGTCCATGCCTTCGTCAGCGGTTGTCGAGGCCTGGGTATGTTCTAATGGTAGCACCGGGTATTCAATCTGAGCGAGGGCATCGGTTCCCTCGAACTTGGTCGGGGACTGTTCCTGCTCTGCCTCGCTCCTTGCGACATCGGCCGTGGCTTCCGACTGTATCGGAGTGTTCTGAGTTTCCACAGCCGTCGATAAGTCATCTTGCGCAATGGCTTCCTCTGCGGCATCTTTGCATTTCTGTGGTGTGGCCGCTTGAGAGTCGACTGGAGAATCATCACTGAGAGGTAGTTTGGGATAGTCGACCTTTTCCGGAGACGCCGCCGAGGGGATTGAAATATACTTGGTAGGGGACCGGAAAAGGTTGGCGAGAGTAGCGTCTTCGGTTGGTCTAGAGTCGATGTGCTGCTCCATGGCTTGGTGCCCGCCTAAGCTTTCGTAGTCGGGAATGTTGTCTACGGTCGGCGCATCCATGGTGGAGTCAAGAGTCGCTCGGTTGTCCTCGTTGAGCGAAGGAGGTTGTGTGAGTAGATTTCCTTGTGCGCCGCTTGTCGTGTTTGTTTCGGTAAAGCTTTCACTTTCGAATTCAGTTACGTCACGACTGTCGCCTTCCTCGTCGTCGCCGTTTGCTTCGGTCTCGGCCATGAAAGCGGGGTCGTCAATACGGGCAGCTTTCTTCCCTTCGAGCGCGTTAGTAAGTTCTAAAATGGGATATCATGAATGCCATACTTGGTAGCACGCTCTTCCTGCGGTCCCAGCGCGTCGCCTTGAACGCGCGTTTCTTCCCATTGAGTTTGTTTGCAGTCTTCTCCATGGCCTCTGGACTCATGTGTTGTCGCCTCTTCACGGCCCTTGACCGCGAATTCTGCTCATCATCGTCGCCATCCTCTGCGTCGTCGTCTTCTTGTGCTGTGTTGTGGACATTCGACCTGAGGTTGAATCTCCGCCAAATCTTCTTCTCCTTTCCTTGACCGAGCCTCTTTACTTCTTGCTTGCGCTCCCAGCCGCGGGGTATCTTTGCAACAGGCAAGGCATTTGGGTCGAGGAATGCGGCGTCGGTTGCGTTCCATGTGGTGTCGAATGTTGTCATGGGTGCGGCGCGTTTGCGCGGTGAGGGAACCATGGTGTTTGACGTCGAATAATGCTACGGGTTAGTATGTCGATGACGCGCAAACATAAAGACTGTGTCGTAGGGCTCGTTAGTATCGTCGTGGAAGTGGTGGTATGCGCTGGCCATCCGTCGCTGGGCAGGTGCGATGGTAAACAAAGCTATGCAGGGATCAGGATGGGGCAAGCACGCTAAGGAGATTGCCGCGGCGGTGGGAGAACTTTTGAACATCCGACTCAAGAAGAGGAAGACGACGACAACGCCGCTATCGTAACCACGAGTCCCTACGTAAACCATTACCGACTATCGTTAATTCTGCACCGAATATCTGACGCGCGCGTTTCCCTACACAATGGTCCCGAAGCCTCAGGGTAGCGCCGTTCAGTCGGCCACGCACCGGCCACTCCCACCACTTCCTAAGCTCCGTGTCCGACGACCAAATAAGCCAGAGATGAATCCGTGTCTGGGAGCAATGTCATCAGTTCTGGGTACGTTGGAATTGGGCAATGTGAAAATGGCCATATTGCGACGCATCTTGATCCGACTGCGGGGCCAAGCAATGATTGAAAATGTACGACAGGAACATGCGCTGACATGTCTATAACAGGATGCTGGGCGTCATCAGGTTACAGTGTGCAAGGCTGCGCACTGCTAGAGCAGAAACTGCGCCAATGCATGGATGCGCCTGTATGTTCACTGATATCAACGTGCCTCCGATCTCAGCTAATCCTCGCTTTAGCGAAACCCGAACCAGAAGAAAAACAACATCAACTTCCATCTCTCGCGAATGTACCCCAAGATTGTGGGTCCACACAAGCGGAATTAAGCCCACTACTTCCGTTCTTTTTGTACATTATGTATACCCACGACTGTCAACCATGCCAAACAGCATCATGGAGGAGTTCAAGTCGCTTACGAATCATTGGTTGGCGTTATGGATACGATCGTTGTATATAGGCGGCACTAGGAAGTCGACCATCAACGCATGCGACTGACGATATATCGAGCATTTAGACTTGTCTCCACCACAGCCGTTTTTTATCAGCATTCGTCTTGCCTAACCAAGGGAGGGACAAGGCTAGTGACGAAGTTCAAAGGCCCGCCCTTGGTACACGACCACTTTCTGCTTTGTTTGTCGGGCCTCAGTTTCAGGATCTAAAGATCCTCTCAGAGGTTGCATTCTCTCAAGTTTGCTCTATCTCGTCATCTCAAGGCCATTCAACCACCCATCTTGCGAACCATGACGTGCCGAAAGAGGCAGTGCATGCAGATCCCCACGTTCTACCACGTGTGAAACGTCTTTGTGTGTTTCAAACTTCCTATTGCAGACCCAAAATATTCAGTTCGAGTTCACCGGCCAATTACGAGTGATACTGCTTGTTACAACCACCAAGGGCGTTGCCGCAGACTTCTGTTGCTCATCGTAGATCGTACGTGCTCAACTATATTTACCGCCTGTGGTCTACGCCACATGCAGGCCTAGACCCACACACTCTACATCCCGCCTTCCCCTCTACCAATACCCGACCTCCACCCCCCAACCAGTCTAAACTGGTTACAGATGACGTCCAACCTCTCTGCATCTACAAGTGGTCCGTTACACAGATGTCCATCGAGAGGCGGAACTGCTTATGTGTGATTGGGCTGTGTGGTCAAGAGGATTGTCATGCTTGTCTCGATCCTACCCTAGGCTTACACGCATGACCACCACTACGACCTCGTCTCGATTGGATCGCCAGGTACATGGCCCAATTTCTACTTGCTAGAGAAGCTTGATGTTTTCCTTTGCCGTAGGATTCGTTGTTGGGGCGCTGCTTCCCTTCGATGCACACTCAGCCGCGGAAGATGTTGTGGGCCTTTTATAGTCAGCTGCTTTGCGTAGTGATCTCCATCTTCGCATCTCGCCCTACTCGACGTGTATGACGCGCTTAGACCCTACTGTTTGCCATATCTCGTTCTTCGTCCCTTGGTGGACTGGGCTCATGGCAACATGATGGTGTTTTTACCTCTTATCCTCGCGCTTTTGGCTCCAGATATGACACGCGCAGTAGCTTTCTCGTGGGCAATGCCAGAACAAACACAATCTACATCGAGGATGGAAGGCTGGACCCCCGCACCCACTGCACCACCACAACTCCCCTTTGAATTGTTCAGACGAGAGCAAAGTGGGAGCAAAACATGCGGGTTTGCTTCTGGGACTTCAGGTAACTTTCCACAGGCGCGGTCATGTTTAACGAAAATACTGACTGTCCTAGAAAGTGCAATAACATGCCCAAATCCAACAGAAACATGTGCCACAAACACCTACTTCGGCGTACACGGCTGTTGCGACCCGTCCTCAAATTCCGCCTGCACACTAGCTACCACCTGCATCGCTTCAACCGCCATGTCCGCATCTTGCACAGACGTAGCCTGCTCAACCAACTTCGCAATAGTGAAATGCACTGATACCTCAGCACCCGCATGCTACGAGTGGCGCTTCATCTACGACAGAATGGTCTTTACACAACACGGCTGCGCAGCCACACCCTTCACAAGCACAGCTTTCCACAGCCTGGGCATGGCGCTTTCAAGCAGCAATACAGTAGACGTAACATTCACCGCAACAGCCACTCAAGAGCCCCTCGTCACACCCCCTTCCTCCTCCTCCGCCCCATCACCAAATCCCTCCAAACCCGGCATCGGCATCATAGTAGGCAGTACAATCGGCGCCTGTCTCTTCGCTTCATTCATCGTCATCGTCTTCTTTCTCGTGTGGCGCAGACGCAGGGCCGTGAAGAGAAATGCGGTACAGACGCATTTGTATCAGCAGACGACACAGACGTTGGTTGAGTATAATCCGCTTGGGTTTCCTTCGCCGGTATTCTCGTCGCCTGCGAATCCGTATCGTGATGAATGTAAGGGGTGGCAGCAGCAACAACAGCAGTCGATACAGGGGAATGGGGAGGTACCGCGGTATCCGGGGATGGAGCAGGGGCGGTTGGGCATTGTTGAGGCTGATGGGTTTGAGAGGCCGGTGGAGGCGCCTACGGCTGAGAAATGAGTGTGTTTTCAATATTGGTTTTTTTTGCGCGGGTCTTGAGTTTGGCCTCTGTGGCTGTTTTTCTGTGATACCCTTCGGGGTCTTTTAGCATGGTGTTGGCTGGCTCGGTTTCGCTGGTGGGTGGGTGTTTCTAGTATATCTAGCACAAAGGCAATCCTATCAGGATATCAAGTCAAATTATGTGCCATTTTGAACAAGTTATATTAGACTTGTATGTTGAGATACCACAGATGCTATGTACCCTTTTCCCATGCATTTTGAGAGCAATATGCTCAAGATTCTTACAGCTCCAAGGCTGATTGAATCGAAATCGACTTTATATCACACTCCATCCACATTCCCGTAAAAGCAAATGCCATCTGTACCAAAGCCACAGTTGCAGCCCTGTCACAAAGACATCTACCACGCAGGATGACCACCAAGCGGATCCAACCCATCAACACCCACACCCCCACTATTGGCATCATAAGTGCCCGGCACCAAACTCGCCAACCTACACTCCTCGACCCCATAGTGCAATTCAGGCTTGAACTTACACCCCTTGACAACCTGTCCCTGCAGTCCCATACAACCATCCTTCTGACAAACATGGCCATAGAAGCATTCGTCCTTTCTACACTCGCCCTTCTGCGGACACGGATTACCCTTTACCACGTACTCCAAGACGCGCTTAGTATCCGGGTCGATGGGGCTATGGTCGTAGGGGCAGGGGAACGCGGTACAAATGCCCTGGAGGTGGTATGTGTTGCATGGTTTGGCCTCTTGGAACAGGGTGTTGTACTTCTTCCAGTCTTGCTGGGTGGGCGTGGGGATGTAAGGGTCGAGGCGTTTGTGTGAGCGGTTGATGGGGATGAAGCCGTGGACTACGGTGGTGGGTAGGACGGACGAGATGTTGCTGCGTTTGTTGGGGTTTTGGAAGGCTTGTGATGATGCTGGCGGGGCTTGCGAGGACTGTACGGAGAAGAACTGTGATGATTGGCCGCTGGGTGGGTGGTTACCGTTTACGCCGTTGCTGCTGTCGAAACCTTTGGGAATGTGTTGAAAGTTACATTTGTTGCCGTAGCGACAAACGCCTTTCTGGAAGAAGGTGCAGGGTTGCTTTTCCTTTGAAGCACTCTTTTGGCCGCCTTTTGCGGTTTGGGTGTATGCCGATCGCTCTTCCCATCCGACACGATCCTGTTCTCTAAAGCCATTATTAGTCAGTGGAGGAGATGAGTCGCCCAACGTGGAATCGGTCACGCTAAAGGAGCCATCTCGTCGCCATGATTCCTTACGAGTAGATGCTCCTGGCATTAGTACCAGCTTGGGTGCTGCTGCCTTGTGCTTGGACGCCGCAGGTGCAGCCGCCTTGCTGGGAGGTGCGACAGCAGGAAGTCCAGACCATCTAAAGAGTGTCGGAAACTGAGTGATATTCAAGTTGAATTGCTGAAATTCCGAGTTCCATCCGGCGCCCTGGACGAGTGTAATCTTATCGCGTACTCCACTGTAGGGTATGAGTTGAGATAGGTAAGCCGAGTCATGGCAGCCAGCAAACACTATGTGACTGCAGGCTGCGTCTTCTGAAGCAACCTTGAATTGTTCTGTCGGGAGTTAGTCTTGAATGAATCATACTGTGAAAATCACTTACCTGTAATCTTGAACTTCGTTCCCTCCTCGTCCAAAGCATCAACGTAGTCAAATAAGCTTATCGCGCGGGTAAACCCAGCCGTAAAGGACGAAATTGAACGCTTTTCCAACCCAACCACTTTTGACTTTGCAAGTTGTTTTGACAAGTTTGTTAGGTCAGCGTATATGCGAACAAATACACGTGCTTGGCGGGCATGTGGGACGCTGTGAGCTAGATACTTTTCTACGGCTTCACTGAGCATACGAGCAGCGCGCATACCACCTTCCTCTTTATCGCTGATCAACTCATCGTTGAACTGCAAAATATTAGCATTGTACTATCCAATTAGGTGATATGACTGACAATGTAACCGTTGCCGTCCACAAGCACTAGGACGTAAGGGTTTCGGGGCTCTGCAGCTGCAGATTCCGTAGACGTCGGTACAGCTCCTGGGCTAGTGGTACCTCTGCTGCTACTATTCTCGTAGGCATTTTTCAAGGTTTTGTACTCGTCGAGTAACTGGCCGTACTCCTTGAGGAGGTTCTAAGTGGGGTTAGCTTGATGCGGCGTAGTGAGGACATCTCAATCCAATGCTTACCGTCAAATCAACATGTCTGGTTTGATCGTTGAGCTTAAACTGTTCCAAGCGCGTGTCGAGGGAGTTGATCTTGCTATCAGCTAGCATTTTGGCGGTTGCGCGCCGTTGCAGCTAGTCCTGACGTGTTGTTCTTGGATGCTTCGAACAGTCAGTGGCCAGACTAAATGATAGGACTAGGTAGCAATGGACTTACAGCAAGCGCGAAAGTAACACTAGACCAATCTACACAACTCCCATAGTTGTCGCAGACCTATTGTTGTTGTTTGTTGATGAAGGAATTGTGACCGTTGATTTGCGACATGCGGGTCTGCGACGGGCAAGGGTTCCGCCCGGAGCTGCGCCTGCTCTAGTGCGAGCTTTTAGCGCGTCAGCACCCTCCGCCTCTTTACTGTGGAGGTTGTTGCCTTCTGTGATGTGGTACGCGATAATGCGACTCGAGGATTCTACCGAGTACGGTGTATCAAAATCACCGAATTCCCTTGTCGAGCGGACCGGCTCGCACTTTGGGGTAACACCGCATGTCCGTTAGCAGAAGGCCACATGACAGCGCGTAGTCATAGCCAGGGGTCTTCATCAGACACTGCAAGCATCAAAAATTTGGCCCATGAACACTTGTTTTGAGACTTACCACAACTGACATTCTTTGACAGCAATCTTGTAAGCGATATCTTCGTACTATGATTCGACCTCATTCACCACGTGCCAACTTGACAAAGCAGTTCCGCAAGATTCTGGAGAGTAAAATCGTAGTCTTGAGACTTTGAGAAGAGACACAAGCGCTGGAATTGATAAGAAGTACTTCTAGGAGGCGGCCTCGGACTATATGGGCACTTTGGCACTGTGTAGGAAACATTGAAAGACGTGGACGTCTTCCTGCATGTGCTTCAATCAACTACAATTACGGATGGTCTCATTGCTCCCCACGGCTAAAGTTTCACCAGAAAGAACTCAAAATCTCCAATCTCGTGGACACTTAAGCTTCTGCCCCAAGTCCAGTACATCCTCAAATCCTAGGCCAGACAGCATCCAATCAAGATGACAATTATAAGTAAAGTGGCGAATGGCCTCATCATGGCTCGGTATCGTACCAAAATCGTTTGAAAGCCTGTGTCTGTCGCTGTCTGTCGGAATCTAACAGGACACTAAGGCCATAGTATAATTATAGTTCTACATGCGTGTCATGTTAGCATGCAGCCTCATCAATCGGGCTCTCAGCAGGGAAACAGGGTTCATCATGTCTATCAGCCGAAATGAGAAGGTCAGTCATGAATCGTTAATTTAATAATCCATCACTATCACTACAGAGAATATCTAAAAGTCAAGTCTTGCTTATCTGTGACATCAGCGCCAGGCTCATACACTGTAACAGCGGACTCCTTTTCGAGCTCATCCCTTCTCTTATTCTCACTCCATCCATGGTACCAATAGTACCCCATAAGCACAATGAGAATCGCCCAATCCGCCACCGAGACCACAAGACCGGCCGTATACCTCGGCGCTGTCTCGGTCGTCCACAACTGAGGAAAGCCAATGCATCCGGAACAGTAGCCGATAAAGTACACAGTATTCACAACCGATCGCTTTGTGTTGCCGCGTATGTTGGACGCGTTCAAACTCATGGTGAGGGAAAAGATGCTGGAAATGCAACTTCCGAGCCAGGCGGCAATGATGATAGGCCAGCCGTGGAGAGGCAGTGCCAATAGCATGATGCACCCGGTCAAGGGTATCGCAACGAGTCCGATGATGATGAAAGAACGTTTCTGCGGCCAGATGAGGCACGCGATGATGCCAATCCAGATAGCTACGATCTGGACAGCACCAGATGGAGATCCATGCAACAGTGTTTCACCAGAGGTATAACCTAGTTGTTTGATGATCAAGGACGCAAACTGAAAAACTTGTTAGCGCAGTACCGCGATCCCCAGAAAGAGAAGGGACTTACAGTGAGCACCGGAGCCGGAGCTGTGACAAGGATACCAAACGCAAACGCAGCATATGTTTTGAAATCAAATGCTGCCTCTTTGAGTTGTTCCATGGAAAAAGATGTCTTGTCACCACCGTCGTGGTCCTCACGTAGACGATGCTGTGCAGCTATTCTCTCTTCTGCTGTCAAGAACCATGCCGTATCAGGCCCGTCGGGCATGATGCAGTAGAATGCTACACCGCAGAGCGAGGTGAATATTCCACAGACGAGTAACATGAGTCGCCAGGAAGCAAGTGACGATGTGTTGTGTTGCCCGATGCCGTACATGAGTAAAGAGCCGACGATTTGCGCAAGCGCGTTGTAGGTAATCCAACAACTGTTTTGAATCTTGTCAGTCATGTATGCTTGAACGTTGGTGTCTGATGAATTACCCTATACGCAGCGCATGCTCACTTCTCTTGTACCAGATGCTTGTAATGGTGATGAAAGCTGGACTGACCGCCCCCTCTGCGGCTCCTAGGAAGAAACGCACGGCAAGGAATCCGCTGTATGTCTTTGGAGTGGCAAGACACATGCAGACTGCGCCCCAAATTACACTGTCGAATCAATATTTAGAAATGGGGTTCAGGCTTGCTTGATCCAGCGGGTCACTTACATTGTGATACCCACAAACTTTGACAGTTTAAACCGACTCATCAGGTAAATGAATGGGAACTCAGACACAAGCTGCCCAACGTAGAAGATGGAAGACGTCCATGCGAACTGATTGCCTTTCAAGTCTAGATCGGCAATGAGGCCGTACACCGATGCATAGCTCAGACTCTGTTTATCTAGGTCTGAAAACTGGTTAGAAACGCTGGTGATGCTAACAGAGAGATGTTGCGCTTACATTGGAAGAAGAAAACAAAGCACATCTATTTTGGTCGTTATTGTAAGCCTTGGTTGTTCCAAAATCAGCGCCGTAAGATTTACCATTGGTAAGACAACCATATCAGTCTTCCTGAGAACTCGTTTCTCCAGCGCCAACATGGCAAGATCGTCACTTTCCGAGTTCACTATGCTATTATTCAGGCCACTGGCCATCGCAGTCATCGGCTGTGCCTTTTCGTCGCTGGGATCCAAAGTCACCATAATGGCATTGGGGAGGGAGATAAAGTCGACCTAAAACGCAAGGTAAAAGCCACAACCTGGCAATTCACGAGTTTTTTCTATCCCTTTGGAATTCGACAAATGTATCTAAGATAGTTATACGAATACCGATACGTGAATTTCCACTCCTGTTGCACAATGGCGCATGAAGCCCGGCTTGGGCCTGTGTCCGGGGTGCGGGGAGAGCGCCCCACACGATAAAGCTAGTTCGCTCCTTTTGATAAGAACCGTGGGAAAGGACACTCGGTACGAGACAGGCGGTTGCTTGGTGTAATTGGTGATGTTTCCGACGATAGTACATATACCCGGAGGTTTGCACGTATACCCGATGCTAGCACACATACCCGATGTGAGTGTATGACACGGGCCCACGTATCTGTAGCTTCTCCGCTCAAAAATGGGTCAGTGTGAGCGAACTAAGTATACGGGTTTGGAGAGGGGCTGATAGCAGTGGAGTTGGGATGATCCGTGCGGTGTAGATCCCTTGAACAGCCACTATGGTTGGTAGGTCGTTGATGATTAATCACTTGGTAGTACGACGGCCGAAAGTAAACTCGTTTCCGAGATGATTTCGAATTCTTAGAGTGGATTTTATCAATACCAATTTCAAATCCTCTCACCTCATCACTCGGATCAAGTTGCTAGTTGCAATGGTGTCTGCATCTCTATATCGCGAACAACTTCAGAAGCCATGGAAGCCCTCAGGACAAAAGATCTATGTCTTTACTAATGTCAATCTTGTCGATGTCGAGGCTGGAGTTATCCACGAGAACTCCACTGTCACACTATCTGGTGGGCGGATCGAGGATATCAGGCTTCAATCTCACACCAATGGCGACATCGCCGCTCACACCTCATCCGACGCCGCCACAAGAGTAGATTTCGGGGGCAAGTACCTCTGCCCAGGCCTGTTCGATTGCCATGTACACATCATTGCCGTGCCAGGAGAGAGAGAATGGCAAGATACCAAGAATCTGAACCTAACAGCTTCAGCCTACAGACACGCATATGTCTGTCAGCAAATGCTCGATAGAGGCTTCACCGCAGTGCGAGATTGCGGCGGTGCATCACTAGCCCTCAAACAATCAATCGAAGACAGTTTAATCCAAGGCCCTCGATTATTCATCGCCGGTGCATTCCTGAGTCAAACAGGCGGACACGGAGACACGCGCGGCTCTCACGACCACTCCAACATCGAATGCTGCGGCGGCGGTTCATCAAACTTCCCGTCTTTCATTTGCGACGGCGCACCAGAGTGTCTGCGGGCAGCTCGGGAAAACATTCGAACGGGATCCGACTTTCTTAAGATCATGGGCGGTGGTGGTGTTTGCAGTCCGACAGATCGTATCGACAATGTTCAATTTACGTCGGAGGAAATTCGCGCCATTACTACGGTCGCTAAGAATAGTCAGACATTTGTGACTTCGCATGCGTACACCCCGCAATCGATCCGGCAGGCGATGGAGAATGGGGTGCTGGGTATCGAGCACGGCAACTTGATCGACGAGGAAACCGCTGAATTGATGGCCGAAAAGGGGGCGTATCTCACACCCACTTTGGTCACTTATACTGCGATGGGAGAGGAGAAGTTTGCCGGATACATGCCAGCAGAGTCCATGGAAAAGAACGCACAGGTGTATGCTGCAGGATTACAAGGGTTGAAGATCGCTGCTGACGCTGGAGTAAACATCTGCTACGGCTCTGATCTTCTTGGACATCTTGGTATGAATCAACTTAATGAGTTCACCATTCGGAGTCAGGTACTGCCTCCTCTGGCCATCTTGCAGAGTGCGACTATAACACCTGCGAAGATGATGGGACAGGACAAGTTCCTGGGTCAGATCAAGGAAGGCTTCGCTGCGGATTTGCTTGTTTTGAATGCCAATCCTTTGGAGGATATCACTATCTTGGCACAGCCGGAAAAACACCTTTTGGCTGTTATCAAGGACGGGAGAGTATGTATGAGTAGATGGAGGTCGCTTGATCAAGATGTTCATAAGGTGCGGGCATACATAGAATGAAATCCTTGGTATTATGCGGATAAGTCAGATAGAACTAGTAATCTGTACATTTGACAGCACACTTCATGGGCCCAGTAGCCGAGTATCTCCACTTATCCCTGACCGTAGGTAGTCTGACCACTGTGACTTTCCAGAAGCTGCGTCATATCCAGTACGTCCATCCTGCCATCGTCCCACTCAAAACCTCTAGGAACCGCTCCGTCATCGATGGATCCATTGTACATATCGAAATTCCAGCTCAAATTCCCCTGGTCGAGCGAGCTATCGTTCGGCATGTAGAGCATGTTATCATTGGAGCCAGCTTCGTAGCAAAAAGGGCGCTCACAGCCACGCAATTGAGAGGAACCATGCACAATTTCTTGGGCTGGTTGAGGATGTTGATTTTCAAGCCCGCATACATCACTTCTGGAGGCTTCCTGCTCCGACATCCAGTTCACCCAAGCTTGGTAGGAGTTCGTGATATCAGTCGGTTGCATGTGAACCGCTGTAGAAGAGTCGCTCTCGCTCTTATATATCCTCTTCCGTAAGTCATAAGCGAGCCTTCTGAGCTGCTCAATAGTCTGGAGATCCGAGGAGGCTCCACGACAGCCCCCGCGTGCCATATAGTGCAACATATCGACACCATCGTCAATGATTCTGCTCGTCTCATCTCCTTGTTGTAGAATACTATGGAGTATTAATACGATCAGTGCTGCTGTCGAAGCATGATGATCGGTGAACGAGAAGCGGCAAAGTAAGTTGTGCTTTCTCAAAACGAGAATCAACTCGATAGTCGCCTTAGCAGCGTCGACGCAGACAATAACAAGATCCATTCGGCCATGAGGCTGGTCCGGAGAGGAAGGGGCAGAGCTTAACAAGGCTTGAATGCGTTCGCGCGAAATCTGGAGGAGGGAGGCACGCCCCATAAGAATCCATGCCCAATGATAATGTATATGCAGATGAACTGTCGTGCGAAAATTTCGCTCGCTAGGAAGCAGGTCATTGGGATGGAGATTGGAGAAAAGCTGAGAGCGCCATTGCTTTAGTTGTTGGGATAGGTCCTCAACGCATGGCAGCTTCGACTCGAGAGGACTTGTGTTATCGTCAGTATCAGATCACCGCTGCCAAGGCTTGGTCCTTACATGTTCTGCACAATCTGAGTAATGATCTTTGTCAGTTTGAGATATTCGACTTGATGCTGCACATTTGATTGGTACTCCAGTTCATCCAGCGAAGAGTGGTACTTTGGGAACGGAGCGTCTACAGCATCTTCCGCGATGCTTGAGGGACGTCCTAAGGCGATGCTTGTGCGCCTAATACAGCGTCAGAGGGTAAGGCGAACTGAGGATATGAGGACTAACTAACTTATCTATGGAATAAACACTCCACCACAATCGATTGCGGATCTCTGTAATTCAAGCATCTAACGGAGCGGCTAGGGTCTTTCGGTGCAGCCCACTGGCAATTGACATCCTCATAGCCATTCCAAGGTATAGATAGGCCGTATCAGGCAGATTGTAAGGCAAGTTGTACAGACCTGCCAGTAGGCATACTTGAATTCCCTTCAAGGTACACGTGGCTATGATTCTAGGAATGAGTTTCTGAGCACAGTCGTAGAATCTCTTACCGGGGTCTAAGCCTGGAGGTAAAGAGTCTTGGGGCTTGTCTCTTGATCTCAAATGTGCAAACTGACTACCGAAGGCAAATACAAGTAACGTAAAGCATATGAATGCATCGTCGGCCGCACTTCCAGAAGCATTCCCGGTAAACACGCTATTGAGAGTAGTATGGAACCATTCTTTGTCGCAGTAGAAGAACGTTGCTTCCACATAATAGAAGAACGTAGAAACAAGGAAAGAGGAGATTTCTCGAGGTGGAAACAGTTTTATTGCTTCGATAGACTCTTTGCTTTGGATAGGTGGTAGCTTGGCAATGCGAGGTGTTTCCAAAAAGTTTCGGTCCGCCGGATCCAGGAAGTTCTCTCGAGTGGTGGCGTGCAAAACGTCCTGAACGCATAGAAGAAAGCTTTTATTAGAACGCAGGCCAGTATATTCGGTTCGTCCGAGATCTTCGACAATCAAAAGGGCACCTTCTGACTCTTCGCTAGGGACAGGAGGTTTTTCTGCAGGCGATTGTACTCTGCAGTCTGAAGTTGTGCCCGTTGGGCTCGTTTCAGTGACTTTCTGGACAGCACCTGATGCTGTGAGAGATAGATCGTTCTCGGTGAAATGGCCTAGGACTCTGACTTGAGTTTCCTGCAGCGAAGATGCAGTGTCGGCAGCCCTTTCTCTCTCCACGGACCTGGTAGGGGATTTGCTCGTTTGCTGGCAGTTGGCATTGGCCGTTGAGCTGATGATGGGAGATTGTGAGGTTCGAGACGCCTTCAAATCACAGTCTTCACCCTTTTCCACACATCTCTGGCAAGCACCTGCACGTCGTGTTATGCAGCGGCTCTTACGAGCTCTGCACACTGCGCATCTGCATTGCGTATGAGCATCCCAAGGTTCATAGTGGGAGATGGCCTTATCAGACTCCAGCAAGATAAGCACTCCACTTACGCATGCAACACTCGAACTCGAATTGCATCAGGCACGCGTCGTAGACGCGGATTGTGTGGCATGGCCAGACGCCACTGCGACAGTTCTAGAGCTTAAATATTGCCGGAAGCAAATGTGATTCCGAAGATTCATCAGTTAGGAGGTTCGGGAGGCTCGGCAGGCTAGGGTTTCTCTTCGATCGCAATTTTGTTCGATATAATTATTTGAGGACTTTTGGATAAGCAGGTTCGGTTGAGCAGTGCCTCATTCATACTTATGCACCTGGGCAGGTGCCAGAAGCTAACGCTAGGCTTATCGCCCTCGGTGTGATATGGATTAATTAGACCAACCAAACTAGCGAACGTCGGATTCTGCCCAAGGCGGTGGAAGCGATGCTGGGCAACGGCGAGTATTTGTCCCCGAAATAGTCGTACGTGATCACCGAACATCTCATCAACCGTAATCTGAGATAATCAGCGGCGGAAACGCTATCCGCAAGCATCACATCCAAGATGACATGACCCTTTGAACCTTTGAACTTTATATGAGCTTATCTTTATATCCAAATACATATGTGTTGATACGGCAAAGGTGAGGTTGAATCAAGTAACGGTCGTTGCAACGAGTTGAAGTAGATGGTTATGATTGATTAGAGGAGGTGGGCTGCAGCTCGCGTACGAACTGAATCCCACCCCACGGCACGTGCTCGCCACGTACGTACGGTGGCTCGAAACTAAGAGCAACCAACAATATGTTAAGTACCAAACCGCCCTGCACGATGCCTAGTGCCAGACGAGCCTCCGACGTCTTGACAAGATAAAATGACGCATGCCAATGATCACCACTGGTGAGAATTGTGGGTATATGAAACGCCTCTTGAAAGAAACCTCATGCAAAAATGCCCTTGAAACCAATGCTCAATATTCCTTAAAGCCGATGACAAATGCCGCGAACTTGTTCCGCCTGATTTCAAAATCCACCTAATTACCCCCCAAGAAACCTCGCAAAGCAGACCCCACGTGTTGGTCATCGTAACCTTGACCATGCATCTGCTGCGCCATCTGTTGTACCATTTGATTGTTGTTTACAAACGTGCGCTGACCCTGAGTACCAGAACTACCTGGTTGTGCGTTCGCAGGGCCATGGTGTGCAGATGGGACGCCGTAGTTAGGCAGACCGTTTGAGCAGGTGCCACCAGGCTGAGGGCCTGCAAAGATACCATTCATAGGACCGGGCGGCGGCCGCACATATGCATTCTTAGGTGGGCGGCCGACTCCAGAGTATGGAGGAGCCGGAAGAGGCTGACCCTTGGCCAGTGCCGCCTTCTCCCTATCCTTCTTTTTCTGCTGCACCAGTGTACCCTTAACGCCACGCAAGTACTTCATCGCGGCGTCAACGAGTTCCTTCTTCTCTGGTGAGTTTTTGAGAGCTTCCAGCATTTCGCGGACTTGCGTCTCGGACTTGATGTGTGGGCATGTACGGCTGTGACCATAGTGCGCTAGACCACACAGGCCGCAGTGCTCCACTCCCGCAGCTTTCAGCTCACAAGCACCTTGAGGATGGTCCTTGTGACAGGCTGGGCAGATGTGATTGCTATGAGCGCGATATGCCGGCTCAAGAGGATTGCGGATGGGTATATGGGCGCGTTCGAAAGGTTTCACTGTCGTTCCATTAGCTTTTACTGCTTTTGCCGCGGGCGCTTGGTTAGACGAAATCCATTCGACAGAACCGGATGAGGCATCACGAGAGGCTCGAGTATGTGTAGTAGCTGGAGCAGTGATCTCTTCGACGCTGCTAAGCTGTTGCGACGGACCTGAGGTACTCTTGAAGCCACCCCTCGGCGGAACGACGAATGATTTCACAGGCCTGTGTTTGGTGGCTGGCGAGTCCATGGAGAAAGTGACTGCATGAAATTTTGACATTTGAAATGGAGGAATTTGGGACGCACCTGCGCCATTTTGCTTGTACAGCGAGGAATTGGCGTTGTTGGTCGTACTACGACGACGTTCGTGTCCGAGCTCTTTGGCTGCGTCGATGTCGTCAAAAACTTGCTCAGGCTCACTCTCATCTTCGGAATCGGCTTGGAAGTCGGTGTCACTCTCGGAACTTGCCCTGACCTTACGCTTCTTGTTCTTTTTGCCTGGCGAGGGTGGTGCTGTAAGAGTATCTTCGAAATGGTCGTCGTCGCCGACGGTAGATGCGGTCTCTGCGTCTTTCTTCTCTGTAGCGTAGTCAACAGCCTGTGTATGTTAGTAACTGCTTCTATCGTTAGTAGGTCTACTTACTGCTTTAGCCCGTCGCCCCCTACCCATGGCCTCTGCTCGCGCAAGTGCCTCAGCCGCAGCAGCAGCTTGTCGTTCCTTCAAGATCTTATCCCAAACACCTGGGTCTGGAGCAATTTCTTCATCTACAGTGTCGAAGTCATCTTGCAGAGTACCCTTCTCGTTCACCCAGATACGAGCGAAGCCAAACTGTGACTCTGCTGAGTCGTCGTCGCCCGTTTTGGTGTTCTCAATCTGGCTACGATCAAGCAGCTTGTCGATGGAAGCGTCGTCGTATCGAATATCGTGGTCTGCGTCGTCGTCCTTGAAGAGCTCTGCTGCACCATACTTGAGTATAGACTCTACATCCTCATCTTCTGGGTCTTCCCTATCCAAGTCCTGGACGACCACTTTGTCAAGAGCCATCTTCTTCTTGCCCATCTGCATGATTTTCTCCTCCACAGATGCTCGTGTCGCTAACTGAAGACAGAGCACCTTGTTCTTTTGGCCGATACGATGGGCTCTAGCAATTGCTTGAAGATCTTGATGTGGGTTCCAGTCCGGATCCAGAATAATGACTGTGTCCGCAGTTGCGAGATTGATTCCAACTCCACCCGCACGAGTGGAGAGAAGAAAGGCGAAAAGAGGAGAATCTGGTGCGTTAAATTGGTCGATCCGCTTTTGCTTTTCGAGAGAGCCCATAGTGCCGTCTAGGCGCTGGTAGGGGAGTTGCATGCCATCCAGGAAGTCTTCAATGATGTTGAGCATGTCAAGAAACTGACTGAAAATAAGCACACGATGGCCGCGTTCATGGAGCTTTGGGAGTAGCATTTCCAAAAGACTGAGCTTAGCGGAAGCTTCGACTAAGTTGCGATGAGAGACGGCAGCAACATCACTCCGTTCTTCGATCTCGCGACTGTAGACAAATGGATGGCAGAGACATTTGCGCAATTGCATCAAAATGTTGCTCAAGTTGGCGCGCTCCTGCTGTTTCAGCTGCTTATCCGAGGTAAAGAGGGCCTTTAGAAGTTCTGGACTCTTGGACAAGATCGACTTGTAGACTTGCTTCTGTAAGTGACTCATGGAGATAGGGAGAATGATTTGACCAAGTGGGGGTAGGAAGGTTAGGACTTTAGCCTTGGTTCGCCGGAGGATGAAAGGTCGAATCTGATTGTGTAGTTCTCTAATGTTCTCGGCAGTCATCTCCGCGTACTGCTCTTCAAGCTCAGCGGCGTTGATGGTGTCGTCCAGAAAGTGCAGCAGATTGAACAACTCCCTGGCATTGTTCTGCAGGGGGGTGCCGGTCAATAGCAACCGAAAAGGTGCGCGCACTGCCGTGAGGGCGGTATACAGCTGGCTTTTGTCGTTCTTCAGCCGCTGACCTTCGTCCACTACAAGACCTGCCCAGCTGACACTCTTGAAAAACTTCCTGCAATTATCATCGGCAGCTGCATCATAGGATGTCACCACGACATGACATCGCAAGTCTTTCGTCTTTTCGGGAAACATCTCGTATTGGTAGGCCATTTCTCGAGCTTTCGCCGAGCCAAAGTATGCGACAACACGCAGAGAAGGCGCCCATTGCTTGATCTCGCGCCGCCAGTTGGCACACGTCGAGTTGGGCACTACGATCAAGAAAGGGAAGCAATTGTGCTCTTGAATGAGCGTTGCCATGAAGGCAATGACTTGGATCGTTTTGCCAAGGCCCATCTCGTCAGCGAGAATGGCATTTTTCTGCTCGTACCATTTGTAGTAGAGCCAATTCAGACCCTCCAGCTGGTACTTCATTAGCTCGCCACCAACGAGATTGTCAGGTTGCTTTTCTCTCTCCAGCTTAGCAAATGGCATGCTGCGAGCTTTCTCAAGACGTCCCTTGAGTGGGCCTTGCTTCGGAATCTTTACATAACGGCCAGCGACCCAATCGTTGTATGCAGTGACGAAGTCCAGCCACCTTTCTCCGTCTTCCGGAGTGGGAACACTCTCCCAAACAGTGTCTTCGTACCCAAGACCCTTGTATTTGATGAGTGCTTTATCGACCTCCTTAATGCGAGCTTTGTCGATCTCCTCGCTTCGCACCTCAACGTAGCTCGTGTACTTGATGTCAAGGACAATATCAATGCGAAGATATTCTTCTGGAATGGCGTCTTCGGTTCGCATTTTTGGCCCATCTTCACGTTTGAAGAAAGCCTTCCGTTGAACTGAGGCTGTCACACCCCAAGTCCAGGCACCCGAGTGCCATGCTGCGCGGAAGTAAGATTCGTTCTCCCACTTGATCAAGTACTGCTTGTCGTCTTCGCAGACTAACTCGCATGGAGTACCCGGCCGGTACGTTTCAACATCCGATGGGCGCCAAGCGATGATACCACCGACCTTCTTATTAGACGTCTCGTCACACTCTTTGCAGAGCCACTTGCCAGAGTACTCGCGAAATCGATCGTCCGCCATCTCATCGTCATCTCGATTGATATCCATGGCGTACTGCGACAGGGGTGGCAAATGGTGATAATGCCATGCCCTGGAGCATTTGGTGCAACGAAACAGAACGTTGGAAGGATTATTGACCAACTCAGACGGGACATCAACGACAGGATCGTGTCCGTCATTTTCTTCTCGCTCTTTCATCTCTTGCTGTGTAGTCTTCCGACGTCTGAACGGTCGGCACGACGCGCCTGATACAAAGCAGTCTTGACACCTCGACAAGTCTGGGGCAGTCGCGTCTTTCTTCTTATAGAACCCGATACACCGCTTGCATTGCAGTACAAAGTTCTCGTCGCCGACTTTGATCACCAGATGATCGCGGTTCGATCGATTGCCGAGACAGTTTTTGTGGTATGCAAGAGAGCAGCCTTGACAATAGACCAAAGGCGCAACGTTGGGACCATCGAAGCATACTTCGCAGCCCTCAGCGTGACGTGCGCGGAAAGGGTCGCTTCGCGGGAGTTTGGGAAAGACCTCACGCACGACCGAGACCTTTTGTGCAGCAACCTTGGGTGTAGAGTCTGATCGATAGATGTCGTTCATGTCCGCCTCTTGCATGTTGTTTGTAGCACGTATCGCGCGGTCAGATTGACGTGTCCCAGCTCGGGGTACCTTTTCAGGCTTTGCGGTGCGCGTCGTTCGCCGTTTGCGCTTTCGACCAGGCATAATGTCTGAATGCAGTATGTCTGAAGCGCTGGACTGATCTGTATCTTCATCTTCCTCGTCCTCGTCCTGCTCGTCATCGTAGCTTTGCGTTGGCATCGGCTGTCTTGTCGAGCGACGTGTAGGTTCTTGTGCGCCTTTGCGTTTCCGACGCCGACGGCTGCCGCCCTGATCTTCGGAGTCTTCATCGCCCGTATACAACGCTACACGGTCACTGTTCTGTGAGCGGGCCATTGACGGCCGTCCTCGGCGACGCTTCATAGTGCGCTGAGGACCAGGGCGACGTCGTTGTGAGTCCGATTCGAGCTCATCTTGATCCTTGTCTTCACTTGAAGAGATGGGGATGGTGGATGTGTCCACGAAACCATTATTCTTGGCTTTCGAGGCTCTATTGCGGAGTTTCATATCGTTGTCGTCGTTGCTAGGGGTGTCGTTCGGGTCGTCGTCCGGCTGATAAACTTGTAGTGCTTCTGGGCCACCAGGGAGTTCAAGGAGTTCTTCGAAGTCAACCTTTGCAGAATTAGTAGGTTATCAACGAGAACGTGTTGCGCAGAATAGGGACCAGGCAAAAGGAGCCTCTTATATAGACGAGCTTACCCATTTGCGCTCGCCACCTTTACCGCAGAGTGAAGGGCGTCCCTGGGCTGCAGAATTTCGCCACTCACCTGCTTGATGCGCCCGCCAAACAACCTGACTTGGTACAGCAGTTCATGACCCGCGAACTCCCGAAGGATAGTCTCCACCTCGTCGACGGGCTCATAGTACTTGTATTCTGAAGTATTGATCTTTTTCGGTGAAACTCGCACATACAAGGCCCTTTTTTTCTGAGGCAGCGTATTGATAGACATGGCATTGTCGTCACCATCTGAGCTGATGGCGGTGAAACGAGCACGTGGTGAGAATGACGACTCCTTTGAAAGCGCTCTAGCCGTACCCCTCTTTTTAAACGCAGTCATTAATGCCGCGCCATCTTCGTCATTGCTCATATTGCTAGCAAGTGTCGGGAGCGTCTACGGTTGACGTGTATCTGAACCGCTGGGCGAGGTCAAACGACTAGTTGATGTTATTGCATCGGGCAGTCGCGACTCGGTGATACCCGCGTTGAGAAGATTCGGCCTGTACTACGGATGACAATTACAGTATATTGACAGGTTACAAGTGTAAATTTTGGTCGGAGATGTCAGTGGGGTAACGTGGGAGGTGCACTTGGGTGAATGATGAGATGAGCACATGTACATGGGCAATGCGGAGTTGGGCCGACGCGTGATTTCGCGTCGTGCGCTAGTTAGTTAACACGTCTAGCGCGAACGTCTGGCTGGGCAGAGCGTAATTTTTTTGTGACGCCTCGCAAACGCAACTTTGAAACTGGTGTCGGATTCGTAAGCGTTGCGACTACAATTTGTCCTATCTACACTATTATGGTGTATTTCTGCCTCGGTGGTAATACTTTGCGTCATGTTCAGCAATCCATCCTCCCACGCACATTTTGCCGCTACAAATCAATCACGGCCGCTATCGAGAGGGGCAGGCATGACGGACGAGACCGACCTTTTAGACCCCGCACACAAACAGCCAACTACGACAATCGAGAAAGCCCCTTGAAGACACGCCGCGAAGCACGATTCGAACGGTTTGGTCCACCCCGCGATGACCCATTTCCAAAACCAAACAACCAGCGGTCGTCAAGAAACGAGGAGGAGCGTCCACCAAATGATAATAACGATGCATTGAGTAGCTTTGTAGAAGAGCGGCCACAAGGGGGAAGGGCCCGTCTATCGAGGGCTGGAAACAGTCGGCCTAGCAGGTTTGATGAAGATCGTCCGTCGAGGAAACCGTATGGTGAATCCAGCAAATTTGGAAGGGGGCGGCCAAGCGGAAAATGGCAAGATCGTCCGGCAAGGGCTGGGAGTGATTTATCTAACAGGCATGGAGAAGATCGCCCGAGGGGGAATTGGAAAGAGCGTTCGCAAAGCGACAGGGAAGACCGACCGGCAAGGGTTAGGGATGGTGGGTCTAATAGGTTTGGGAGAGACGGTCCACAGAGGAATTGGGAAGAGCGTTCGCCAAGTAACAGAGAAGGCCGCCCGGCATGGGCCAAGAGTGATGGATTTGACAGATCTCGGGGAGAGGGTTTCCAAAAGACCAGCAACGATAGATCCGGCAGATTAGGAGTAGAGAAGCCACAGCGAATTTCGGAAGAGCAAGCGCAAGAAACGTCGGTAAAGCAGCCGGTTAAGGAAGATACACGCCCAGAATTTGTGCAACATCTCGAGAATCTCAGATCGCCGTCGGCTAGGACCAAGCATAACAAACTCAACAAGCATGGACTGCTATACGTAGTCAAGCCCGATTCCGGTGAGGGAGACTCAACACGGTTTGATAAACCCAAGTCGGTACGAGGACCTGAGTCACTCCCGTATACCACGGCCGCATCCGAGTTCATCTATGGAACCCGCAGCGTATTAGCTGCTATCAAAGCAAATCGGCGCAAGTTCTATAAACTCTACATACATGCACGGGGCATGGAAAACAGTCAAGCTATCAAGTCAACCATCCGGTCTCTCAAGCTTTTCCACATCACTACGGAAGTTGGGGATGAATACATGCGAGCCATGGATAAGGCAAGCAACGGCCGACCACACAATGGTCTGATACTGGAAGCCTCGCCTCCCCCGGTCCTCCCCATTACTCAGCTAACGGCGGCATCTATTGAAGACGGAGCGTTTAACTTGTCACTCGACAGGCAGAGCGCAGAAGATGAGGCTATCAACGGCACGCAGGAGCTTTACGAGTACAAGTCAGACGGATGGAGGTATCCGCTGATTCTTTACATCGATGGAGTTGTAAGTTGAAGGCTTGCTGTATCTAGACATCCAACTAACCATACCAGGTTGACGAAGGAAACCTTGGCGCCATTGCACGTTCAGCCTATGTCCTGGGCGTCGATGCCATCGTTACTCCCACACACCACACAGCGGAATGGAGTCCAATCGCGATCAAAGCCTCGTCAGGCGCCGCCGAAGCAATGCCCCTCTTCAGGGTCAAAGAGCCAGAGCAATTTTTCCAAAGCAGCTCGCAAGTTGGATGGCGTATATATGCCAGTGATGCCGTACCGTTATCGACGCAAGACGGTCAACATGTCGTCTACTCCTTGTCTCAGAGATACAGCCCACTTCCGGCTGACCATAGCCCTTTGGCAGAGCACCCAACAATCCTCATGATGGGGTCCGAGCATTCTGGGGTGAAGAAGCATTTAGCGAAGATGGCGCACTACAAAGTGGGCATCCCTCATGGTCGAAGTGTCGATGAAGTGGGTGTGGACAGCTTCAATGTTAGCGTAGCGGCAGGCATTCTCTGCTACCAGATGATGCAGAGACCCCAATCAGCGGCAGAGCGCGATCCCGAGAATGTCATGTTCTAGCAGCAGTCTCGCGCACCTTTCAAGGGAAATAGTTTGTATACTCTAGGTGTACCCCGCAGTCACACTATTCGAAGCGGGTGGGATATGGAGTGTGGGTCGAGGCGCAGCTGTAGAAGCCTTGTTGGACGTGCGTCGTTATCAATCTCTCTCCCCTCCATGCACGCACCAATGAAGCACTGACGGTTCGCTTACAGCCGACCGATATCGATGACGGCGCAAGTGCAATGCGGAGTGCATGCGCTGCGACAAGTGCCTTGCCGGTTACCGCAGTCAGCGCCTCTTATCGCATGATGGAGAGAACATGGCGATATTCGCGCGCTGTAAAACAAAGCGAACACATGAAGCTTACAAGTCATCCTATGTTACGACGGTTTGATTGCAAAACAGACATGTGGGAAAATGGCTGCCCCACGTGTTCGCACATGTTGGGAAGCTGACGCCGATCGGTGGTGTGGCTGTTGTGCGTGACCATGTCCTTATCTTTGGCAAAAATACCGCGCACCTGTGATATGCAAAACATGCAGAGTCTAAGTTAGAGAAGACAACAAACTGAGGCTGGTAGAAGCAGATAATTGATAGTCCCAAGAGGGGGCGGAGTCATGACGATGCCGAATCGGCGATCGGAGCAGGGCGCAAAGCACGACATGGCATTTAAGACGGCTATTTCGAATTGCGATGATGCCCTGTGCCCCCGCGCATATCAGACCACACGATGCACCTCGGCGCAAGCAGAAGTTGGAATAAGCAAAGAGGCAGCGGTAAAGGGCTGTGCCAGGGTGAGTAAGACGCGTTAGGCGCTATCAGTGTATAGTGCAGCGTCTTTTGTAGCGGTGAAAGCCCCGAAAGAAGGTCGAGGGAGGGCTGGAGTGCTAGAAGGAGACATCGGCTAGACTTGTCGGCGTGGGGAAGGTGCGTCCAAGTTTGTCCCCTGTCGTCATTGCAAATGTAGTATGCACGGCGCACACACCCCCTTGTCCTTTCGCGACCATCCTCCCTTCGTTAGCGCCACCGACCAAGGCCTCGCTGCCTTTTTTCACCTAGACACACCCTCCACTACTGCCGCTATGGTGTGTTTCTGTGCCTTCTCGTAGTCCCGGCCTCTACCGTCTTCTCCGCATCTTCACTTGCCTTTGCCCTGCACCACGCTTGTCAGGCGCAATTAATCGCGCAGTCTCGAAACTTGCAAGTTATCTGCTCGGTGACGCCTCCGTCTTCCGCCCTCCGCCTGCAGTGTCTGGTACTGTACCTCCCACCCCCCGAGGAGCCTCTCACCTGAGCCCTGTACTGACGCCTTGGACCTACTAAGCGCGCATCCCATCCTACCATAAACCCCGCGACTCTTCTCATCAAGCCACCGACACACGCGACTCGACCATTTTCTGACTCTCTGCTACGAACCCGCCATTTCTTGCTGTTGCTGTTACTGTTACCGTGACACCCACCATGACGCGAAGAATAGTATACGGCGCGGGGCTCGCCTTTACCTTGGCCTGTGAGACTGCCATCACGCCCTAATATCTTAACGTAGAGACTGACTCCATGTAGGCACCGTCATGACGATTGCGAGCATCTCCATGCCCCGATGGGTCAGCTTCAGCCCCAACGGCGAGCGCGAATACTCATACGGCCTCCACAGTCGCTGCTCTGCCGTCACAGGCACCTGCGTTCCTTTTCCCAAATCGAGCGACTGCTCCAAAGATCCATCCTTTTGCAACATGTGGAGGACAGTCGGCTTCCTGACCTCCTTCGGCGTCGTCGTTGAGCTATGCGCCATCGTTTCCTTCATTGTCATCATCTCAGGTGGTGTGCAGCGTAGGGCCGCTGGTTGGCAGGTTGCCGTGGGCGTGCTGTCCTTCAGTGCAATTGTGCAGTGCGCCGCCATGGCCATAGTGGTACGTCTACCGGCACCTAGTTGCTGCAGGGTCCATCTACGTACGTTGTATGCAATGCTGACCCACACAGTCCTACCTATTCAACAACGACGACCGCTTCTGGAAAGGTTGGCACCTCGACCTTTCGTGGTCTCTATGCACCGCTAGTTGGACCATCCTTATTCTGACTTCGGTCGGCATCGCCGCATCGGCCTTCTACCTGCCAACTGAGGGCGATTACGAGCTCATCCCCGAGGAATACTATGGTCCGCCAGACGATCGGTGAGCGCCACCACACAGAGACATGCATTATTGATGCATCAGAGAATCGTTTTAATTGTGGTATAGGCTTATTTCGCGCATCGCCGCATGGGATAACGGATTCAAGGGTACCGACTCGGGCATGCAATATAGCTATCAGCGGGACCAGGACAGCATGAGTGATGTCGTCAGTATCGCTGCGAGCAGTATTGCACCCAGCTTTCGACGGGAGAGTGATGTCCGGAAGTAAATCAAAAACGCATCTTGGACATCAACTTGTGGCATAGCGGCATGATAACGACGAATACAATTTCTCAGAGTGAAATGTAATATGGAAGGATAGGGTTCAAGGCTTTGGGGGAAGGGAGGGCATCTGTTATTACTTTTGACGTCAATTTGTCTATTAAGCATGTTCTCCGGCATCTGCGTTGCCTTTTAGTTTATACGATACCCGCTACCGTCTAACTACGAGTTGGACAAAATAAACCTTTATTAGCTTATTCTTACACTGAGACTGCATTCCACGTGATGGTCAGAGGTATACTGTACTTGGTAACTTCTACGACATAAGGCTTGGCAGCTCCTGGGTCGAGCTGCCGGCATTAGCGTAGGATCACGCTCTTATCGACGCCAATAGCCATGGATCTGAACCGGGATTAGACTGGCTAGACTCCATAGTTGTTCTAGCCAATCGTCGTTTAGTATACCAATGTACATGGTAGGCCTCAATACGGTAGGCCTCAATATTCCGGGGCCGAAGGCATGCGCCCGCTGAGAAGTCTTGATTGTTTGCTGCACAATGGGAAAACAGCAATCAGTGCCGTCTATTGCTCGCTCGTACTGAAAACTGCCGCTTGTTCAGACAAGCCTTCTAGTGTTGCAATCTGATTGTCCTCACACTTATATCATAAAGAGTACGAGCTCAGTTTTTGATTAAGCTGAATTATCATTTCACCATCAACCTAAGCCAAAAACCCACAAACCCTTGCACCTTTTCGCTATGCCTCCTCTGAGCCTTGAGAAGACACTCTACCTCTTCTACCATATCGTACTGCCTCCGAAGTTGCCCCAAGAGAGCGATTGGAAAGCAGAGTATGAAGACGCCCTGCTTAACACGACAGTAGAAGCCCTCCAGACGTTCGGCGAGACTGTGCAAAACGAACAACCAGAAGTAGCCAGGTATGTACATGGATCTCACTGTATTCCAGCAATCTTTGTCGAAAGTATTCAAATGGATTTCAACCAAACTTCATGTCCAGCATTTACTCAGTATATGCCTTGGAAAGTACCTTCACAAGATCTGAGTCCTCAATGTGAGTGTACCAGCTAACATAAATTCTCATCCTATAGCCAAATAAATCTTGTAGCATCTTCAATCAACAACTTGCGTCCCATTCGCAATAAATCCGGATTCGTCAGCGACTCCCAACTCGCAAAGTTGCTCCATGGCCTGGCCTCCAGTAAGACGTCTGTGACTGTCCCCATCGAGATAAAGGCGCAAAACGCGGCGGTAATCATCAGCAAACAGAAAGCCGGTACCCATGTCCTCTTCGAGGTTTTCGAACTATCACCACCGAACGAGACTGTGATGCAAACCAAAGGTCGACTCAAGCGCTCTTTTCCGACGTTTGCTTGCCATATTCCACTCCAACAGTTCCAGGAAAAAGGTCTGATCAAAGCACTAGCGGAAACAATTGGTAGAATGAGCTGGGAAGAAGCGCCAGGCTTCCAGCCTCAGATCCGCAAGAACAAGAGCGACCACAATGAAATTCGCGACACCACGCACCCAGGCATGATCACTGATTTCCTCATGCACTTTCTCTCAGTCGTTGGCCAGCCGATTGAGGTACAGGGTGTTTGGAAGAACACTCGCGAAGATGTTCTACTGAACCGGGACTTGCTGCCGTGGAGAAGATCTTCCTTGTGGCTTCTTGTTCGCATAACCATGCAGCTTCAGCTCGCTCGCACGTCATCTGGAAATTTGTACAAGGCTATTATGGTTACTCTGTTGGTGAGGCTTCTCGAAAGTATGATGGCGCATTATGAGTCAACAGGTACGTAGAGCTAGTTCGTGTATTCAAGTGCACATCCGAATATCCTGCTAACATATTATGTCAACCTCTAGATTCTGACCTGTTGTACATCATTTCTGCCAAGCTGACCGGCCGGCTTCAGAAGCTGAGGAAGCTGATTCCCGGAAGCTCCTTCGATCTCTACACCAAGTCTGCCCAGACGCTTCTAGAAGAGGCACGATTACGGATGACGGCCAGGATCGACCGCCTTATGAACAGCGTGGACAACGACATCGACATGGCAGTACTTACCAATCTCCAGCCCCGGAACGAGCTTGATATTCATCTCCCACAAATAGATGAGTTCATTGCGAAGATATTTCGTAGGGCACGCCAATCCGACGTATCAGATTTTCAACCTAGTTCAAAATGTCTGGTATATCTGCAGCATGAACTGCCCACCAACTTCAGGGGCGCAGGAGAATACACGTACTTTTACTTGGCGACAGTTGAGAAATGGGTCGAGGATCACCTTTCTTCTTGGGTTGAGCGACGCATCTCCGATGATACAACATGTGAACAGCTACAGCGGCTTCTCAAAGAGTACTTCCAACAGGCGAGTTCGGCATACAGCGCCGCAAGCGATATGCCAAGGAGTCTATCTATCATGTACCTTACCGTCATGGAATTGTGGATTGCATGTGACAAGTGCGCCTGTAACATGTATCCGTTGTTACGCGACTTCAACCCAGAAGTGGAGTTATCCTCTTTCCACTCACTTTCCTTGCCTTTCAAGAGTCAGTTAGAGCGGCTGCTCGACGCTGAGGCTTACGTGGAACGTCGCCGGAATGATGCGAGGGCCGGTTCTCCGTCGCTCTACCGCAAGTTTGGCCATCCATCCTCCTTCGCAGTCAGGTTTTTTGATGGATCTTCAGAACATCATACGTTGCTTTCAAACCTCGAGCAGCGCGCAACGAAGGCACGTCAAGAAAAATGTCTCGAGCTGGCTCAAAAGAAGCAACAGTATCACGAACTTATAGCTGCGTCTGAAAACCGTGACTGCGACTACTGGGAAGTTTGGGACGAGTACCACGGATCAAGCAGCACTGAACATGCACCTGGGTGCAAGAAATGCAGTCTGCTGTCTCAAGCCGAACAACTCCAAATTCATGTTCATGAATGGCCATTCAATTCAAATGAAGCGATCGCAAAAGCAACGGTTTTCGAATTACAAATCCCAAAGGCCTACAGTCACTGGCGCGATGCGACGATGTTCTTACAGGTGGAAGTGTTAGGCTTCGTTCACAACGAGCCCACAGAACCAAGAGCGAAATACGAACTTAACAGACAAGATGGGTTGAGCAGCCTTTGGGACTCGCCGTCCGATCGGCGTATCAACCTTGTTTCTGAGGTCAAACCGCTCACGGGGAGCCACTACCGCATCAAGAAAGACATTGCCTTCTTACAGGAGAGCGACGTTTGTGTTGAAAATGCACTCCGATACCGATACTTCGACAGCTCGCACAACACCTTTATTAACATCCTGAACTCCACTCAACAGGTATCGGAAAGGTGCACATACAAACTTCCGGTTCGTTCATCGCAACTCCAAGCTTACTTACGAACACCCGTCACTCCGAACGACATAACTCCAAATCAGGTGATTGCACGTTTGTCAGATTGCCCCCCGCACTTCTCTTTGGACGAATACAAAGCCTTCGCATCAATTCCGATTGGGTATGGAATCCAATACCAGAACATTCTCGTGCAACTTGCGATGCCAACTGTAGACTTGAACAAGATCGAGACTCAGTGCTTGCTTTTGCAGACGATACACCGCGCAGGCCCACCCAGGGCCATAGGCAACACTATTCCAGAGCGTGCTGCCCACGAGATCCTTACCGGCGAGGCGTTCTGCCGGGCCCTTACGAACAAGATCGAGGCCGCCCTGAGGCGCATAAGCGAAAACTGGGAGACTTGGAGAGCTGTCGCAACTCTTGTGCAGATAACGTTGCGGATACTCAGCATCAATGCCTCCAATAGAATCGCTTCAAGATGCATAGAGCTGCTTGAAGAGGCTCGTCTGATATCGCTGAATTGGTTGACTCGCCTCAAAAAAAGGCTCCCTACAGTGATAGACGACTCGCAACGAAAAGAGCTCTCTGCTAGGCTTACCGAGATTGGCCTCCTGTGTACGAGTACATTCGACACTGATGGGAAATTTCTAGAAGATATGCTTTGTTCCCGCTCTTCCACAGTTTCAGTATTGCTCCAGGCTTCAATCGTGGTACAGGAGAACAAAGATGTCACGTCTTCGGAGCACATGTACCTTCATCGCGCTATGCTGCAGTCATGGAAATTATTGCTTCATCGAGCGTTGCCAGTGCTTGCTAGAAATGTATCTTCTGACAATGTACAAGACGATCTGAGCCAGGCCGTCGCGGCATCGTGGGCAACCTTCCGCCCTACGAGTCGCTGGAGCGTACTTGAAAAGCCTCGGAATCACTGGGTATACGTCAAATGCGGTGTACAAGCTGTCCATCTCAACCTCCTTACAGCTGAGCTACTTGTGAATGGTCGACCACTGTCTCGGCTCCCGGCGCAATACACACAACATCACCAGTATGCTTCACTTTTCGATAAGCTGCCGATCGAGGTGACGTCTACCGATGAGCCAGGCATGGAATTCTCTGCAATGCACCCTTTTCACCCCGATTGGTGTTACAATCTCCACTTCGGAATGGAAGGCTCAGATATGCTTGTCCTAGCTGCTCGAGATGGAACGAAGTTTGATGTTGTACCCTCCCGTGTATTCAAGGGCCAACTTCCTGCGATGTTTGTTGATGACTACTTCCACTGGTATGACCATAATACTGAAGAAGTCGAGTTTCGCCCCTTGGATGATCCCTGGGCTTCTACGAGTGGGCTGTGGCGTTTGAAGAGATATGGAGCTAATTGGCGCCTCGAGAGCGGAGATAGGTGTCTGATTGGCCCATCAAGCAGCACTGGCAGGACAATATCGAACATCTTGTCGCCTTTGGAGCTTCAATCGTACACCCATATCATCTTTGAAAGCTCTTCTGTCATCTGTGTAGAGCTTCCCCGACGACGACTAGGCTTCCGTTATGTGCCCGGAGATTCGAGGATTTACTCCCATCAGTACAAGGGGATGGTCATCGATACAGATCAGCGCATTGGAACCTTGTCTGGACTGGCCACTATACTCATTCTCAAATACGAGCAGGGGGTCGAAAATCGCTTGGCTCTCATACCAGAAGGTGATGTGACATATTCGACCACGAAAATGGGCCATGTCTCCGTTTCGGTCAACTTAGACACGGCCCGGACGACCCACGCGTATCAGGTAGACGAGATACTAGGCCGGATGATAGACAACGGAAGTCTGCAGAGCAAGCTCTTCCTATGCTATCTCCATGCGCTTACTTCTCATTGCCTCCCAGACACGCTGACCGGCCATACCGGGACTGAAGCTGCATTGTCGATCTTACGGTCAGGGGCAGCAGCGTCCTTTGATGTGCTTACCGCGGCCAACATTGCCCTTCTCAAGGCTATTGCTCAATTGACGCCAGCACGGAAGTTCTACCCTCATGATAAAGAGGTCATGCAAGAGGTCCATTGGGACCAAAACCTGCCGTCCATGTCCCAGCACCCCGACTTCCTTACGGCGGTACACGAACTGTTCTCCATATCGAGCAAGACGAAGCTACTACATCCCAATGATACCTATGTTGACTCTCCAAAGCTGGATTTTGTGAATCTCCATCTACTCAAGAGAGATATGATAAGAACATCAAAGTTTCGCGTCGATGGCTTTGGCGCAGAACATTACACCCATGACTTCGATCAACGCTACAAAGTCAGAGCTAAGGTTGTCGACTCGCAACGGGGACCGCGTAGTTCTATTGCTGCTGGACTGATTTTTTGCAACCAGGCTACTCTGCACTCTTCCGTTTCCGCACATAGCCTCCAAAACTCCCTTCGAACGGTCCATCTGCATAATGCCACAGTCCAAGGTCTCAATACACGATTGGATCCGCGCACACTGCGTTATGATGCTTCGTGGCTCGAGAAGCCATCTTCCTTCCTCCCTGACATGTGGTGCAACCTGCACTTAATGCTTTCAACAACGCCCGATCGTCTCAACAAATTCGATCTTATGATATGGCTGTCAACCGCCGCATTTGCGGAATCTGCAGATATGGACGTCATTCAAGCCTTGGCCGCATTCTACAATTGTCGTGACCTAGCATCAATCGAGATTCCTTCGGCCCCTAGCTTTAATTTGGCAAAAGGGGATTATCCTACTTTATCCGCGGTTCAGGACCTCGTGCGGATTTATCAACCTTACGAAGCTTGCCCTGAGTCTGATCTACCACGGCTGCCCGGGGAGCCGAATGGGCAACGGAACAAGAGAAGGAGAAAAGCTTTTGAGACGAATCGGGGCAAGGCCGCTAGGACCTTCGCAAGCGCACTTTATGGCCAGTGGCCCTGTGAGGTACCGACAACACCACGCACGGAGTTTGCGGAGACGTACCTGGATACCGGGAAGGCTATGCCTCGGGTTCGTCGTATGTTCAAAAGCTGGTACGATAATCGTTGCTTTTATCAGTATCTTCAGAACGTCTCGGATACACTAGCACGACAGATCGTCGACTGCGTGGGGACCAAAGACATTCACGTCGTCGACGTTCAGGAACATTCTGGAGAAATCAATGAGTTCTCTTTCTACGGCATTAAAGACGTTTTCAAATTAGAAGCTACCGACTCGTGCTTGCCGATGTCGCCGCCACCGCTCCAGATACCCACAGAGGAGCAAACCATGGACGAAGGTAGCCATCAAGCCAGAACGCGGCTCATGTCGCTATTCCAAAAGCTCAGAGTTAATGCAAAGTCTTCCCGCGAGAAGGAATACATCTCAGAGCTAGATAGAAGTTGCAAATCACTTGCACTTCAGGAAACAAGGTTCCAAATCAGTGCGGATATATCGAAACGCGACCTCCTCGTGCTCCTAGAGAGATACCTAGAGGATCGCCGGCGATTATTCGATGATATGACCTCCCTCCTACAAAGATTCGTTCAATCAGGCGACGAGTTTGCGGCTAAAATATGCCAGTCGCCTCGCATCTGCCCAATTTTCTGGCTTCGTCAATTAAACAGAGATTGCTTCGATATGCTGACTGAGAACTGGAAACAAGTAGTCATTAGATACGGTCTTGCCGTGACGGAGCTTCATCGCGCCCGGAGACTTCTGGCACTCTCTTCTCATCCACAAGAGTTTGCAGAAGAGTTGCGCAATCGCGGGCATCAAAATTGGGACCCAATGGAGTTTCCTGAAACCTTGCTGCTAGAAGCTGAGAGTGGTCTATTGGTCCGCGAGGTGCAGGAAGAAATCGCGAAACAAATGAGATGTCCACCAAACTATGCAAACTCCGTTATGCAGCTCAATATGGGAGAGGGAAAATCCTCCGTCATCGTTCAGATCATTGCGGCATTCCTGGCTCAGGGCGACTTGTAAGTGACCGTATCTCCATTGGATATCTTCAATCATACTAACTGTTAGCGAAAAAAGACTTGTCAGAGTCATTGTTGCAAAGTCGCAGTCACGACAGATGTTTCAAATGCTGGTCTCGAAGCTAGGGGGACTGCTCAACAGGCGAATCTATCATATGCCATTTTCCAGGGCCCTGAAACTCAGCTCCTCGGAAGCTGATGCTATTGGTGAGATTTACCAAGAATGCAGGGCTAATCGCGGCATTCTGCTCGTCCAAACTGAGCATATCTTGTCCTTCAAGCTTATGGGCATCGAATGCCTTCTCAATGGACAGGCTGACGTAGGAAAGTCACTGCTGCGAACTCAGCGTTTCTTTGACACATATTCCCGAGACATTGTCGATGAGAGTGATGAGAATTTCAGTGTCAAATTTGAGCTGGTTTACACAATGGGTGAGTAGACAACGACTGCCATTTCCACCTTCCGCTTTGTCTACCGGAAAGACTCATCAGTATGAGCTTACCGAGGTGTGGTGTTCTATATTTACAACATCTTGAGATCTCGCGCTGACCTATATCTAGGTACCCAGTTGCCAATACAACTCAGCCCAGAGAGGTGGACCATAATTCACTCAGTCCTGGGATTGGTAACCAGATACGCTGCTGATGTCAAGAAGATGTTTCCCTCTTCGATCGAGTTCGACAACCGGGTGTCAGGATATCCGCGTACGCGTATCTCCGTGGCGATGCAGAAGAGAAGCTACTAGACCTGATCTCCGAACACATATGTGAGGTCGGCATCTCGGGTCTTCTTTCCATAGCGCGGCAGCCTCCCGAGATAAGGCAGACCATCCTACGCTACATCCGCCAATCCACTCTCGCTCAAGCGGATGTTGACGAAGTTGAAACGGGGCCTTTCTTCACAGAAGGTAACAAAGTGCCACTACTCCTCCTGCGAGGTCTCATTGCGGGCGGGGTACTTAGCTTTACTCTCAAGTCCAAGCGATGGAGGGTAAATTATGGCCTCGACCCCAGCCGTAAACCGAAAACACAGTTAGCTGTGCCATATCGCTCCAAAGACAGTCCCTCTCCCCGGTCCGAATTCAGTCACCCGGATGTGGTAATTACTCTCACATCACTCACCTATTACTATGGCGGTCTGAATGATCAGGATCTCTTTGACACATTTGCACACCTGGAGAAGTCCGATCAATCAGACGTTGAATATGAAATCTGGGTCCGCTCAGCAGGAGCTCTTCCTGAGGCCTTCCAGCATCTCACTGGAATCAATATCAAAGACCGCCATCAGTGCACGACTGAGATCTTCCCATTGCTTCGATATTCGAAAGGTGCTATCGACTACTTTCTCTCTCATATCGTTTTCCCTAAAGCGATGAAGGAATTCCCATCCAAGCTCTCGGCCTCCGGCTGGGACCTTGGTGCCATCAAATCCCATCCCACGACTGGTTTCAGTGGCACGAACGACTCACGTCAGGTACTTCCGCTCAGCGTCCGTTATCTTGACTCGGAAAAGCAGAACCACACCAATGCGCTGGTGTTGGCTTATCTTTTGCAAGACGAGAACTCCGTCAAACTACTACCGCCGCAGACAGATGCAGAACGTCTGTTGAAGATAGTCGACACGATGGAACTGCCCAATCGGGTTATCCTTGATGCTGGTGCACAAATATTGGAGCTCAGTAACCTCCAGGTGGCAGAAACGTGGCTTCGCATAAGCAATACAACCGTCACCAAGGCAAAAGCAGTAATATTTTTCAACGATAACGAAGAACTCTCGGTACTTGATCACAACAACTGCGTCGAGTTGCTGCAAACATCGCCATTTTCGAAGCATCTGGATGAATGCCTTGTGTATCTCGACCAGGCCCACACCCGGGGAACGGATTTGAAGTTGCCTACGGATTACCGAGCTGCTGTAACTTTAGGCGCAAATTTGACCAAAGACACGCTAGTGCAAGCATGCATGCGAATGCGAAAGCTAGGAAAGGGCCAGTCGGTCGTCTTTTGCATCCCGGAAGAAATCCAGACGAAGATTTTGGAGTGCACCTCAAAGTCGTACAGTACAGAGATAGAAGTCTCCGATCTTCTAGCTTGGGCCATCACAGAGACGTGGGCAGACATGCGTCGGAATATGTCTTTGTGGGCTACTCAGGGTCGCCGCTACGAGGTCCACAAGGATTACCTGAATGGAGAGGAAACGACTATAGAGCAGGCGAAGAAGTTTCTTGAGCCGGAAGCTCAAAGCCTTGAAGATCGCTATCGACCTCGTCTGCGCAGTCGATTTGATGAGATGAAGGACTGGGACACCACCAACAGTGCCATCCAGGAGATCCTGAAGCGGTATCGCGCCTTTGAGGCAGTATCTCTAGATGCAGCCACGCTTCAAGAAGAGCAAGAGAGAGAGCTCTCTCCAGAGATCGAGGAAGAGCGACAGGTTCAGAGACCTGCACCGATGGAAGCTGAGAAGCACAAACTATATCCCGACCTTGTCAAGCTGGTGAACACGGGCATACTCTCGGCAAAATCACCCGCATTCATACCCGCGTTTCAGGCTCTGAAGTCGACGAGTGCTGCAACGCATTTCGACCTTGCACAATTCCCAAATGGCCTCCTCGTGACAGCGGACTTCATGCGCACCGTCAAACGCCCAAGGGGGGTCATGTCAGATTCCTATGTCTCGGACTCATATCTCAGACCTGTGCAATGGATTCTCTCAGTTGTGACGGAAGATGAGCCCTCCGCTAATCCATGTCTGATCATCCTCAGCCCCTTCGAAGCTGAACAACTCGTTTCGAGAATAAAAAAGTCGGACCTGGTGACGCTGCATCTTTACTCGCCGCGTCACACTCAGAGCTATAACCCCCTCGACACACTTGACCTGTATTGCGTCGGCCGTCAGTTCTCAGCAAACACCCCAAGCCTCCTCCGAAGTCAGATCGCCCAGCTCAATCTCTTCGCTGGCCAACTTTACTTCAAATCTCACACAGAGTACGTTGAGTTATGTAGATACTTGGGTCTAGCGTGGGAAGCCCCCAAGGAGGGAGAAGAACTGCAGGTCGATGGGTTCATCGTACCACTTGCTGGTGTTTGGGGCTTAAACAAGAGTCCGGTAAGGTTCTTGAGGGATTACGTGAAGACGAGACGAGAAGGTGAGGGTCTGGAGAAGACGCACTTGGGTAAAGTGCTTGAGGGTGGTTTGTTGGAGAAGCGCGAAATTGATAGTGAGTAGATTAGGTATGCCTTGTTCGTGATTTCCATTTTGTAGCCTTAATACTGTTCATCATAGACGAAAATGAAGTAGCCATTTGTCTTGCTCCTTAGCATAGTTTCTCCGTAAGAAATCCACCAAAATACTTGCTAATCTTCTCGCTCCCATCCAACCAGGTACTTGTGCCAACTTTCAAATCTGGTCTTGCAACTACGACTGCACCTCTCGCGTGATTGACAGCAAACCAATAATGTGCATCCTCATCAGGCGCCCTGTCATCGTAGATGATCGTCGCTCTCTTCTTGAGCTGCTCAAGCGCCGGATCACCATCGAGAAGTGCGTCAGCCTCTCACGGTAGCGCTTTAGTGACGAGCAGTATGTTGAAACGTTGACTTCCCCCAAAGCGCCCATAGAAACCCACAGAAGCGAAAGCATTTTTAGCGAAACGGATGAGGTGGGCACGCACGACCGTTTGCATATCTGATACGAAAACAAGGATGTGGAAGCGGGCGACGCCGAGCATGGCATCGTAGAGGTAGCCACTAGATGCGAGGCCGAAACAAACACGGGGATTGGGCACGCGGACCTCATTGCGCAGACTCGTAAGTAGTGTGATGCCTTTGTTGGTGGAAGAGGGACTGTCCGGCGGGCATATTGCAGACTCAACGATGGGATCTTCGACACCAAGCAGGAAGTGTTGGTTGCGACCGAAGAAGGAATGCAGAAAGCGCTTGTCTGCTTCGGTGGTACCATCTAGAACTGGAAGATCTTCCTGGTGAACTTCCAGCTCTTCTCCAAGGCCGCGGAGTTGGGCAAGTGGCTGGTTCATGTTGCAGATAAAGCGGAGATAAACACCTGAGATGCGGATGACGCGGATGGCGAACAGTCGCCGCTCGGAATCGTACGTGGGAAGGAGTATCCCTGGGCGAGCTGCACCTTGGATGCTGAGCCCAAGTTTCCAGCTCAGGTTTGCGGCATCGTATATGGAGGAGTTTAGACCGAATGCGCCGAGCACACTGTGCACGTGACTAGGCAAAATTAGCACAAATATGACCGAGGGATATATGATGGACCTACACTGCGTCTCCACCAATATGAATTCTCTGGTCTGGGGTGGAGAAGGCGCGGGCTACTCGCTCGTTGACTATGAAACTGTCAGTCAGTATCAAAAGCAATGGTCGTCAGAAGGAACACTCACCTCTCCACACTGCGAACCAACTCATCGCAGAAGCAAACTCAACTTTCCATGGTGCCATGATCTTATTGAGTTGTTCAAGAACTTCATCCGCAGTGATACCATGATCATCAATGCGAGTTGCTCCAACGTCGCTAGAATTCCGTCTCCCATTGCGCTTTTTAGAGAGCTGTCTAGCTTTGTCTCCTGTGATTTGAGTGTAGAATCTTTTCCCCAGAACATTAGCATCTGCTCACGATGACCCGACTTCCCTTATCAACTTACCGTGTATACCCATCTTCACGCGGAATGATGATAATTCCGCCATGCTCCTCGCTGATGATTATGCTTTTTGAAAGTCAGCCCCAATCTCTTTCAACGACTGATGGAGAACCACGTGCCAGAATCCCAGGATATATGGGAAGTCCGTTTTGAACTGACAGTCCATGATTGCCCGATAGCAATCCGTAGTCAATCCATCAAACGGAATTCCCATCATCTCCCTCGTCGCGCTCGCCGCTCCATCAGCCCCAACAAGGTACTTCGCTCGAACATTCTCCGTGGTCCCCGTTTGAATATCGCGCAACGTAACGGAAACCGGCCGAGCAGCCATATCTTGCTCAGTCGTTTTCTGCACATGAATACCCTCTGCTACAACGCCCCGTTCGACAAGCACATCATGTCTGCGCAGATTCCTGATGTAAATCTTTTCAATCTGGCCCTGCGTGATGATGTGGCTGCCGCGATAGCGCGAGTCGCACGGCATGGCGTCGTGGACGAGCTTAACCCCGTTGCGGAAGAGGACGGTGGAGCTCAATAGTGGACCTTCTTCGGTAAATTCAGAAGAGAGGCCCCATGCGTGAAGGTGTTCAACGGCACGTGGCTGGAGGCCATCTGCGCGTCCTGTGAGGGTCAGTGTCTCGGCTTTGTCTGCTTTGCTTAGTGGTTGCATTGACGGGTGGTGAGAATAGCACACCTACGATTCTGAAGGTAAGACCCATTCGAGCGAGACAGATGGCGACTTCGAGGCCGAAGGGGCCGGCTGTGGTTTGTGAGCGGGTGTTCCAATTGTGTTGTGATTTAGTGCTTACCTTCACATATGAGGACGTCTACTTCTTCAGGATATTTTCGTTCTTGATGTGTGAGATCATTGGGCAACTCGTTCGCGTTGTGAATCCCATTACTTTTTCTGTTCAACACTCCGCTGTCTCCTTCTCGCCCGGTTCCATGGTCCCATCATACAAGGCCGGCCACCCAGGCAGCTCATCGACCCCCATAGCCGTGCCCATCTTGGTTGTGCGTCTCAAATCCTGGTCAGTTGGCACATAGTGCGCCCTTGGTCCCTCCTCATCATCCACATAATACTTCTCGTCTGCCCATACAGGTGGTGAATCCGTGGCTACGTGCTCCTTGAAGTCTCGTGCCCACGTAAACGGTGGTTGGTTTCGCGCCATTTTTGCTGGATTGGATGTGAGGATGAATGATTCCGGAGGTGCCCACAATTATGTTTGGGTTTCGGCAATGTTGGACGGAAGCGTCGCATACATGGCCGAGGAAGTCGGGAGCGCGTTGGTGGGATGTTGCTACCTGCACATTTCTATCGCTCCTTCTCATATACGACGGAACATATCAGGGCATCAACCAGGGGGGGTTCCGGAATTTGTATGCCGAATTTGGTAAAATACCGTCTTCTCTTCCTCAGAATATTGGCCATACGCAGTCAACCTTATACGATGAGACACGGTATATTGTGTATCCTTTAGAGCCTAGTCGACGGTTTTATCCAGAAAGGGTGGGGTAGAATTGCTTTTCATTCGCTAGCTGAGTGTATGTCATGCCAGTGGCTTACACAACCCCGCGAGTTACAAACTTGTTGAATTGCCAAAACAAGCACAGGTTATTGTACTCTACCCCAGACTTAAGAAACCTGTACCCATCATAATAACTGCGATTACTACATACTAGGAACTCAGCTTCATACAGGACCGCGTAAGAAACATGCGGCTGGCGTAGCATAAGTTTGGGGTGAGTATATTGCATACCGCTACATCAGCTACACACGTCCTGTGAAGCCGTTGTACTCAATTCCTGGCTTGACAGCTCTACAACCTGCCTCATTCGCAGAATGCATGATATAATAGCACAGTACCATGTGTACCGGTCGCTCGTGTATGAATCGGCCTTGCGTCTCAACGTGCTGGGCCTGTTAGGCATGAAGCCGCCTCTAGTACAGACGTTGCCACCCGTGGAAGAAATGGGGCGCGGATGGGGATAGGCAATTTGATCGCGGGGCCTCTGATGGCGCGGAATGGGGGCTGATTTACCTATCTGAAGGTGTTTTGTGGATGTACCATGGCCGTGAATAGCGAGCGGACTACTAGCGTGAAGCTGGATGGGTGGGGCTGGAAGCGTGTCTAGTTCAAGCAGGAAACAACGAGACACCCCACCCTACCCTTCGCTCTCTACCGGTACACTTCGGTACCCGACACGTTGGCAAGAGATGGATTTCACGGGGTTGGATGCACTGTAAAGAAACCCCCGGGTCGTGATATTTTGCATGTGGCAGCAGAAGAAGGCCAGTCTCATGGGAGCAATAAGATGTTCAGATCACACCGTCACTACCTCCTCACGTCTCTAGGAATCATGTCGCAGCTGTCTTAAGATCAAGATTTATGTTTGTATCATGTTCATACTAATTACCGCCAGGCTCAACGGTAGTAATATCTCGCCCACGCACCCGTCACGCTCAAGCCTTGGGCTTCATCTCCTCGGTGGTCCTCCAAGCCTCCACGTACACAGCCATATTGGGCACGAAATCAACCTTTTTGGGCACCCATCCCAGCACCAGCTTCGCACGGCTGGAGTCATTATTGGCAACCAGGCTCAACGCCTCCAAGAAGGGGTTGCCGTGGGTACCCTCATACTTAAGCTCCGCCTCGACACCCAGGGCCGCCTTGGCTGCCTCGAGCATGTCGACGATGGACAGATTCTCTGTTACGAGGTCGAACACGGGCCAGGATCCCAGCTGGCCATGAATGAGGCTAAGAGTGCTCAGGTACGCCACAGCCAAGTCTTCGACGTGCACAACACCCGTTCGTGCACCCTTATCTGCAGGGATCTTGATGGCGTCACGTGAACCACTCTGGGCGGCCGCTAGCAAAGGGTCCCACCACGTACTAAACACCCAGGAGCTGCGGCCGTAGATGGTAGCCGGACGAAGGATGGCAACATCGAGAACGTCGCGAGCGGCCAAGATGGCTTGCTCATGAGCGGGACGCCAAGCGACAGCCGTAGCGGACTTGCCAGGCGAGAGCGAAGTGCCTGGGGGCGTCTGTTGTCTGATTAGCCATGGCTGGGCGTAACAGATAGCGAGAGGAGACATGTACGTACCAGGTCGCTGAGACGACGCGACGGCGAACCATGGATCCACACCCCCGAAGTGTAGAGAAAGGCGAGCTTGGGGCCGACGGCATTGTCCTTGGCAAGAGCTTCTGCGCGCGCCGTTGCTGCTGAAATGATGGCTTTCAGCACATCCGCTCCCTGCTCGTATGCCGACGAAGCGTCGATGACGGCGTCAATGTGGTACGCGTCTATGGCCTTGACAAGCGTCTGCGGGTCACCGAGATCGACCGTCTCAACAGGCGTCACTTCGTTGGCGCGGAGCTGTATGGCCTTGGCGGCGGAGCGGGCCGTCCCCCACACAGCATAGTTGCCCGAGCGGAGGAGTGCCTGGGCAATGGCCGTGCCGAGATATCCAGAGCCGCCGAGGATAAGAACGTTGGGCATGATTACGTGGTGATTGTACTTTGGTTTGCTGAGAGGCGGGTTTGGTCTAGTTATAGCCGTTGCTTCGTTGTATTTATTCCCCCCAGCTGAGGTACTGCAGCGCGCCTCATTGAAGAAGGACCCGGACCAGAAGAGTGTCGTGCGACTTCGCCCTTTCTCACGCTCCGCCCAGAGCTTGCTTACTTATCGGCCCATTTGTCAGCGCGGAACGGTCCGCGAGGCTTCTTTCATCTCTTGCAGAATGACACTCGAACCCGCGACCACATCAGCATGCCTATGGCCTGCGTCAACGTCTCGGGCTCGGCGTCTTCCACGGTGATAGTGACGTTCCGCTAGTTCAGATTCGGGATATGGTTGTGGCTGCACCAGCGTATCTCCGCCCGTCTCGCCTATAAGCATATCTCCGCCCATTTCGCCTGCCAACGTAACTCCGTCCATCTCCGCCTGCCAGCGCTTCTCCAACATTCACACTACTCCACAGCCCGCCAACCATGTACGTATCGGGAATGGCAAGTATGCTGAACAGTGGATCCTCTTCAACGCCATCCATGTCAGTCCCAGCCCACGTCAAGGCTTGGTCGGCTGTCACCACTATCATTTCACCTTCGATTTGTGCGGTTTGCGGCGTGCGCTCCCGGAGATAGGACTCTCGGAGATAGTCCTACTGACGAGGCCGTCGGACGAGAACCGTACGTCTAAGCACTTTCAGTCCAGCTCAACTCCCCGTCCTGGATACCTTACCGGTTCTGGACATAATATCAGTAATACTCTAACAGTTCCAACATTTCATCTAAAAGAGCTCACTACTGAACACATCATTTTCTGCTAAATTGTAACAGATTAGTAAGAGAGAATGGTTATTGAGATTGAAGTTATTAGGGGTATACTAAAGACAATTGATATTCAGATCCAGACCATCAAGATCTACCTAGCCTTCAAAACGCTGTCAAGTATGTTGTATCTCTTGACCCAACTTCTCGCACGCTTCCCGTAGATGTACATTGGAATCGTCGCCAACGTCACAGCGATGGTGGTTCCACCAATAATGAAGAACGTGTCTCGTACTCCCTGCACCGCAATCCAGTCGTTTGCGTAGAATGTCAAACCAAAAGCGAACTACATGAGATAATCGGATTAGTACATTTTCTCTCATCAAGCACTTCTATGCACATACCATGTTCTTAATAAAGTTCATGATAGCAAAGGCTTCTGCACTCTGCTCACGATGACAGTCCGAGACGTAAGTTACCACAGCGGTGGTACCAAGCTGTACGCCAAGGTTGATCAGGCCCATACACACAATAACGGGGATCGGCCAAGGGTCCCTGTTATGAAGCGACTGACCCCATGCGAAGAAGCCGGTAGCCGTGAAAATGAGGTAAGTTATCATGACCGGGAGGCGGAACTCAGGTTCTTGTGGCGTTGTCAGCTGGTTCAGAACACACCTACAGACTGAAAAGGCCGGCGGGAAACTTACCAAAAGTACCATTGTTACGTCTTGACATTAGCTTTGCTACGCCATCGATAATTGGCCCGGCTACCAGAGTGGCCAGCAGTGATGCTACAAACGATGAAACATTCGTTGCGCCAACCGCACTGACAGAGAAACTGTATGGCGGAGCGGAGAAGATTTGCGAAAGCGTGATGGAGATCAAGACGAGCCAGGAGATACAAATAGTGAATAGTAGCGTGGCCCAAATGACTACGGGACTTGCAATCACCACAAACGGGCGCAGTAGGGTTCGCCAGAAGGATACGTGGTCCCAATAGCCGGACCAGGGCATGAGCGTCTTGATATATGGGTCGCGAGGTTCCGATGAGGTGGAATAGCGTGATGGGCCGTCTTCAATATGCTCCACAGATTTTTCCTTCTCCATTGCATCGGTATCCAGGGTTCGGGCACTCGTGTCGATGTTGATGACGTTGTGGCGGTGGAAGGCTGATTCCGGCATGAAGAGAATGATGAGTAGGAGCATGAGCACGAAAGCGCCACCCATTGCGTGCATGGCAATTCGGTAAGATCCGTACTGTATGATGGATCCGGCTAGATATGTCAGTTTTTGAACACTCAGGGTTCAGGGGTAATTTACCAATTGGGCTGGCTAGGTTCTGTGAGAAATATTAGTAAAGCGTCCAGTTTGCAGGCAATCGGGAACTTACAATTCCTCCTAGAACGCCAAGATTGAAAATTGCCATGCGAAATCCTCGTTCATGTACATGCCAGATATCTCCAACAGAAGCTGGTATCAGTGCTTCAAACGGCGCTAAACACATGTCAGTATGCATGCTAACCCAGGTCCATCGCACATAGCACATACCCATGCAGAAGCCCTGAATAGCCCTCGCCGCAGCCAACGAAACAAAACTCTTCGATTCCGCAGCCCAAAAGCTCGACACTGCTAGACCCAGCGTGGTCACGAGATAAATCGGTCGCTTTCCGACTTTGACTGCGAGAGTATTGCAAACAAGACTGCCCACCGAGATAGCAACAATGCAAGATCCATTGCATCCTAGCAAGATGCTGGGTTAGCCGATCATTATCATGGAGTTTTGTATCGCACTCACCAAGTGTGAATCTCTGCAACGGGACGTTGAACTGCTCGGCCAAGGGTACAAAAGCCGGTGTCAGTAGCGGGCCCACGGCTGTCAACAAATCAGAGTCAGCTTCTCGATACGGGCGTTCAGATGCCAGTTGACTTTACCTCCTACACAGCCACACCCGTAGGCAATGACAACGGTGAACTATATTGAATCAGCATACTTTGTCCCATCAAGTTCTGTGGGGTATGAGGGAGAATTGCCATTTCCTTCTGCCATCTTGGCCAGTTATACGGATCGTTGGGTGAATCAGAGGGTTGCGGTACAAGTACAATCTTCCCCGTGGGATCATGCTTGAGCAATCCGCGATCAATGTCCGTAGAAACCTCTAAATCAACACGACCCAGTTCGCTCAAGGGGGCGGTTCCTGGTACATGTTCGAGTTTGTTGTCCTGGAGAATTCCTAGAGGCATTGCTGTTGAGGTCGATCCTCAGGCGGTAGATTGTAGTAGCGATGTGTAGGCGGAAATGAATTCTACTCAAGAGAAGGAGTGGATGATTATGTAGATGATGTATCTCTCAAATGTCTCAGAGAAGTGGACACTATAATGTGGGGGGGGGGGATTTGCATCATGAGTGTCACGGCAGTTGCTATAGCACGAGGAAGCGAGTAAGTCGCCTTGTTTTATGCGTGCGGGGAAGGATGCGGGTGCGGGGATTAGGTTCATGGGGTTGGTCAGTTAGGATCCGCAACCTTGACTCGAACATGGCTAGTTTGCGTCGGATTCATGTCGCCGATGGACACATGGATAATATTCCCCTTGTTGGATGTAAACCATTGGAGGAGAACATGAAGGATATGTAGCGGCTCTGTCTGCAGAAGGGGTTTGCAAACTCGTGTACCAGTATCGCGAATGCAAAGACCAGGGAGCGCAAAATGCCCGGAGGTGGTTGATACAATGAGAATGAAATGTCCAAGATAATCATACTCGCCTGCGAGATGCCGATTACCCGAGGCGATTCCCGTCGTATCACCAAGTCAAACCTGGGATTCCCTGATGAATACCGGGGTGTGTCTCCACTATAGCGGCTATCTTCGCCGCAACAATAACGCCTATTTTCACTTCCCCACGCCAGCACCGTCGTATATCCTCTCTAGCTCATCACAGACTGCATCAGTGACTTCTTTTGTCGATGCTTTCCCCCCTAGATCGCGCGTTGAAATTCCGCGCTCTGTGATCGTTTCGACGCTCTCCATCAATTTCTTCGCAGCTTCTTCTTCGCCTAGCCATGCTAGCATCTCAGATGCTGTCCAGAAGGTTCCTACTGGGTTTGCAATGCCTTTTCCGGTAATATCAAATGCTGAACCATGGATTGGTTCGAACATGGACGGATTCTTGCGAGTGGGATCGACTAGCAGTTGGCAGTGTGAGTGAAGGCATTGTTTGAGGGTGGCTAGAACTTACGGTTGCTGGTGGGAGCGATACCAATGGAGCCAGCCAAGGCAGCCGCAAGATCAGACAATATGTCCGCGTGCTGGCCAAGTCAGTGGGTTACATACTCACCTAGGAATCTTGTTACTCACCAAGTTCGTCGCCACAATGGTATCCAACGACTTGGGGTCCAGCACCATTCTACATGTCATAGCGTCCACGAGCATCTTGTCGTTCTTCACATCAGGAAAGTCCTTAGCCACCTCAGCAGCAATCTCATCCCACATAACCATGCCGTTGCGTTGCGCATTACTTTTAGTAACAATTGTGATGTGCTTTCTTAGCCTCCGTTGTGCTGTTTCAAACGCGAAGCGGATCAGCCGTTCCACACCATGGCGTGTGAAGATGGATACTTCAGTCGCAGTTTCCCATGGCTGACCTCGGTGGGATCGACCTCCCTGGCCAGCATACTCACCTTCGGAGTTCTCGCGCACAATAACCCAGTCCAAGTCGCCGTGCTCAGCGTTGCGCAAAGGCGAAGACGTTCCACGGAAGATTTTTGTGGGACGGACGTTGGCATACTGTTGGAAGGTTTGACAGATAGCTAGTCGTAAGCCCCAAAGAGAGATATGATCCGGTACGTCTGTGTAGCATATCAGCGATCTGTCTAAAAGTCCGTGTTTTTTTTAGGAAATGGGTGTCATAGCGTACCTGGCGCGCCAACGGCACCAAAGAGAATTGCATCGTGCTTTTTGAGTTGCTCCAACCCACCATCCGGAATATACTGTCCATTTTTCTTGTATGTTTCAGAACTCCAGTCATATTCCTCGAATTGTAGCTTGAAAGTGCCATCCAATTGAGCCAACTTTTTCAATACCTCGACACCTGCGTTAATGACCTCCGGACCGATACCATCGGCTCCCATTGTCGCGATAGAGTGCGTGCGAATCGTTGTGTTTGGCGACATTGTAAATCAATAGCCAATTCAGATATATGTTCCTAGGTAGGGTAATGCGCTGCAAGAAGACTTGTGTCTTGGTCTGGAAACTATGACACTTCTAAGCAAAATCAGATATTGATCGGACTTAGAATTACCAGCCCAACTCATGAAGGTTGTCGGCTATTGATCTTGCCACTGGTGTGCTCTATTGGGGTAAGTGCGGGGGAGATTGCGGAGAAACAATTGCCGATACTCAAACATTACTCCCGCCCAACATCACCTGCTCCGGAAGCCTTCCTCTGTGTATATAGTGAAATACACTTTGAATTCGATTATCAGAACACCATCCTCGACTTAAGTTTACAAGTGTTTCTCTCAAGCAAGTGGAAAGCAGGCATCAGATCTTCGTCATGGAGCCCGAGCGGGAGACGCATCGACTGGCAGGTGAATCGATCGACAGCGGATAATTACCGGAACACTTGTTGTCATGGAAGTCAGTATTCTTCATCTGCGAATGCTAGCAGAAGCCAGTAGAACACTAGTGTAGGTTTTTGTCCTGATTCCCTTAAGCAATCCTATGTTGCATTCTACGTACTCGCAGCAAGTACAACGATACGTCAACTTGAAGAGAAACTATCTCTACTAAGCAGGACAGGAAAGAATAAACACAGAGGAACCATGGAGACCCTCAAAGCCATCATCCCAACCACACAATATCATTTGACCCCTTTTAATTGCTTCGGCGTGTCATGGCATCAATTCTTGCCAACGTAGTTGCGGATACCTCACAACAGCCGGCGCTGTCAGTCGAAGAGCCTGTCTGACTGCGTAGACGACGCTCCCGCTTTGGCGCTTCCACCTTTTGATAGTCGTTTTCGATCGCTCGGTACTTGTGGCCATAGTTCCGCCATCGCATTTGACATGCGATCAATACGACTGGCAATACACTGATGAGCTCACCGAGACCAGCGTACTGCGGTGAGATTCTGAAACTGCTTCCGAGCACGACGAAAACTCCGGCCGCCAGTGAGATTGCAAAAAGGTTGTACAAGGCCGACCATACGAAATTGATCACGATACGACGGTAGGCGGCCTTGGAAATGTCGAGCAAGAGTAGGATGTCGTGGAGGCGCGTCGTCATTAGGACGACATCGGCGGCGCTTTTCGCAATGTCCGACCCTTGGTTGACATGCACACCGACATTCGCTTGTTTCAGCGCAACCGAGTCATTCGTGCCATCCCCAACAAACATAACGACCTTCCCTCGGTCTTGCAGATCTTTTATGTAGTTCATCTTGCCCTGGGGTTTACAGCCTGCCTTTGTGTTCTGTCGTTGAATGTATAGGGCGCCTGCCATGTCAGCTACGGCGCTTTCGTTGTCGCCACTCAGTAAGTGCACTTGTATGCCGCGTGCGTGTAGCTCTTTTATTACCATTTCTGCCCCAGGGCGAGTACGGTCCATGAGCTCAAAGCTGACACGAAGATCTCCGCCAATCGTACAATGGCACGCAGTGTTGACTTCTCGCCCAGTTTCGTTGATGTTTAACCATCCAGCATTTCCGACGCGTATCTCGGCCCCTGTATCAACGCAGATGCCTTTGACTCCTTCACCTGGAATGCTGATGATATCGCTGACTGGAAGAGACCCAAAGTCTTGATTGAAGAGCATGTCTCGTTCGAGATGACGCCGAATCCCCTCAGACACCGGATGCTTGATGTCCTTCAATAGACACATCAATAGGCCTTTTGTGCGAGAGTTATCAACGGCGCGGTATTTCGGGATACCAATAACCTCCAACTTCGCACAAGTAACGGTTCCAGTCTTGTCGAAGATGACATCTGTAACGTTACGGGCAATCTCGAGTTTTTGAGGATCCCTGAAGATAATCCCGTGACGGGCTGCCACACCGCCGGCTATAAGAATAACCATGGGTACCGCAAGACCGATCGCGCATGGGCAGGACACGATGAGAGTGGCGATAGCATACGGGATTGCTTTCAATGCCGCATTTCCCCAGGGCTTGTGCTTGATATATACTCCGACGAGCATCCAGGTGAGGAATACGGTGAGTCCAAGTATGGCTATTGCAGGTACAAACCAGGACGCGATACGATCGGCAAGCGCTTGCGCTTTTGGCTTCGTCAATACCGCGTCCTCGACCATAGCTGCAATCTCATGCACTGAGTTCTCATGCGGTAGTCTAGTGAGTCTGACGACAAGAAGACCCTCTCCATTGTTGGTGCCGGCAAAAACCTCGGATTCCAAGCCCTTCGCTCTCGGCTCAAACTCGCCAGTAATCATTGACTCGTCGACATTGGAGCCTCCATACAAGACGATGCCATCGGTGACAATCCTGGTATGTGGGGGGACTGTGAAGACATCACCATACTGCAAAAGCCGGGCATCGATTCTGGTTGTCTTGACATTTGCCCACGTCGCGTATAGATGACCAGGGTCTTCGACGACTAGAGCTTCATCAATTTGGAGTGAACGGAACGAGACAGACTTGGCCGCCCGAAACCGCGCGAACTCGTTGATAACACGACCGAGCAAGATGAGCGTGACTAGCAAGGTGGAAGCTTCGAAGAATGATTGCGTTTGCATAGTACTGCCCCTTCTTCTGAGGGCGTACGATAGGACGCTATAAACGTACGCTATCGTGGTACTGATGGCAACCAGAAAGTCCATTTCGAGCACCCGAGAATGATAGAGAGATCGAAAGGCGCTTGGAACAAATTCCTTGAAGGCGATGAGCTGTACCAGCGATGCAAGCGCTAGGGAGGCGTGGGCGTAACTGTTGTTATTGGTAACAGCTGTAAACTGTACCAACGCTGTAAAAGATAGGGTGGGGGGTGTGTAATTCATGATAGGCGTCCATGCAAACACTAAGACTGGTATAGTAAGAACACATGCGGGAATAAACCACATCAAGGCTCGTTTTGTTTGCTTCGCTCCAGCCTTAGCCGCCGGGTCGGTGCTCAATGGTGCCAGTTCCAAGTCTGGGTCGTATCTCTTGTAATGCTGATACACAGTCCGCGCCCCAATTGAGCCGCATCATAATGTATCTTTGTAGGTGGTATTCGGATTTTTGCAATTCCACGCTTTCCCTGTTCAGCGAAGGGCTCGTCATGGTCTATTCCTATTGTCGTATGGGTCTCCGAAGCTGGAGATTGCCTGGGAATCGTACGACTACGTCCGCTCAGCAATTGCAGTGGGCGCCAGGATGCTCTTTCCGGTGCTTCGATTCGAAGGACACCTGGTATTTGATCTGCACAATTCAACCGCCGGGGGTCACTAATGATAAACTCAAGTACCTGGCCGTCGGACGCGACTTGTCGTTCGAAGTGATATCCGGTGCTCATTTCCAGTTTCTTGATGATATCGCTGACAGAACAGCGATTGGTGTCCAAGTCGAGCTCGACGCGGGCTAGAACAGGGTTCACTTGGTGGTTTCTGATGGCGGGTATTCGGCCAATAATTCGTGACAAACCCCCTTCACAGCACCCGCACTTGAAGCCATCGATACGTAAGACAACCCGCTCAAAGTTAGGGGGGCCAAGTTCCGGGTCGTCATTACTGCTTCCCGCCACCAGATCTCCTAGACATTTTAGCGGAGAGTCCTCACTTCAGCGATGAGACTCAAAGCAGTAAGTACCCGTTGGTTGGGGATATCCGCTCACTCCATGCTCATGATCTGTAACAGGCGCTTCCGTAGGATGACCAGACCCGCCATATAGGCCCGCTGTCGGGGGAGGTGTACCCGGTCGATTTGTCGAGCAACAAATTGGTATGGCCCCGAATGGTTGGTATTGTGACGCTTTTTTTGACAACGGTCCCACCGGTAGCCTTGAGGGTCCTACTTGCTCCGAAGGTTCCACGTGCACGGATATTCCGTCGTCCGACTGCCCCACGCTTTGTTCGAAATGTACTCCTAACGAAGGCTTTTTCGATATGGGTTGTGCCATTGCCAAAGGTGCTGTTGATATTGATACAATGTTGGAAAATCCGAGAGGGTTCGTTTTTGGACTCTGACGTGAGGCCTCATTCGAGTTGCTAGCAGGCGCTTCACTTGGATAGAACATACCGTTGCAGAAAACATGGATAGGGGTCTGGGGATATTCAGGATCAGGGCTTGATACTTGCGCTGGTACTTGGCCTGGGTGCTGTTCTTTATCCATGGGGGCTTGATGAGAAGAGGACCGGGAATGATGTATTTGATGCCCTTCCGACTGAGAATACTGCGACTCAGTATATGTAGTTCGAGGTGAATACGTGATTGCATGCGGGTTCGGTATAGGTAATAGCGTGGATCCTTGGTTTTCTGTGGGTTTTGGCGGGATACTACTAAGTAACTCGCGGGGGGAATTGTCCTTCGTGAGAGCCATGTGCATCTCCATCGTTGCGGATGAGATATTTTGGTAGTGATAGATGATGCTGTTGGTGATGTTGTTTGGTGTAGGAAGGGAGGAAAGCGTGGAGAGAAATCTCAGCCTTGGACGAAGTGGCTTTTTCTACTAGCCATGGTAGTTGCGACAATAAATGGTAGTAAGTAGCCGCGATCTTGTCCCTGAGGCAAGAACAAACAAGTAATACTTCACGTCATTTGATATTACTGACATAGCTTGGACAAGAAAAAGAGGCATGTCAACATTCAGCCCAGGTGATGCGGATACTTGTTTTGGAATTAGAGATACGGCGGAATGGGTGTTGCGCAAGAAGCCGCACAGGTTAGTGCTCGTGTTGCAGATGGTCACGGGATGAGGCGAAAGACTCAACACGTGAAAGCGCGCTTTTCGCCGGGCCGGGACGGTTGCGTCATCGATCCTCCTTTGCATTCACATCATACCTCATACTCTCCAACGCGACCGCAGTGATGCGGGCCTGAGATGAATAATCACAGTGTCCCACCCTAAACCCGCCTCGCGCGACCATGTATAACAATATATCGCGACACAATCATTGTTCGCAGAGGCCAATAGTCGACATTCCCTACGCATCGCGCTGGCTGGACGGGTGACAGGAAACATGGCAGGTACGCGAAGAAAACTACACAAGACCACAGAGTCTGTAACTCCAAGGCGCTCGGCGCGAAACGGAAGGAAAGCGCGACAAGATGAAGAAGGTGTGCCAGCCGTCTTCCAGGAAATGTTGCGCGAGGAGCAGGCCACAAAGGCCACCAGTGCCGACGAAGATGACAATTATGACAACGACAAGCGACCCGCCAAGAAACGAAAGACGGTACCATCACCGAAAAGCGCTACAAATCTGATCCAAAAGAAGCCAGCAGTCCAATCTCAAACCTCGCCCTCGACCGCAACGCATTCACCTCTGCCAACGCGGCCTTCTACTGCGTTGCAAGCAGAGCTGCATACAAACAACCGCGTGCGACAGACCATTGTCGATTCAGACGAGTCCGATGATAGCGACATGGAGTGGGAAGATGCGCTTGCCGACGACGATGAGGATGACGCGGATGAGGGCCGGGAGGGTACACGTCAGGTTGGCGATATATCCATCACCCTCGGAGGCAACAAGGCCATGGATACAGGCACAAAGAGAAAAGTGCGTCGACGGGCCATTACTTCAGTCGACAAGAAACGACGGCTGGACATTCATAAGATGCACATTCTATGTTTGCTGTACCACGTTCATCGTCGGAATACATGGTGTAATGACAGGAGAGTGCAAAGCGTGCTCCGCAAGATTGTTCCTTCCAAGACTTTGACAAGCCTTGTACCAGATCCCGAAATTACACAATATTCGGCCTCGAAGCGCTTCATTGACGGCATGAACGAGCTAAAGAGCATGTGGTCTAAACGTTTCAACATCACAGCGCAAGGCATGTACAAACCACGATGGGCTGAAGTGGAAGCCTCCGTTCGACCCTTCTCCGACTTTGACGAACTCGACGATCCGATGGATAAAGATGAGTTCCGCACGGCTGCCTACACTTTGCGTGGATCCCAGGATCTCGGGACGCAACTCTTCTGCGCGCTCCTCCGTGCCATTGGTCTAGAAGCACGACTCGTCTGCTCCCTACAACCTCTGCCATTCGCTTCTGCAGCTGAACGCGCTACACCGCAGAAGGCAGCTACTGATAAGAACGTCATAGTTGTGGATCCATACAATACACAGGCAGAGCAAAGTCCGACGAAATCAAAGTCACAAACTCCGCGGAGCAAACGACTATCAAAACTCGAACGCGTGATGGGCGAGCGACATGCCGTCCTGAACAATACTGGCGTCGCTCCAAAGAAGCAAAAGGCCTATCATACTGCTTATCCGGTATATTGGGTTGAAGTACTCAATCCATCTTACCAGAAGTGGGTTTGTATTGATACACACTCTACATTTACTGTCAACGCGCCTGAGAAGCTAGAGCCGCCACTTAGCTTTGCACAAAACACCCTTTGCTATGCAATAGCGTTTGACGAAGACTACACAGCGAAAGACGTCACGCGGAGATATGCCAAAGCCTACAATGCCAAGACGCGAAAGTACCGCGTCGAAAGTACGCCTGGTGGACAGGATTGGTGGAGACGCACCATGAGATTCTTTAAGCGAGCCTCTCCTCTCGATAGAGATCAGCTGGAGGATGCCGCTTTGGCGCGTAAAGAAGCAGCTGAAGGTATACCTAGGAACGTACAGGATTTCAAGGGACATCCAGTGTACGTACTCGAACGACACCTCAAGCACAACGAGGTAATCCATCCCCTTGTCCAAGTCGGCAAGGTAAACTGCGGAACTGCCATGAATCCCAAAATGGAGCCCATTTACCGTCGTACAAATGTTCATTTGGTCCGAACAGCCGACAAATGGTACCGTCTTGGGAGAGACGTCAAAACGGGTGAACAACCGCTCAAGCGCGCAAAGCCCAAAAAAGGCCGAAGACCTTCCATTGGTGAAGACATGGATGTAGACGAACAAGCTGACGATGTGAGCGCTGGCCTCTTTGCAGAGTTCCAAACGGAACTTTACATTCCTCCTCCGGTCGTCCGAGGTCGTGTGCCTCGCAACGCGTACGGCAATCTGGACTTGTACGTCCCTTCCATGTGTCCACCAGGAGGCACACATATCCGCCACAAACTCGCGGCAAAAGCAGCGCGTATCGTCGGTGTTGACTCCGCCGATGCCGTCACGGGGTTCTCTTTCAAAGGCAGACACGGCACCGCAATCATTCAAGGTGTGGTGGTAGCGCAGGAATATGCAGATGCCGTACAAGCAGTCATTGACGGCATGGAATGCCAGCAAGAAGAGGCAGAGGCGGCGGCGCGTACAGCAGAGTCGTTGCGTCTGTGGAGACGTTTCCTTGTCGGTTTACGCGTTACACAGCGCGTTAATGCTATTGTGATTGATGGGGAAAGAGGTCCACAAATCGATGTCCAAGACGAGATTAGCAGGCAGGATAGAGAGTTGGCGGCGCAGGAAATGGCGGGAGGATTCTTCCCCGACGAAGGTGACGTTGCAGAACCATCAGTTAGCAGTGGCTATCAAGCCCCACAGCAAGACTATGGCGACGGCGGGTTTGTACCGGAAAGCTACGATGATGGTGACGGCGGTGGTGGTGGCTTCATGCCAGAGGCTAGTGCAGCACCCATCAGCATGCCCCGACATCAAAGCTTCGAAAGCTCAATCTTAGATTCACAGCAGCTTCTGCCTAGGCGACAGAGTAGCTTGGGTCAAGTCTACTCGTCAGAAGATGACGAGGAAAGTGGAGGTTGCATCCGCGAGGGCTCTCCCCAAGTCGCTGTACCACGCGAACGAGTGGACACTCCGGAAGGCCAGTTGATGCAAATGGATGGTGCTGCAGACAACGCTGGAGGCTTTATACCTGAAGTCACTCCTGAAACCGTCGACATGCAATCGACGAACAAAGACAGTGGAGAAGCTGCACCAGAGACCCCTAACAGTGCACCAAACCAAGACCAAGACACAAAAACGTCATCTCCGCCCATTCCCTCATCCCCATCAGAAGCCAATTCACTACCATTGGAAGACCCCGAAGACGAAGATGCAGATCCAGATTGGTTAGTAGAGGCGACATAAATTTGTAAAAGAAACCACATAGATACCCCGGACACAAAGAACATGTTGAGATGGCCAATCAAATCAGTGAATGATTTCCTCTAAACCCCCTTCTTCTTCTCCGCCAACAAATCATCTAAACCTTGAATACCACGTTCAAACCCGCCCAAATCATACTCCTTTGGATACCTCGTAAGAATATCCTTGAGCTCCTCAACATGCGCCCTCTGCTCGTCTGTCAGATCCTCCCACACGCCTTCAAACGCATTCCTGATACTAGGTTTCTTCTCCTTTTCCGCTTCTTCAAAAGCGCGAAGAACCTCTTTCCTCGTCGTGCCGCGTAGTTCCTTTTCCCGATCTTCATCCCACAGCTGCTTGCCCTCGAGCCATTTCCTCAGTCGTGTGAGGGGGTTATCGCGGCGCTTCCAGTCTTCGACTTCGACACGTTGGCGGTAGGCGAAGGAGTCGTCCGAGGTGCTGTGGTGGCCTACACGGTACGCCATCATTTCGACGAGAACGGGTTGGCCGCCGTTTTTGAGTGCGAGTTTACGTGCTTCGGCTGTGGCGCGGCGGACGGCGAAGATGTCGTTGCCGTCGACGCGGAGGGTGGCGATACCGTAGCCCGCGCCGCGCGAGGCGATGCCGTCGCCACGGTATTGGTCCGAGGTAGGTGTGGAAATTGCATAACCGTTGTTGCGGCAGATGAAGATGCAGGGGACTTGGCGTGTGGCGGCAATGTTGAGGGCGGCGTGGAAGTCTCCTTCGCTGGCTGCTCCTTCGCCGAAGAAGCATACTGCGACTCGTGGTTCTGTGTCTGGGTTTTGCATGTTTTGCATCTTGAGAGCATAGGCTGCGCCTGCTGCGTGAGGTATTTGTGTGGCCAGGGTTGAACTTATGGTGTGAATGTTCAATTCCTTGCTGCCGTAGTGGACGGGCATGTTGCGGCCGAGACCATTGTCCTTTGCGTTTGCGAAGAGTTGGTTCATGAAGGAGGAGAGGGGGAAGCCGCGTTGGAGGTAGACGCCGGACTCGCGGTATTGGCAGAAGATGACATCGGCGGGGGAGAGGGCGCTGGCGGAACCGATGGCTATGCCTTCTTCGCCTGCAGAGACCTTGTGTCGTTAGTATGCGGTCTCGGGGAGGGGACAAAATTGACGTACCATGTAGAACGAGAGCCTCCCTTGCCGTTGCGCTTCAAACATGAGAAGATCCATTATACTCACTGCGACTTGTTAGACAATGCACAAACACCAATTTAACAGCACAACTGACGCTTGACCATATTCTTGTACAGCGAAATAGCCTCTCCATCCGTAGTATCCACGCCAACCTCTTTGTCTATAATCTCTCCATACTGATTCATAACGCGGTATGTCGGTATAGCCTGAGCCTGAGCCGGAATCATAAACTCCATAGTCTTGGTAAAGTCACTATTCAGCGCGCCTGGAAACAGAACCCTGTCTTTCACGTTAGCCTTCTCATCCCAGAAAAACTGCAAAACGACAACAGCAACAGCAACTCACCTCTCAGCCGTCGGCGTCGAAGCAACACCCCGACGCGCCTTCCATTGTGCCTTGACTCCCCCCCATCTCTCGCCCACAAGACAAGCGCGGGGGCTCCTCAGCCTCTGTAACTGTATTCTCCGCGAACTAAAGCGGAAAGACATGGTGAAAGTACTACATCTCCCGAATTATGCGGGGTGGGAGTTTACCGTATATCAACTTTCTGGAGAAACGGCAAGCGTCGGCGTAACGGTGGCCCTGTTACCGCGGCCAAACCAAGTTGAACAAGGCAAGCGGGCGCTAACGAACAACCCCCGAACCACCGAGCGTGCTCAGACCAGGGCGGGCATATGCGCGCATCATGGCGCATGTGAGAAAGTTATAGACGTTCGCCAAGGCGTTTGTTCGCGCATCAACGACACAACAACGCAGCACCATGCAGGCTTCACGACAGAGGATAGCGAGGCAATTGCTCGCTGGGGGTAAGAGGAGGGACAGTTATAGATGTTTCTCGTGTTCTGCGCGGCGGAATCAGGAACAACCCCCAAAGTCAACAAGACCGCAAGATGGAGGAAATCAGCAGACGACGCATTTCGGCTTCGAAACAATTGCTGAAGCATTGAAAGAACAGAGAGGTGAGGAACGACACTCACATGCCCCTCTATACCAATTGCTGACAGAACTATCAAAATAGTCGGCGCAGTCTTCTCCTCCGTCGCCTCCTCATACGACTCAATGAACGACTTCATGTCCCTAGGAATCCACCGCCTCTGGAAAGACCACTTCGTCCGCAACCTAAACCCGGGCCGAAACCCTCTCTCCTCCCCCACCGCCTCCCCCGGCATGACTATCCTCGACATCGCCGGCGGCACTGGTGACATCGCCTTCCGCATGCTCGACCACGCTTCAACAATAAACCACGACGCCCACACCACCGTCACCGTCGCCGACATCAACCCGGACATGCTCGCCGAAGGAAAAAAACGCTCCCTACAAACCCCCTACGCCCACTCCCCTCGCCTCACTTTCGTCGAAGCAAACGCTGAGAAACTAGACATGATACCAGACTCCAGCATCGACCTATACACCGTCGCCTTCGGCATCAGAAACTTCACGCACAAGGAAGTCGCCCTGAAAGAAGCGTTCCGCGTGTTGAAACCCGGCGGTGTATTCGCGTGCTTGGAGTTTAGCAAAGTGAATAATGCGTTGTTTGATGCCGTGTACCAAAGGTGGAGTTTTGGTGCTATCCCGCTGATTGGACAGGTTGTTGCGGGCGATAGGGAGAGTTATCAGTATCTGGTGGAGAGTATTGCGAGGTTTCCGAGTCAAGAGGAGTTTAGCGGGATGATTAGAGAGGCGGGGTTTTTGGTGCCGGGGAAGGGGTGGGAGGATTTGACCATGGGGATTGCGGCGATTCATAAGGGGGTTAAGCCTGTTGCGGGTGGGAAGGGGGTGTAGGGTAGGATGGTGGTGGTGTGGAGAGTGTATTTGTAGTTGAGGTTCATGAAGTTAATGCAGAGAGATGGTCAGTGTAACGTTATGGCACAACATTGCTACTTTATATAAATGACTACTTGGCCACCTAGTGCGCCTCTCAATGGATGAATAAAAACGAAGACACCCTCAGCCCAATAAACTACGCGAGACACATCCTTATCAACCCAAACCAATGATTTCATACTTTTATATTCAACTGAGCGGAGTAAACACATTCATTCATACCAGCCGACTAACTGCACACCATGTAACAGCCGTCCTAGTAACCCATAGCCCTAAAACACCCAAGATTCCCAAATTCCCAGACCCTCAAGCCCTCAAACTATGTAATAAATCATCTAAAACGCAAACAAGAGCAGCCGTAGCTAGATGTCCTCCCCATGGGTGAGAGAGAGAGAGATGATGAGACACCCCTTCATGTGCAAAAATGAAAAAAAAATCATTCCTGAAACTAAAAAACGCCCATGCCCACGCCCCTAATCCATCAAAGCTCCACGCAAGAAAACCTTCCGCCGCGGTTGAACTACTGCAATCTGATAAACGTGAAATTAACACAAGGTAGCGAAGTATGCAGACGCTTTGGGAAAAAGAGAAGAAAAGGTAAAAGGTAGAAAGTGTTCATGACTCCGTGGCCAAGAAACGGCGGTAACGAAGAGAAAGAAAGCAAATATGGAGCAAGAAAGATGGAGAACACAAAAGTTCGATGCCCTCAATGGAGACGGAGTTTAGCGGAAGTAGGACGCTCGTTTTCCACCACTTCCGGTGCTGGATCCACCTCTTGCTTCCTCGAGACTGCGACGGGATCCACCTGCACCAATCTCGCTCATCTGGAAAAGTAGAGGTTCGTCGTCGTCGAGGTTGGTTACGGCTCGACTACTGAAGTTGTATCGGCTTTGACGTTCGGTTGAGCTGGTGCCACCCGTGCTTAGACTGGTAGAAGAGCTGTGAGAGAAGAAACCTCCCCGACCACGAGGGCCGGCTGGCGCGCCTCGCTTTACGTGAAGGTTCGACGTAGATGAAGGTCGGGGAAGATCATCGTGGGAGTCATTATCGGGATTTTGGTTGTCGCGGTTGTCGCTAGCTACCAGTTCCGTTTGAGCGAACAGTCCGCTTGAAGTAAGGCCCGCACTAGCTAGACGTTGCAGCTCGTTGGTTCGGTCAACTTCCTCTGATGGAAGACTGGCGGATCGGACGCCAAATAAGTCTGGCTCGTCATCTGGTAGGGTGCGGTTTTGCTGAGCGACAGAGCTAGATCGACGAGTATAATGCCATGGTCGTGGCGACGTGGGAATGGCGATGGCATTCGCATTTTGATCTTCACTCTCGCTCTGTTCTTCAACGTTGATTGGACCATGCTCACGTATCCTTCCATCAGGTCGGCTTCGGCTCCTTATTGGCGCATCATATTCAATGATGCTGTTGGCGCTCAGTCGAGACGGGATTGCTGGAGTATGAGGAGTATGTGGGGAAATTGGTTTGCCAGGTGAAGAGGCTGTCGATACAGAGGTTCCGGCAATCATAGCGGGAACGCTGGACAAGCGACGACTTGAAGTAGACGATGAACGATGGAGCATGGTTGAGGATGAGACAGATTCGGCAAGCCCGGTGTGAGACTCCCTCATACGCTGGTACTTGGACAACTGAGCCGTTGTCTTGTGCATGGTAGCTGTCTTGGCGGCATTGTCGCTCCGACTAAAACTCTTCAAGTCCTTTTTGGATTCAAGAAGCTTCAAAAAGTCGGAGATGTTTTCATCATCCGTCCTGACCTCGCCTGAACTGCCGCCAGTTCCCTCGTTCATGGTGTCAGAACCGCGCTGCAATGATGATGACAAGCTTGCTTTTCCACTGCTGAGATTGTCATCCTCTGTTTTGCTGCCACCTCCGGAAGAGAACTTGGCCCTCCTGTGACCAAAGCTACTACTGTAGCGGCTAATCGGTGCAGGTTTTGGCGAGCTTGATGCAGAAGAGGTAACTATGCCCTCGTTTGGTAGGGAAGGAGCACGTAGGGCAGTTTGAGGAAGGGCGGTAAGTGAAGTACGGTTTCGAGGTTGATTAAGTGCGCTAGGGGTTGAGGTCCGGCCCAGTGAGCTACCTGGCCTTCCTAATGAGCTGCTCGGAGAACCAGGCATCCCGCTTCCAGGCGCAGGCGAGGATGAAAGTGATCCAGCTTTGAATGGCTGGAACGAGACTGAAGTTCGGCGTTGATGCAGTAGTGTTTCTGTAGACCGCAAGGATGACTTTGACCCTGTGGCGATGCGATGATTAGGCGGGAGCTTCTGTGGGGGTGAGTCCATCGGTGAGGACGAAGGCATGTCTCGTGCTGCCCGGAGAGCTGAAATCGGACTCGTTCCTGTCGGCGGGCCAACTTGATGGAAGGTGGAAAGACTGCCATATGCCTGGCCGACATCTGGGCTCTCTTGCGCGTTCAGCCTGTCGACGGGAAGCGAACCAGGTATCGGGCGGACCTTTTGTTCAAAGTAGGTGTCGTCCAAGCCCATGAACTGAGAACTTAGGAGTGACTCGGAGTTCTCTACAGTGAATTCGCAGTTAGTGCGGTACTCAACTGTCACACAAAGAGGGCCCACAGGCGAGTTTGTAGGCTCGATGGTGTGGATCTCGGTGATGTCTTCCATTTCTTGACTGGGGTAGAGAGCCAGGCCTAGGGTGTCGACATGGGGACTCTTGAAATCGCCGTTGATGATGCGGTAGTTCAGCTTGAGCGAAGGTGCATTCGCGGGTTGTTTGGCAAGAACCTTGTTATATTTGAAAGCAGGCATAAAGCGTAGGTATGCGAAGAGGGAGCGGAAGGTGACCACAGCCTTCTTGTACACATTGGGAAGCGGGTCGTTGAGCTCCGATGGTTGCACTAAGTTCTTGTCTCCGACATGTACTCTCCAGCGCTCCAGCACGACTTGTGTGGTTTTGCTCGAGCGGCCCGAGGACCGCGAGGCGGCTTCTGCTGCGTTGAGCGCTGCAGCAACATCCCATCTCTTTCCATCATCATCCCGTATGGCAAGTGACTGGTTGTTGCCCAAGCCTTGTACGTCTAGGTAGATTTCGATGCACAGGGACGGATGCTGGCCAGACATGGCATCCATAATCTTCCAGTCGGTGAGTTGGCGTTGGAGGGCATCGCTGTCGGGGAGGACGACGTTGAACTAGATAATGTGAGCATGTGTGTGTGTGTGTGTGTGGCGGCTAGTAGTTGACGAGACTGTACATACCCATTTGTTCTGCTTCGGCTGGCCGTCTCTGCCAAATGCTGGCGGCAGCGTTACTCGCGACGAAACGACAGCGAGGGCTGATTTGGTGAAGAAGTTCTAAAGATGTCAGCATGGATGCGGCTCTGGTCTACGACACCGGGTACGTACCTGTATGACTTGGTTGACTTTGTGGTAGTGCTTCTGGTCCGAGCCAGAGGTCTGATCTCCTCCTCGCGACATCATCTCGCCTTCAGATTCCTCAGCACCTCGGTCGCTGTATGGAGGTGTGGTCGAGTAAGCAGTCATGTCCTGGCTGCTATGCCGCTGGTTGTTTGTGCGAGTGGGATTCGTCTGAAGATTGCTGGCGGGCGAGGCTGTGCGCGGCGAGGGGCGCGAGTATGGATGCATGGCGGCGGCCTCCTGCAGGTACAGGTGCGCAGAGCAGGCGACAAGCAAGGCGGGACTCGGGCAGTGAAAGTGGGACGGTTATCGTTGCGGCGGAAACAGGCGAGGGTGAATGCGCGTAGCCATCACGAGTGCAGCCAGAGTCAGGTTTCGGGTATTTGGTCGTCAGATACGTCTCTCAGAAGACAAGTCCACGCGGGGGAATGCTTAGGCACGTTTGGTGGGCTCAGGCAGCAGCCATGATGTTGCAGGGTGTATACAGGGTTGTAAGGCGAGGTTGATGTGGGCGTGAGGTGTGTGTGATTGCCTGGTGTGGCCGCCTTGGGCTGAGTACCCCAGAGCTAACAGTGGACAGGACGGGCTTTACTCTAGCTGGACAGGTAGTTTGGCCTGGAAAGGTGAAGGGCAGGCGGATGGCGTTGGAACAGTCAGAGAGTGTTGGGACGCATGCACTCGGACTCAGTCACGCGGCGATGTTCGAATGACGAGCGAGATAGCTAAGCTCCAGACAAGGGCATGGCACGAGATAAACGACGTAAGTGAGTTCGCAGTAGGCCGGCGAGCACGATAAAGCTATCGGAAGCTGCAGGAAGCTAGCGAGAGTCGTAATCTCGTGCGGGTGCGGGTGTGTGGGAATCAATCTTACTTGGCCACAGTCTGGGGAAGCTGGATGGACGGTGGACGTGCCTGTGCGTGTCCTGGTCGACTCATGCAGACTTGCAGACTTGGGGCTTGGGGGATGGAAGCTTCCGCGCCCTGCACATGGTCCATGACGAATTTAGCAAGCCGCTAACGCGAATCACGCATTCGCACACCTTTGCACACTATGGCGCATTGCCATCGCGATGTGACGAACTCGTCGCCTGGGGATGTGCCTCACTACTCCCGCCGCTGTCGTGCTCCCGCGAACCACCATTCATCAATCTCCGCAGGGGCCCGACTTCCCGGCTATGCACCACCGTTCGACGCCTCACCTTTGCCAGCTGCTACCGTCTACAGCCTCATGGCGAGCTGACCGGTCATACAAGATGTGCTTTATCGTCTGTGCTACAGCCGTTGCCGGTGAGACCCCGCTGTCGCGCTGTTGTGCTGTTGTGCCGGCCAGCGAAGCGCTGCGACAGACAGCGTCGTGGTACGACATGACGAGACGAACTGACATGGCCAGACAGGACCTGACAAGTCACATTGCTAAAACAAGCTTGGGCCGGCACATTAGATTTCTCCCGCCATGTATTAGTGCTCTGCTGGTGCATGGCCTCTTCTGCAGCCGTCAAGATAGTGGTACTTGAATATCCCAGTGCATGCTTTATCGATACCGACGGCCTTGGCACTTCCACCCCTTTGCATCTCCACGTATGTTTTGGTCGCGCTACGCATGGAACGAAGCCCTGTCGTCTCTACTCTTTCTAGACCCAGGTAGAGACAAACGCAAATAGCTAATCAGGTCGTGGCTAGTCCAGGCCTTGTACAGGGCCCTGCAGCAGTTCATGTCCACCGGTGACGGAAGGTTGGCCTTGCTTTTAGCTGTTGCCCTGAAGGGCCGAAGCCTTAGCAAACATGTTCACCGTCACCGCCAGTCAATGTGGGAAGCTACGGTTTTGTATATAGCTAGACACGTCCGTCGCCATGGCGCGCAAACACCTGGCTGCTGCACTGCTTCCTGGGCATACTCCCCACACCCTTCCCCACGTCCACGCCAGTACGCCATGTCGGACCCGCTCATGACAGTGAAGATGAGATGTCTCATTGCCATCCAACGGTAGTCTCTCTGCATGGCTGATGTTGGAAGCATTCTCAACCTCCGAGTACGGCTTGTGACGGCGAGGGTGGATGCGATTGGCGGAAACGCCGTGGCCTTGCTATGGGATATGCCACAACGCGCCCGCAGGCATCTCCGGAGTATCGTCGCGACTACCACATATAACTAACCCTTCAGTCGCGCCTGTCGTAATCTTTCAAGTACTCAGGCCAACTCTGACTCATCCTAACTCCCGCGATACATTGACTCAGCGACCAGCTCCCTATCGCCTCGGTAGTTTCGTCATAGACACGCCCGTTACCTAGTACCACGCCCACAACCAATTCCCACCCCGCCACCCACGCCTTCCACCCTGCAAACCCCCATAGCGCCCCAGAAGTTTGTCGCATACCTCTTCCTTATCCATCGCCACCTCGTGCACATTGCCGACTCCCCCTAGACACGAACAATCGCCGTCTGACAGGTCGCCACCTTCCCACATCTTCCCCGCGCTCCTTCCACGTATACACCACTCCCACGTAATCCGCCCCTGATACCTACCAGCACGCATATCTGTCGTACAAACCGCCGACCCGCGTTCGGTATCCCCCCCTCGGAGTCATCCTCAGCTTTACAGCAAGCACCTTTAAACACGCTTTGACCCGTTGAGGTTGAGGCCAGGTGCTACTAGTAAAAGCTTCGGATTATTCCCCCTCTACACGGCACATGAGCGGCTATCTGTGGAAATACTACCTCGAAGATGATGTCGACAACTTTCGGCATGTACTCGCAACCCCCACGCAATCGCACCGGGCGCCCGCACAGAAAGGCTTCGCTGGCTGGCAGGGAGGTGTGTCCGGTGGCGCCGTGAACGGTAGTCCGGGCAGCTACAATGCTTCGCCGATAACGAGTATCAAGAGTCGCAAGATGGGAATGGGTGCAGCTGCGAATCTGACCAGGTTTGACATCAACAGTCGAGACGCAGCGGGCATGACAATATTACATCATGCCGCCTCATCAACAGCTGACAGCGCTGTCGACTTTGCCCAAGCACTTTTAGACCACCCATGGACTGATGTGTATATTCAAGATGCGGAGAACGGCTGGACTGCGCTCCATCGGGCCTTCTACTTTGGCAACATCGCAATCGCACGTCTTATCCTAAACCGCGATGCTCAGGATATTTTGGGTCAAGGGGCTAGCGGATTCAACCAGCATGCGCGTGGGCTTGTCAAGATCAAGGACAAGGAAGGCTATGGTCCCCTGGATTTATTCTCAATGACCATCAAGGATCGAACTCTGAGACCGGAAGAGGCGCCTGTCATAGACTCGGACTCAGACGATGAGATGGCTCATGGAGACAGTGGCGATGTCGACGACGAGACGCGCAAGAGGCTAATTGCACCGCCTGTGCTTCTCGAGGGTGACGAGGTATACACTTTTGGCAGTAATAAGAATGTTACGCTCGGCTTTGGAGACGAAGACGATCGCCAGTTTCCCGAACGCATTACTCTGCGCAGACCAGATCATCTACTTCAGCGCTTTTATAAAGAACATCGCGACCAACATAATCAATACCTGGCAGCTATAGGTATGCCGATACAGGATGTTGGTCCTCAACAAGCGCGCAGTACAGTAGACCTCCCAACGCACATCCGTAACACTCCAATCGTTATCCAAGACGTTCGAATGTCGAAGCTGCACACCGCCATCCTGACCACCGATCCCATTTCCAATCTATACATGTGTGGCCATGGCCCCGGTGGGCGCTTGGGTACGGGTAACGAGACAACACGATACCAGTTCACTTGCATAGAAAGCGGTGGACTAGGACAGAAGAAGGTTGCTGGAGTCGCCTTGGGCCAGAATCACACTCTGGCCATCACTGAGGAAGGAGAGATCTTCTCTTGGGGTAACAATGCGTACGGACAGCTAGGCTACACACTTCCAAAGCCCACTATGAAGGATGACGATCCCATCTCTACGATTCCTCGACAGATCTTTGGACCGCTAAAGCGTGATATCGTCACCGGTATTGCTGCGTCGCGAATACATTCTGTCGTGCACACCGCAACCTCTTTGTATACTTTTGGCAAAAACGAAGGCCAACTCGGCATCGTCGATTCAGATGCTCGATCACTGGAGATGCAAGTCGTGCCTCGCAAGATTGCTGCCGCCCTCTTCTCGAGCTCCATTCACTCAGTCTCCGCCATTGATGGTGCCACAGTGTGTCTCTTGGAAAATCGCGAAGTCTGGGTTTTCGCAAACTACGGCTATGCAAAATTAAGCTTTCCATTGGACGGCTTCACAAGCAACTTCCTCAAGGAAAGTTGGTTGACAACAAAGTATGATACCGCCCCAAACAAAATCAGCAAAATCACATCCGGTGGCGATACCATCTGTGCGCTATCCACTTCAGGTGAAGTCTTCACTGTCGCCGTCAGTCGACGCTCAGAGGGCCCGCAGGACTCCAGTACATCGACAACCAACCCAAAGCAAATACGTGGAGCTCTTTCTGCACCTTTTCGCATTTGGTCTTCCAAGAAAAGTCACATGGCAGCAAGAGACGTTGATGTTGACCAGGATGGATCTATCATTTTGACCACAGAAGTCGGTAGTGTTTGGAGGCGTACTAAAAGAGCAACTATCAAGAACGCCAACGTCACTGCTGCCGTTGGTAACAAGCCGAAAGACTACAAATTTCAGCGTGTTTCCGGTCTCACTCGAGTTATTGCTGTCCGTGCTTCCGCCTTCGGAGCATACGCTGCGATCCGAAAGGACTGCAATGTCACTAGGACACAAATAGGCGTGGACGAGGCTGGCCTTTGGGAGGATCTGGCTCCGTTGCTCTCTTTCCATGAATTGACTGAATACGAGGAGACATCGGATGATGAGGAGCCTGAGCCCAGGTTCTGGGCTCGAGCCACGGAAGCACAGGGCCTGCGCAAACGCGTCTTGAAATCTAAAGACCTAGAAGCAGAAATAATAGGCATCCTGCACCGTTCTTCGTCATCACCGGACCGCACCTACAACATGGAAATCGGGTCCACACTTTCTGACGTCCGCATCCCTGTCCACGAATTTGTTTTGGCTGGACGCAGCCGTATATTGCGAGATGCTCTGCTCGATCATCGGGTCAAAGGTACCGAACATGTCATTTCTGATTTGTTGACGGTCAAAGCAGAAGGCGGGCGACTCTTGGTCCTCTTCCAAGGACTTGATTTCCTCACCATATTCAACTTGGTTCTCTACGCTTATACCGACTCCGTTGTTGACTTCTGGAACGTCACTCGACATTACCCTACTATGGCCCATAGATACCGCTCAGTACGGACAGAATTGATGAAGGTCGCTTCTCGTCTTGAACTGCGACAGCTCGAGCCTGCCGTGCGCCAGATGGTCAAACCGCGCAAGTCTTTGCACATTGACATGGAGCTCGCTATCAAGGATCCTTCTTTCTTTGAAAGTGGGGATGTCATTGTTGACCTTGCTGATGGCGAGATGCTTTTGCATTCTGATGTCATCTGTCAGCGCTGTCCTTTCTTCGAAGGCATGTTCAGAGGCCGTGCTGCTGGTCAGTGGCTCGAAGGAAGGCGGACCGAGGAGTCTCCAATCGTTCGTATTGACCTCAGCCACGTGGAGAAGCGTCTTTTCGAGCTCGTCGTTCGTCACATCTATACTGATGCTGGGGAAGAGATCTTCGAGGACGTTACAAGCGAGGATTTGAACGATTTACTGGCACTTGATGAACTGCTTGACCATGTCATGGACATTATGTCTGTCGCTAACGAACTGATGCTGGATCGTTTGACGCAGATCTGCCAAAGGCTGATAGGACGCTATGGTATGTATGGTTTCGGTTACTCTGATGCAAATACTGACCTTACCGCAGTGAACGCTCGAAATGTTTGCTCTCTCCTAACAGCAGTGGCACCAAGCTCTGTCGCAGAGTTCAAGGATGCGGCTCTGGAGTACGTTTGCCTAAGCTTGGAGGCAGTAATGCAGAATGGTTCATTGGACGAGCTAGACGAAGATCTGTTGCTGGAGCTCAATCAGGTTGCCCATGAGAATCAACTCGCTTATCTCCCTTTTGCTAGGAGTGGCCGAGCTGAGACTCTTCTCTTCGATCGGTACCCAGAGCTTGCTGAGAGGATCGAGCGAGGCAAGCGCGCTAAAGTTGATGCCATAGTACTTTCGAACAAGTACGCCGATGGCGACAGTATTTCGACGTCTTTCCGAGCACAGAGCTTAGAAGAAGTTGCAGCTTCACCTCTCCGCCAGCGCAACCGAAGGCGAGCATCCAAAGATGCTAAGAGTCCAGCTTTAACTCCAGCGCTGAAGAGCAAAGGCTCAGTTCCAGATCTCATGTTTGACATGTCCGATGGAGATGAAGACGATGATGCTGCACCTAGGAAGATCAAACCTCCTCAATTTACAGAGCAAAGCGGAGACGAAAGATTGGTGGAGACACCAGTGGGATCTCTCGAGGCACCATGGGGCTCGGTTCAAAAGCCTGATCAACCTTCTCACGCTTTTGGTAGAGTTGCGGACTTATCACTAAAGTCTAGGAGTCCTGTTCCTCAATCATCTGTCAAGGAGGAGAGGCCACCCGGTCAACCTTGGGGCAGTACCCCCCTTGCGGCACCTAAACTTGACCTCAAAGACATCATGGCCCAAGACTCTTCAGCAACGCCATCAAATCTAACCATCGGCCTATCACGAGGGGAGAGCGAGCGTATTGCAAAGGCTGCACACGCCAAGTTGTCCCAAAAGGAGCGTAAGCGACTTCAACAAGCCCAGCAATTTGGTACGCCAATCGAGAAACCGCAACCAGTTCCCCCAGCTGTATCTCCATGGCAGGCAACAGCTCATCGAAAGCCAAGCAACAGCACTGCTATGTCTCCAACAGCACAGCCATCTCCTACGCCAACACCGCAGCCTTCGCAGCCGTCTAACACACCCCATCTTACTATGCGCCAAACCGTTGCGAACAAGGGCGGATCTTCCAAGCAGAAGGACAAACGTAGTGCATCGAAGGGTCAAGTTGCAACAGGAACCTCTTCGCCTTCAAAGACACGTCCCATCGCTTCGGAGCGGGGAATGTCAGTGTCGACTGATCCGATCCCAACACCTCGATCTGTCCGCCACATCCCCTTGCCACAACATTCACCTACCTCGCCCAGCCAGCACCTCAGTATGATGGAGATTCTATCACTCCAAGAAGCGGAGAAGACGTCCATACGCGACGCTGCAGCCAAGCGTAGTCTGCAAGAAATCCAACAAGAGCAGGAATTCCAGCAATGGTGGGATCAGGAAAGCCGACGGGTAATCGAAGAAGAAGCGCAAACGAAGAGACTGTTAGACCGAGCTGCCAAAGCTGCTGCTCGTGGTAGAGGTCAGAAGGGTCGCAGTGGTAGGGGTGGGAAAGCAAAGTGCCAAGAGAAGAAAGATGGTGTTGAAGACGCTGATCGTAGCAAGGGAAAGACCGATGGAAGTGCTGGTTCATCTGCCACATCTACCAAAAACGACGGACCAAAATCAGGATCCAAACATGATGGTGGCGGCCGGGCACCAGGACAAGAGAACGCAAGTCGAGGCGGCCGGGGTAGAATCGGACGCGGTGGTCGGCCTGGTGGTGCAAGAGGCGGACGTGCACAGGGTACACCACGGGATGGTACTGCTACGTCTGTACCACAAGGACAAGCTTCGGCCTCGTAGATTTGGTGGGGGGGGGGGGGGGGGGACGAATGGTTCTTTGTATATACAACATTTTGAACATCTTGTATACCCACGCTATGAGATTTAGAGTAGCATTAGATCTGTGAATATATTCCCAACTCTAGTACGCTCGCATACCATGATTTTGCTCAAGAGACACCGATAGCGCAGAACAAGGCAAGCAGTGAAAAGGCTCGGTATAGCTATCGTCTAATCATGTGATCGATAACTCCAGCGTACATAATTGGTTTAAGTATAGCTTCATCAATACCAAGCATTCATAGGCACGCACACGAAATACACACGTCTACATTACATCTACATCTACATCTACATCCACCACACAAACCCATAACCAAAACAGGCAATAAATCAATAAATAAAACAATGCAATTAACACCTCATCTTCCCTTATTCCCATCACAAAATCATACTATACACGTAAGAATCGAAAGATAAGCAAAATCAAAAACTCGCTTTTCCATCAGTAAACAACCCCCCGACCCCCTACGTTACATCGCGTTCGTATTCACTTCACTTCACTTCAAACCCTTGACCAGTCTTCTTTGTTTCCAACTAACTACGAAATTCCAAATCCCCCCAGAGAAAATGAAGGCGAGGAAGCAAGAAGAATCATCTTTATACCCATACGCAATCTCGTACTACTTGTAGCTACAACACCGCCCCGTAATTTCAACGTTACCGTATCGACACAGACTTTGTGAACACCTAATTCTATCGGCTGGCCACCATGGTGTTGCGGTAATAGCTCGTACTGAGCTCGATGGAGTGCTTGAGCCAGAGATCTTCGGTGAGTGGAAGCTTGAGAATAGCATTGCGGTTCGTTCGCTGAGAAAAGGTCAGTTTGACTTCATACAACGGTAACTGGGGAGATGCGGGTGATGAATAGCTTACCTGAGACTTTGTGATGAGGTTGGCGACGGTACCAGCAATCTCCATGAGCGCGACACGCTCTTCCAGGCCACAAGAGCCCAATCGATCGCGGCCAGCGATTTCGAGTGCGTGCTGTAGCTTTGCAAGGATTTCCTGGACCCGGTTGTCTAGCTCCTCGTCAACACGGTATGTTGAGCGTTGGCCGGTCAGGTCGATGAGCTCGATGTAGTCGAAGTAGATCTGGCCGCCTTGGGCCCAGCCTTGGACTGGCTCACTTGGTGACTCTGACACGAAACCGTCCATGAGTTCACGTAGCGCATCGTAATCGCGAGATATGATGGCTTCTGGGCCGACTCTCCTGCAAAGTACATCGTGCGCCTCCTCCAATTCCTCGGCTTTGATGAGATGGGTTGCCTCGCGTAGGGCATCGCCCTTTGATCTTGCTTGCTGGGCAGCAGCCGCATGGAGCCACGTCGAAGGTATATGAAGCTCCCGTGTAAGACACACGTATGTAGCGTCATTCTCTTCCAGGGCGAATGTACTGGAGAACTGGTTGACCAACGAGCGAATGTAATGCTCGCGCATTGGGGCGGAAGACAGATGAGCATAGACCCAAATGGCGGTAGTCCAGTGTTCCCGAGTATGTAGCGAAGCCGCATAGGTGAGTGTGATCTTATCACTCAACTCAACAAGCGGATCCGCAGCTTGTACCTCGTCTTCAGCACCTGGAGCGCTCCATGATTGCAGTGACCGGCGGTAGTTCTCCTCACCATCATCGTGACTGCGAGAAGTAGGCATTGGGACCTTGCGCTCGTCCGCCTCACTCACATCATCTAAGCGTGACTTGAAGAGTTGGAAGAGCTGAAATGAGAGACGGGCATTCAGAGGGTTACCGGAGACGTTCTCGGGAGCCAGGACGTTCTCGACGTTAGCAGGAAGGTCCATCTTTACCGAGGCATAGAGCTTGAGAATACCCCAAAGGAGATCTTCTCGATGTTCCGCTGCAGGATCCTTCCAGCCCATGTCGACGTTGTTCTGAATAAACCATGGCACTGGCTTGACATTTTCCCTGCCATCTCTAACGGCGTCCGCGAATTGGGCAACAGCCATCTCGATAGGTTCGTTCGCCAGCGTACCGTACCACAGACGCAGTCCGAAAGCCCGTCGCCAGTCAAGACCGAAGCGGCTTGAGATGTTAAAGGTAGAGGCGTGGTTTTCCTTGCCTGCTCCCATCTTACCCTCTGATTGTGTGCAATTGCCAGCAAGGAGCTCGTACAAGGCACGTTGAGAATCTTCCATCTCAGCAAGTACATCTAGACGACGCCATTCGTCAATCTGGACTTGCATGCTCTCTCGCATCGTATCATCGCCGCCGATTTGAGCAACCATTGTAGCGAGTCGCAAATCGAGACCATCCAACAGAGAGTGACAGGCATCGGCGACGTTGTTGCAACTGAGGTGTGCGATAGCGGATTCCTCGGGTGTGGCGGCTTGTTGAGCATGTTTCTGCGCGTCGTCCCAGACAAGCATTTTCCAAAAGTCCGACAGCTTCTCTTTCCGGTACACCTGCATCTCGTCCACTTGGACGCCAACTGGAATTCTGTCGGCATCGTCAAACAGAAGCGAGAGCAATTGCCAGGCTTGCTGTTCGTGGACGCCTGCTACGGTATCGAGAGCAACAGCCTTTGATAGGGCAGAGAACTCCAAGGGAGCGGGATCAGTCAAGAGTTTTGCTGAAGGTATCCCGTCGATATTGGACATCTTTGTATGCTCATTCTGGAGCGTCAAAGTCTCTGGAACGGAATTGTCGAACGTAGGCAGCTTCACAAATCGAACATCCTTGGCAGCGTCCACGAGCGGTTCCTGAGCTGTAACGAAGACGCTACCTTCGAGATGCGCAGGTCCTTTGTTGCCGTAGATGAGGATGTTGGATTCGCTAAAGCGCGGTTTGTTGCAACTGTGAAAGTTTTTGTCGGCATCAGTGAGTTGGTCGAGGTCGGATGCAGTCTTGGGTCGCTTGGAGTAGGGTAACTAGAGACAAGTTTCAGCAATCTTGTCCCGTATCAATTTGTGACTAAATACAAGGACGGACGTAAGGTCCAAGCGTCAATCTATGGAGAACCGCGTAGGAAACCTGCCACAGACCGCGCCCCATCATATACAAACGCCAAAGGGGAAGGGGAGTCAAACCTCGATGCCGTGTCCACGCGTGGGAACCTGTTGGTTCTCCGTCTCGCCGAAAAGAGAGTCCATCAAATCCATGGCCGTAGTCATAGGTCGACCGACAAAAGATTGAGAAAACTTTGTAGGGTTGATTTCGTGTTCGCGTAGTACATTGCCCTGACTCTCGCGAAGGGCCTGTCGATCATGCTTCTTCGGGCTGATGGTGCGTTGGAGTTGGTTCGCCCAGTCATCATCAAAAACGGGTTGCGCTTTCGTTGGTGTTCCCGCCCCTGGCCTGATAAATTGACTAGGTTTGAGAATAGACTTTGGCATCAATGAGCCCGTGAATGGATCATCCATAGCGGTCGCTCGCTCCGTGGTTCGAAATGGCCCCGATACAGAATCCGCCATGCTCTGCTCGTGCACCAAATCCAATTCGCTCTCTTCAGATTGGTCAGCATCTTGCTCACCATCAAGCGAACCCACGGAGCGATGCCCTAAAAAAGACTCGCCCTGAGTGTCACGCATCTCTTCGTCGTCTTCATAAACGGTTTCGTCACCAAAACCACCGGGGACGCCGGAGCGCGATCGCATACCCTTTTTGAAATCGAAAGTGTCATCAGGGCTAGACTGAGACTGTGACTGCGGACTGACGAACGATTCCTGCTGGGGCGTACTAGTCATTTCGCTAGAGCGGTGTTGATCTGCTGGAGTATCAGGGACGTCACTCAGCTCGCTCGAATATTCCTCTTCGTCGTCGCTGTAGTCATCATAATCCAGGCCATACGAGGAAAAATGAGGAACAGTGAACGTCCATTCACCATTGGACTGGTTGTACTTGACGAAAGTCGTGCCCGCCACTCGTTTGAGGCGCTCAAGATGCTTAACATCCTTCTTGCCAGCTCTGTTGCGAGGCCACGAATTGGCAAGAACAATCTCGGAAGGCTGGTTCAGGGCGCTGCCCAGCGGTGGCTTTGGCAGGCAGGTGCAGGTCTCGCCGTAGACGGTGGCATTGCGTGCATTGAGCTGCACAATGTCGCCGAATAGTTTGTCAAGGTCGACTTCTGACAAGTCGACAGGCTTGCCGTGGTTAAACTTAATCTGACCAATGTTGTGACGGCCAACAACGAAGTTAGGTACACTCTTAAGCGCCTGCTTGCTCATTCTCTTCAGCTGCTCGAAAGATGGGCTAGACCAGTACTCGCCGGGCTTAGGATCCTGACCAGGCTGGATGTTGACAGAAGACGCGGACTTTGGTGTAAGCGCGGGGTCATCAACGCGAGCCATTTCTGAGCCGTTGACTTCCTGCATAGCTGGACGAGGGGACTCGCCGTTTGTCTGGTTGTCAGCAGCCCTTGGAGAGGCGTCACCCTCGTCCCTTCGAACGACCAAGGCAGTCTCTCCGTTCATCTCGCCGTTGACATCCTCACCAGGAGCAAAGCTGACTCGCTTCTGTGAAGGCTCATCGAACAGCGGAGTGCGGCCACCGTTGATGTTTCGGTTGATGTTCAGTCGCTTGAGATTGCCGTTTCCGAAATTGCGACCAGTGGTGGTGAATGCGCCCGGGGAGAGTATGCTAGTGTCCGGGGTAAAGTTATTACGGAGGTTACTAGTAGACACGCTCTTGCCTAGTGACCTGGAGAGATGACCGTTCGTAAAGAGACTTCCATTGAAACCAGTGCTACCGGCCAGGCTCGAGGCGCCCGAATAGCTGAACCCATAGCCGCCCAACTTGCTTTGTGGAGTGATCAGACGCGTCGATGCAGAGGGGTTCAGCTTGTGCTGAGGAAGTATGCCTTTGCTCTTGTTCTTCTGGCTGTTGGACAGAGGAGTTGCGATCGGGCCAGGGCTCTGTGAGGGAGTTGAAAGTCCAGCGAACAAAGCGTCGTTACCATATGGATTAGTAGCAATGGAGGTGTTGAGCAGAGAACTTCCAGAAGCACCAAACAAGCTGTTCTGGTTTTGCTGTTGCTGTGGCTGCTGATTTTGGCTGGAGAAGAGGGAGCCGCCCAGGTTCGACTGGTTGTTGTTCTGCTGTCCACCAAAGAGACCGCCTCCTGTGTTTGTGTTGGCTGTAGTACTGCCGAATAGGCCGCCTGGCCTCTGTTGGTTATTGTTGCTGTTGCCGCCGAACAAGCCTGAACCACCTGTGTTTTGTTGGTTGTTTGAAGCACCGGCGTTGCCGAACAAGCCTCCAGAGGTTCCGGTATTGGCAGTGTTGCCACCACCGAAAAGAGACGTGCTGCCAGTAGCAGGTTTCTGGCCAAATAGGCCTCCAGTACTGGTGTTGTTGTTTGCAGTAGAACTACCAAACAGACCACCAGTGGATGGCTGAGTCTGGTTGGTTTGACCAAAGAGACCACCGCCCGTAGTGCCAGTGCTTGCGCCGCCAAACAGACCACCGGGCTTCTGCTGGTTCTGCTGTTGGTTGTTCTGACCAAACCCACCGCCGCCAAAGAGACTACCGGTCGTAGTGTTCTGAGCAGGAGTGTTGTTGTTTTGTCCGAAGCCACCGCCAGTGCTACCGCCAAATAGTCCACCGCCTGTACTTGTGGTAGTGTTTGTGGCACCAAATGCACCAGTGGTGGTTTGGTTGTTGGCCTGGCCAAAGAGACCACCGCCGGTGTTCGTTTGACCAAAAGCGCCTCCAGTATTTGTCGAGCCGCCGAATGGTGCAGATGGAGTGTTGTTGGTGCTTGAACCGCCAAAGAGACCGCCGGTCGTGGACGTCGCAGGCTTCTGGCCGAACAGGCCACCGCCGCCGGTTGTCGAAGAACCAAACCCACCACCAGTGCCGAATCCTCCAGTCGTATTGTTAGTGGTGGCGCCTCCGAAGAGACCGCCAGTCGTGCCGCCAGTTGTGGTGTTGTTGGTGGAACCGAAAAGTCCTCCAGTCGCAGGCTTAGCTTGACCACCGAAGAGACCGCCACCAGTGGTGTTGTTGTTGGTCGCGCCGAAGCCTCCTCCCCCAAACGCTGATGTGGTATTGGTATTGGTGTTGGCATTGCCACCGCCGAAAAGACTACCTCCGGTGTTGGTGTTAGCCCCAAAACCTGTAGTAGCAGTTGTGTTTGTGTTGCTACCGAAGCCCCCAAATCCAGTATTCTGTCCAAATGCTCCAGCCTGACCATTTCCGTTGCCATACCGGCGACCTTGGTTGTAATCGGCTACACGCAATTCTTCGAGAGAGTATGTCTGATACGGCTGTTGGAATGTGATGGTTTGGTACTGCGACTGCGCGTTGCCGGTAGTACCATCCTTCTCGGAGAATGGCTGGAAGGGTGTGCTGGCGGTACCGTTATTCGCGGGAGGGTTGCTACCGGCACCGAAGCCACCGCCACCGAATCCGCCTGTAGTGGCGTTGGTATTGGCGGCGCCAAATCCACCGCCAGTGTTGCCGCCTCCGAAAAGACCGCCACCAGTTGTTGCTGTGGCTGTTGTGCCGAAGCCTCCCGCTGGCTTGGCCTGGCCGAATATACCTCCTCCAGTGTTTGTGTTGGTGGCACCAAATCCGGACGTCGTGTTGTTGTTGGTCGCGCCGAAGCCTCCTCCTCCAAATGCGCTGCCGGTAGTACCACCACCGCCGAAGAGTCCGCCGCCGGTCGTTGAGCTACCGAAAGGTTTCGAGCCAAAGGCAGTGTTGGTGTTGGTGTTGGCACCAAAGCCACCTAGAAGGAATAGTCAGTCTTTTAGTCCCTGGTAGAATTTTCAAAACATGGATTCTCGCGTGGAACTGAACATCGCGATTGACAAAGCAAGCACGGGCAGATGAGGGACTGTCGGTACATGGCAATTTTCCCACAAGAGCGACGCGATAGCAGAGCGCAGGCTGTCCACGTACCTCCGCCTCCGAAAGGCGAGCTCGGGTTGGTGTTGCCGCCGCCGAACATGGTGCTGCCCGTATTACCGGCGCCAGCGCCGCCGAATATGCTTGTACCGGTGTTCGCATTTGAGCCAAAGCCTGATGCGCAGCGCATGTTAGACACGGTTTGTCGAACAGGCCGTGACGATGTCGCAAGGCGCATCGATGCAGTCGCGCGCGAAGAAATTCAAAATCATCAAGCAAAGACCTGTACTTACCAGTTGTGTTGTTATTGTTACTTGAACCAAATCCACCAAAGCCCGTGGACTGGTTGTTGTTGTTGTTGGCGCCGAAGCCGCCGAATCCACCGCCGAAGGACATGTTGGATTAGTCCGACGGGTTGCGCGTTTTTTGCTTCGTGGTTGACTAGCAATGCGCGGGGAGATCGCGTGGGTGGTGGGGTTGTGTGATGGAATTGGGGGTTGGAGAGAGCTCTTGTAAAGGCAGGCGTGGGTGAGCGAGCTTCGCGGAAAACGCGCCAAGGAACGGGAAATGGGCAAGCGCGCAGCGGGGTCGACTGCAGGCGTGCGAGAAAGGAAGGATGGAAATTAGTGAAAAGGAGCTCAGAAGCGGAGCTGATTAAGTAGTAAAGGGGGCCGTCATGAAAGTCAAAGAGCGACGGGCGCGAGAGTTTGCTGGAGCACAAAAGCAGAGGTGATGTCGCACTTAGGAGGAAGCACGGAGAGCACGCACGTCAATAAGGCGCTAAGCCGTTACAGGAACGTCACGTGGCTCTCTCTCGTCACCAGCACATTACTCTGCAGCACGCTACGAGGCCCTCTCCCCTGTACAAAGCCAAGTCAAGATAGCGATTGGCGAATGAGATGTCAGCATATTCAGATGGGCGTCTTGACCGAGGCTTCCTTGGGCTTGCCTACTGCTACCTATGGCTGCCTGGTGGTCTGAGGAAAATTCGCTACAAGCAGCCCCCAACATTGCCACTACACGACGAGCTTGGAACGTTTCTCGGCACAAAGACAGGCCAGGCCAGGCCAAAGATAGGCATTCAAGTAAGACTGGACTGTGAGAGCGAAGTATACGCAAAACAAAACAAAAACTCGTTGCAACATTATGACAGTCTTAACATTTGTTGGCTTGTTAAGGCAGCTGTAATAGCCTCACTCAACTCTAGTCTGTTGCTGCACATGAAAGTTGAGTTGTCAACAATTGGTTTAGTACAACATCTTCTAGTCATGCTGCAGCTTAGCTGCGCATGCGCCGAGACGTGCTGAAGTCATGTGCTCAACTGCAATGCAAGCAAGTACCGTACATACGCAACCGTTCTCTAGCTGTAGTTTGGTATTTCCATCCCAGTAAGCTGCACAATAGTACAGGCAATAACATCCTTGACATCAGCCCTACCCATTAGGGACCCCACCAGCAAATCGCGCTAGAGCCGTACCTAAGCTTTCACGCCCAAACGCGCCTCGCGTCTGCAGGAAGTGCATATCGTAACCTCGATCCAATTCCAAACAAAGGAAACCACTCAGAACAGAACAAACCGCGTTTTCGCAACCATATTCTCTGTCTAAATCCCTTGATCGACTAAAACACGCCGTTCGCACGTCACCTATCTGCTCAACTGCGATTGCGCACCTACACACTCGCGCATCCCCGCTTGAGCCTTAAACATACAACAACACGCCCACCAAACCCATACATCACAACAACCCACCACAACCACCACACATGGCCAGCTCCTCCAACCCCCTCGGGTCCGGCACCCGCTACAGCATGGGACGCACCGCACCCCCCCAACAAACGCAACCCCAAGCCACCTTCAGCAGCAACACACCAGCCTTCCCACCCAACCCCAAGAACGTGCAACGCCTCGAAGCCGAGCGCCTGGACCGCGAGCGCGCCGCGCGCGAGAATGCCCAGCGCATGGAAGCCGCGGGCGCAAACTCGCTCGCCGAGCTGACCGAAGAGCAAAGAGAGGAAATTGGCGAAGCCTTCAATCTCTTCGACCTGGACAAGGACGGATACATCGACTATCACGAGCTCAAAGTCGCCATGAAAGCCCTGGGCTTTGACCTCCCCAAGCAAGAGATTCTGGCTATCTTGCAACAACATGGGACGCCCTCGCCGCAAGGCGGTGCGAAGCAGCAACGGCAGCAGAATCAATATGCGGCGCCGGGACGGCAATTGTTGAGTTTCCAGTCTTTTCAGACGCTCATGGCGCAGAGGATATTGAGCAGAGATCCGAGGGATGAGATATTGAGGGCTTTTGAATTGTTTGACGAAGGGAACAAGGGCACTATTACCTTGCAGGATCTGTCGCGTGTTGCGCGTGAGTTGGGAGAGGCGCTATCGCATGATGAGTTGGTGGCTATGATTGAGGAGTTTGACATGGACAATGATAATGCGATAAGCAGGGATGAGTTTATTCAAATTTGTATGGGTACTTGAGGAGGTGGTTCGACAATGTTGCGACTGAACAATTCAGCGTCAGAGCTTGTGGATGTTTCTAGTCTGGTTTTGTTTGAATGGCGTATGCGGCGTATAGCGGATACGGTATTAGTGTTACCTTGTTTCCACGGCGATTTCGTCTAGCACAGTCGAGTACGAATTTCAACCCTCTTCATTTGCGCCGAGATACTATATACAGCTCAGCTCAGCAAACATTTGAACACGCAATAAAAAAGGGAAAATGCAAAGTACAAGACGTCCTCCAGCTAATGCTCACAAGTAACTACTGCCCAGGCGAGACAAGCAGCCCCTTTTTGGCAGAGTCATGTGCCCATCCACCAGCCAACGCCTCACCACCATTCTTCAACCCATAGTCCTTTATCCTGGCCTCAAGCTCTGGCCTGAAATGCCTAATCAATCCCTGGAGTGGCCATGCAAAGGCCTCACCCAGCGCGCAAATTGTGTGGCCCTCAACCTGCTTGGTCAATTCTTGCAACATATCAATCTCGCGCTCGCGGGCCTGGCCCTTGTAGAAACGGTCCATGATCTGATGTGTCCACTTTGATCCCTCACGGCAAGGTGTGCACTGGCCACAAGACTCGTGGTGGTAGAATTTTGCAAGGCGGGTGATGGCGCGGACAACGTCGGTTGACTTGTCCATGACGATGACGGCGGCTGTACCAAATCCAGACTGCGAGTCCTTGAGCGCATCGAAGTCCATGAGTTGATCGTCGCAGATGTGCTTGGGAAGAATAGGGGTAGATGAACCACCGGGGATGACGGCCTTGAGGTTATCCCAGCCGCCGCGAACACCACCGCAGTGCTTCTCGATAAGGTCGCGAAGGGGAATGGACATCTCCTCCTCGACGACGCAGGGGCGGTTGACGTGACCGGAGATGGCGTAGAGCTTGGTACCCTGATTACGCTCGCGACCGAAACCGGCGAACCAGCTGCCTCCTCGTCGGCAGATGGTAGGTGCGACAGCAATGGTCTCAACGTTGGCGACGGTGGAGGGGCATCCGAAAAGACCGACAGCGGCGGGGAACGGGGGCTTCAAACGGGGCTTTCCAGGCTTTCCCTCTAGTGACTCAATGAGAGAAGTCTCCTCACCACAGACGTATGCACCCATTCCTCGGTGGAGGTAAACATCGAAGTCATAGCCAGAACCACAGGCGTTCTTGCCGATCAGACCGGCTTGGTATGCCTCTTGGATAGCGCGCTGAAGCACGGTGGCCTCGTGGTAGAATTCTCCTCGAATGTAGATGTATGCGGCGGTAGCGTTCATGGCACGTCCAGCGACGAGACAGCCCTCGATGAGCTTGTGGGGGTCCTTGCGCATAATTTCACGGTCCTTGCATGTTCCGGGCTCACCCTCATCGGCGTTGACAACGAGGTATCGGGGCTTAGAGTCTTTGTCCCAGTCCTTGAAGTTCATGAATGACTGTAGACGTCAGTAGATGCTCGGCATATACGTGTTCCAGGCGTTGCATACCCATTTCAGGCCAGAGGGGAAACCAGCACCACCTCGGCCCCGAAGTCCAGAAGCCTTGATCTCAGAGATGATCTGATCTTGTCAGCCTTTTTACATGGCCGTCCCTTTCGGCTATACACACCCATTCGTGGCCCTTGAGCAGAATCTCCTTTGTCTTGTACCAATCGCCATACTTTTGCGCGCTCTTCAAATCCGCGCCGTGGTGTCCGTACAGGTTCTGGAAAATCCTGTCCTGGTCCTTCAGGCCACCATATGTCCTCTTTGGTGCATCCTGCACTGTCGCAAGCGTCCTCTTCTGTGTCTGGTTCCTGGGCGCCCTCTTCGAGAAGCGGGTGGCTGCCGAGACTGCTGGTAGAGCTCGGTGGGCAGCTGCGTTGAGGGCCGACGAGGCGGGGGCGTGTCTTGCGAGCATCGTGACGGGCAATAGTGGGTTGTCTCGCTCAATTGATGCTCGGGCGTCCGGCGAGCCTTGATAGTCGATGCGGGTGGTGGCGGTCGTGAAGTTGCTAGTGGATGACCTACCTTTTTCTTGGCATCTTTGATTGGCTCAGCCCACATCGTTGACATCAATCCGCCAGAAGGTCCGATTGCCCAAACACCAAGCTAGACGTCAACATCGTGAGAAGTGGAACTAAACGTCTCGTACAAATTGTATTTTGTCCTAAGCTATTGCAGGTTGTACATGCTATTCAGTTGCAGCAAACACACTCACCTAACCCTATGGGTGGTGTGAGTACCATAATGTGTAACAAAGCTGTGTTTCTGGGTATGCACTTCTTTTGGTTCAGATTGTCAAATATAACCCAGATGATATTCTGGTTGATTATTGTGGGCCAAAGAGCGGGAATCTTGTTTGCAACACTCACCACACCGTTATATCGCGTATTTTATGGGGCGACTCTTACCGCCAGGTTGCCGCTACGTAACTTCCTGTGAATAGGTCAGTAGTTCTACTCCTCAATGCAGTCTTCTTCCTTCTTCTCACTCTCTTCCCTGTTCCTCTTCTCGACCATCTACTCTCCATCCTTAGTCGACATTGATTATCTGCTCTCCTCCATTGCTTTCTACCTTAACTATCTACTCCCTATCCCAACTTTGTATGCTTCTCGCCCTGACTTTCCATCTTCCATCTTTATTCTCTACTTCGACTTCCATTTCTCTATCTCGTATGAAGTAGGTACAGTTCCATCACATTTTCTTGTCATTTAATAGACCGACTCAAATCTGCGATCAGGTCTGACCACTCGGTCTAGCAGTCGTCTTTGGACTACTGTGCCTTATCTGCTTCAACTCCGTTGGCCATCGAAACCCATGAGCACCTGACTTAGCCCAGACGCGCATTCATTCCGCCTATGACTCTTAGAGTGACCGACCCAAAGCGCCAAAAAGTACCAAAAGCACCAAAAGCCCACAAGCAATCTTGATACGCCCCTGACCACATACAATTTCGGGCCATTGAAAGGAACTATGCCCATCAAACCCGGCGACCTCGTCTCCAACCCTCCAGGCCCCAAACCAAACATGGTTTGGGACGGAAGACGAATGCGTGTTTTGTGGGAAAAACGTCACGGGAATGGAGATCCAAGTAACAACTTGATCCCGCATACTAAAATAACCGTACGAGGTCATCCAACATGGAAGCTATATGATGGCGATGTACCTATTCCAATCATCCGGGGCAAGAACGAACCACCACACTACGTGTATCTGGATGACAGGGCGTGCTACACCACTTATGCTTCAAATGCCTACACTACAAAAGAACTACAAACATATTGGCCCTTCGACTTCGATCGATTTGGGAACATAGTTATCAAGCGGCCTAACAGAGGTCGCCCGGCTCACACTGATGACCCATGCACCGCTTACGCGACAGGTCCTATGCGCGGTACAATCGAGAAGTATGAGTTCTGTGGTGCGTCTGAGTTATTGAGGGAGTATAACGTCGTACCACGGTCAAAGGAGAAGAAAGAACGACCAAAAGCGCCAGAATCTCGATTTAGCGATCAAATCTCCCTGAGCGGAACAATTCCAGACCTCAGCAAATTACTCTCTACCCCAGGTCTGACTACTCCCAAAGCACCACCAGCATTAGTCATGTCCAAAGCAATACGAAAGCCCGCACCATTGCCCAAAGCGACATTGCCTACGAACGTCAGGCCTATATTCCCCCCACCTCTCAAACGCGAGTCGGGATCGCCCACAAGCAACACCCGTGTCAAACTCGAAGATGATACCCCTATACAGTATGTCACCAATCCGTTCGAGGGTACACCAAAGCCCCTGGACAAACCAGCGAGGGCTGTTCGGACCTCGCCGCACTTCAACATTCCCACAAGCAACACTCGTATTAAATGCGAGGATAGTGCTACTACGCCGTATATCACCAGGCCGCTTCCTAGCATATCAGAGCCCCTGAATTTATCAACGAGAACTATTCAGACCTCGCCGCACTCCAATATTCCCTCCGCTCCCGCTACCTTTCGAAAGCGCCCACTCCACGGGTCATTGGCAAACTTCTACCCAAAGCGCGCCGTGAATGACGCATTTCCGGTGGAACCTAGGGTTGCTCGTAGGGGCTTCTTTGCAGAGTCTTTCGCAGTGGATGTGGCAGAGGCCAAGAGGGTTAGAGTGAAGGAGGAGGATTCTGATACTTGATTGATGCAGAAGGGGGTTATTGGATTCTGAAAAGCTCTTGGATGGTCATGTTGGGATGATGTTTTGGAGATACGTTGAGTTGACATTTGGGTGTTCGAAAAGGTCATCGTGAGGGTTGGGTGAGGTCTGCTGTTTTCTTTGTGTTTTTCGGGATGGAATTGAAGGTATTTGGGTTTTCACAGGGGTTTTCAAGATTGATGGTAGGATATTGCATGCATTAGTGCATTGGAGTGTTTAGGGAATTCAAAAGTTCTCATTTATCTTGGGGTTGTATTGCAGTTTCCGCTTTCGTTGACCTTGCTATTTTGTTCAAATCCTCACCATGATGTCACGCGGCACTCCCCCAGTCCGCAGAATAGATAGATCTGGGAAGTGTGGGTGCTTCAAAGTTATGGCGTCAAGAAATCGGGAAAAATGGATATAAGATACAGCTCACTTTACGCAAACATGGTTGACTAAGACCATTCTGGAATTAAGTATCACAGACTAGCTATATAGAGCGCTGGAAGGCTGAAGCTTGCCAGTGGAAAGAGGGTTGGCAGGATCGTTCATCACAAATTGACAGATCACATCAACTATCACTGGTCGCCGCAGCAACAAAGTTTTGAAGGACTGTCATGGCTGCTTAACTTGGCTTATTGCTAATTTCCTAGTAGGATTCAAATACTGGTAGGCTATGCTGGCTGCCGACGAAGTGATTCCCTATGCTAGGTAGTTAGCCGAACGCGGCCCGTCCAAATTGCGGCGTAGCCATACGCATCGCCCGAAGCTAACGCTACCTATGACCTCTTCGGATCATCGTATGTGACGATGCTCGAGTAGAAGGCTCTTGGTTTCTCACAAATTACCACCATTTATCGCAGAGAACATGAGTGTTCAGCCACGTATGAGTACTGTAATGACTCAAAGAATACGTAGTCTTTTGCGTCTAATATGTCGATTTCCTTGGTTGGCGGTGTGCCTTAAGGATCCCCCTTGTTACCGGTCAATGTTTCGGTCCGCTGCACGACACCGCATATGCACACGGAAAGGGCTCAAGCGAGCGCACATCAGATAGGTTGAAATGGTTTCATTGGAACTTTTGCTCGCTTTTCTTCGAGTGGCTTAAGAGAGGGACGTCCTTTGACGGCGCGTGGGCCGTCGCACAAGGCCCGCTATACAATGGCTATCGTACAACGTTGTTTGCTCGCCGTTTATTTCGCTCACCATTTTGACACGGGCTTATCGTTTAGATACTTTCAAACATATGATAGGGGAAGCCTGTTCATACTATATAACTTTACCACACTCTATTGAACTTCTCTCATTGTTCCATCTACTCAAGACACCGACCTGGGCTTTTCTTTCTTCCGCCAGTGTCACTTTACCAACAACTCCAGCCTGAGTATGATAATTATGTAGTAGCTATGGATACAGATATCACTGCTCTTATTGAAGAAGCTACACGAGCGGGAGCAACGGGCGCATCATACACAGTCCGTATCGGATTAGTTCGCAGCTTGAAGAAAAAGGATACGGGTGTTCTGGCCGCGTTCAATCTCTGGTGTGCAACACGGGACAAAGTTCATCAGATTGCGGGTCAATACAAGACAAGAAATTCCATCAAAGCCGCACTTGAAGCCCGACCCTCTCTTTTCTACGACATCACCAATAACCTCCGTGATTACGGCCCCAAAATCTGGAATGATGGGGTAAAAGATGGAAAGTTTGTCACGAAAGTCAACAAACCCAAGTACCCAAAACATCTGGTTTTTAAGAACCGTAAGGATCAGCACATGTAAGTATATCCCACATGGTGTTAGCAAGCTCTCTTACTAACATGATACAAATTAGAATACGAAAGCATCTCTTCGGATGGGTTGTTCAGCGCGCTTGTCGCACATCCGAAGAATGGGGACGTACCGGCCCTAGGAAACGAAAGCATAACATACCACCAACACAGCCGCGTGTTGCAAAAGCAGTGGTTATACGTCGTCCAAATCGGCAGGGTCGTCAAGTGGCTTCGTTTCCGGATATCGATGATGATAGCATGGATGAGCTTGGTGACCTGGTAGATCCGGAGGCAAAGAAGCCCCGACGTAATCCACCAACTCGCATGGCCAATGTCAACCTGCCGCCGTCCACCAAAAAAACACGCATGGCGCTATCCAATGCCCACGACCAAAGATTCGAGGAGGGAGTCCGCAAAGAGGCCTTGTTGACTGATCCTCTCACTAGTAGGGTAGCACCTGCGCCAGCTGTTAAGAAGCGTGGGCGACCTAGGTCAACAAACAAAGTAGACACCAACCCCCAGCCACCGCGCAGACAGAAGAAACAGAAAGATCAGTTCACAATAGTGCATTCAGAATCTGAAATAAATGGGACGATACAAAAACCCAATAGCAGCACAGATCAAGAACGGGGTAAGCTCTCAGATACCTCCATTCTCATCCTAGCTGACTGCAACAGACGTCCAACCTCCACCATCCGATCACTCCCAGCATGAACGAGAGTGTCTCGATTCGATAATTCTTCTACTCCTAGAGCGACATGACCCAGGAACCCACGATATCGAAGAGTTACAACAAACAATCGTACTGACCACGAAGATATCGCAAAACGATTCTCAACGCCTCCGAACCATTCTTGGCCACGCTTACGAAGCATGCCAAAAAGCCCTGGATAGATTTCTCACCTGTCTCAAAGAGATCGTCGCATTCCGCCAAATGACCAACTTCACAGGGGACGCCACCACCAGAGCTGCTTTCTGCGCCCAAACCCTGACAACAGAGCAGAAAAAGTCTGCACGGGGCTCGCTCACACACATGAAGCGCAAGAAGGCCGAATGGGTCGCTGAGTCAAACTTTTCTGAGGGGTTCTCGAGGAACTTGGCGTTGCTGCTGCTTGAGATGATTAGTTGGGGTGATATACCGATGAGTTTTCCGGAGATGCAAGAGTATTTGCTGCGGTTCAATGAGAGTCTTCTAGCGTGGTTCTAGTGGCGTGGCCAGGGGAGGTTGATTCGTAAAAGTATTGTTAATTGTATTGTATGTCTATAAAGGTTCCGGATTAGAGGTGCGGTGTGAGGTAGGGGTTCTCTCGCGTATGTATTATCGGATTCTTGGTATAGATGGCTAATAACTTTAATATCCGGTTCCATGCTAAATCTCCTAGTCTATCAGGTTGCATTTCCATAGGATAGGTGATTGAGATATCACATTTTCTAGAAACAGCTTGCTCCATACGTCGTCTTCATTGGTGATCTGGGGATGGTATCTTCGAGCCAAGGCCTCGTCACATGAGTGCCAAATCGACACGCAATATTGTATGCAAACTCGGCAACGTGGTGGGCGTCGAATTTCATCGTATCACATGCTTCTAGTAGTACTCCTAGAGAATTGAATACCACCAGTAAGAGATAGGTATCTCGGGTATCCGATGGATCTGTACGCCATTCCACCTAGACGAGTGACGATAGAAAGCGATAGCGCGGCTATTGCCAAGGTAGGGTATCCGAAGAGTGGCTAAATTGAGCTTAGAAGCATTGATGGTAGCAAAGCAGATTGTAGATTGCAGATGGCAGACGGCAGTATGGACTCAAGTGTGAGACGGTGGTATGTACTAACAGCCTTGAGAAGTCTTCGTCGCATGAATCAGAAGAGCTGTGAAGCGCTCGCCCGCACGACACGAACACTGGCTAAGGCGGCGAGGTTGCACTGCACAGACTTTCATCCCGCCGTTTGCGACAAAGACAAGCGCGCGAGCACATACCTGCCAACATTGGTGGACAGGTAATCCAATAGCATCCATAGGTCATTGCGACAGTCTGGTCCATGGTAGCCCTATCAGCGTCCGAGTAAAGACCTATTCATTGACTTCTAGGGTATTCCCGTGGAATTGGAGGGCAGAACAATGGCAATTGTCGGACTTGAACATGCTTACCGTATGGTGTAGTAGCCAAGGATGAAGGACGTGGACCCAATGGAATTTTACTCGGATATTCTCGGAAGCGATCCTACACCAGGGTAAGTCTAATTTACCATTCGCGGTAAGAAAATTGTAAAGCGACCCGTATACTCCAACTCGTATGATCTGTTATCTGGTAGACCAGGCGTCCTTTCCGCGCGCAGCGCGTACAACAGGATAATGTGCAAATGAGTTGCAGTCTTCCAACCAATGGTAGATTGACAAGTCGACTCACCCAATCGTTTTGGGCAGAACGTCTACATTACTACAAGCTGCCTCGATGTAAGTCGCTTAATTTTAACTTCTCATCGTCGACCCCAAAATTTAGGTCTAAAACACAACCGAAGGAAGCCAGCTGCAACTACACCTGTATTGATCATCACAAACTAAGAGACCTCAGTGATTTGGGCTACAAGATCCCATACGTCGGACGGGTCGGCGCTCCTACGGAGTTGACGAACACCAACATGTTCGTTGTCCGCATCGATACCAGGATCGTTCACCGGATGACCAGTTCCAATGATATGCGAAGCCGATCTTCCTTGTCTTTGACGGCCACTGATCAGCCACTCGAGACACATGTCACTAAGCGTCAGCTGTCGAAGTCAGGATTACGGGGCATACCCACCTCCACCAACATTGTGACGACCGAATTTGCTTCATACATGCGCAGCAATATGTCGTCTTGCTTTGTTTTTCAGCCCGTTCTGTCAGAGGGCCAGGACGATCACGAGTCGTGTGACCCACAACTGGTGAATATGGACAAGAATGGCAGTGATGGGAGGATGAATAGCCCCAATCGGAATAGACCGGCAAGTTCGACGTTCTCTTCAGATGGTGTACGCATTGTATTGGCAGAGAATTATCACCCTGCCGCCTTGTAGTGGCACATATCCACCCATTGCCCGATGTTCACTGCCATGGGAGGCCGTGAGTATCATGGCATCCCAACTCGCCGAATATTCGCGAGTCTAAGCCTCCTGCGCCATCATGTGAGTTGACAAGCAACACCTGTTCAGGGAAAAGCGGGGTATCATTGGCGGTGAAGCGACTGGATGCGTGCAGATATGGGACCAAGCCCGAGCCGACGAAGGAGCGGATTAGCTGTCGCCGACAGTCACATAGTGTTAGGATGACGGAACCGGGTTTTTCGCGTGGCTGGGGAGATGCCCAGCTGACCCTTTTCTTCACGACGTGTGGGGACAAAGGCTGGATCGGTACTCAGACAACGTGCAGATAGGAGCCGTGGGCGGAAGTAAGCGACCCAGAATGGAGGATCTACATATGGGCGTTGATGGAGATGATCGACATATCCAAGACTGGTGGGCCTGTACTGACTCTGGCTGTTGCAACGTCGAGGACCCTCGGGAGGCCTACCAACAGGTATCAGCGACGAGCAAATACCTGGTCATGATCCGATAACCTCGCCAATTCTTGCCAACGACTGTGTCATGCGCAATGAGAAGGACAAGCATGCGAGTACCCCTTTCACGTCTGGCGAGTGGTGTAGGATTCGATGATCGTCGGAGGGATGCAGTGATGATTTGCATAGTTGTGGGACTGTCGCCAAGTCACTAAGCCACGTTTTCTCCAGCTAGAGACGCTAGCCAATTCGTCATATTGTCGCTCCCACCGGGTGGCATCTAGTTCTGCAACGCAAGTCACATCGTCACGCCCTTTCGAGCAGTGCTGGTCTTCCCGTTGACGGCCAAGCTGACAGAGAAGTTTTTTTTCGCTACTAGTTCAAGAACGCTCAGAGGAAAATCTTGCTAATCAACGCCACTTCCGGAGACAAACAAGCCCCAGTATTTACTTAGCATGCACGCGCGTCGGCTGGTGCCGTCTTGAACGTCCAGACACCAAACGGCTCATTATCAATCTTGCGCTATCCTCTAGCTTTTTGCCAGCACACCAAGCAGCACGTTCTCGTCAGGCAAGCGACACTTGCGGTCAAGGATTCCAGCGCCTAGTCCTTGCCCGGATACGGCACCCGCTGTAGGACAAGCAACTCAATCGACTTCTTTCCTAAAACGCATGCTTAGTACACAGCGGGCGCTCGAAGGTGGATAAGCCACGCAGGAACGTGGCAGCCTTCCGCAGATCGATCTGGTTTGACCTGCGTACAGGATCGGGGTGTCGCCCTTCTTCCCGCGCCCCCAGAAATGGACCGCTTATTGGGAGTTTTACAGTTTCCCTTGAATGTATTGCCAGCGTGCCAGTGTTACATTTTTCTCTGAAGGGGGTGTGCCCATCTCGGCCGTAGGCGTGCCGTGCCGTGTGGGCGCAGACACATGTCAACTTCGGCCCGACGCTCAACCAACTAGTGGGGTTACCAATAGGCTTGTGCATTTACACCGCGATGAAAGATGGGATGACCGTAGAGCCGCGCTTGCGGTGAGGTTGGCCTAACATCCGAGCTTGGGCAAATCAACTCCTTGCCCGATGTCGACTAACGTGTTCGAGAGTCTTTCGCTATGCCCGAACTGTACTCCTTCCCCCGGCACTTCCATCCGCGACGAGCATATGCACGGCGCAAATCAGTGCGTCTTCATGAGGAATCCACATACGGAACCTGGTTTCCTGGTCGGAGTGAGGCATTATCCTGGCCCGAGGATCGTAACCACACCACTAGTCGTGTTCCTCGAAATCTTGAACACACCCACTCAGCCGGCTCCCAGACTACGATTGGTGCTAGTAAAAGCCACGAGTGAAGTTTCCATCTTGGTATTGTAAGCATGTATTCGGCACGAGAATGATTATATCGACCCTGATTGGCAATTGACTCTCGAATCCAGCCCGTCTTCCCACGCCACACAACCGTATGCGATGGACTATGCATACTCCTGCAAGGCTAGTCAATGGTATTGCATCAACGATTCAGCACACGCATATCGGCGAGACGGTAGCATGTTACCATAGACTACTTCCCCGCGGTTTACAGGATCTACTCTAATCCATGCGACGTTTTTGACCCCAATGCACTTGGCTTCCCTACACAGCTACGCCAACGTAATGGATTCTCCAAGAGGCTTGCGCAACGGCAACTTTTAGCTAGTCTGTCATTGAGGCATGTTCATGCACAGGCAGCCACATCCGGACCCAGTGCAACCACACCCTGCTTGAGGTGATCTCCGAGGCCTGGATCTGTTCTCATGGGTTAGCTAGGAAAATTTCCTGATTCATTGGTTGCTCAGATTGGTGGAATGGCTCAGAAGGGTCCTCTTGGGCGAGGAGAGTCACCGTACAATCCTAGGATGCAGAGCTGTCTTGGTATAACGGGATCCCTTCGCGGGCCAATAAAATGAGCTTTCGATATCGGCACTACGCAGTGTCTCCATATTCACGGGCAATGGCTTTGTTTGCATGTGGTCTGTGAATAAGGTCTGTGAAGTATACAAGCGGACGGTAGCTTCGACCTAACGGGCACCAACACATCTGCTCCATCTCTCCCCTCGAGCTTTCAGAATTGCGCCGATACTATGGAGACACTGGGTCTATTCAGCAACATGAACAACCTCTCATTAGAGGACCAAAACTTTGTCTCTCGATTTGGGCGCGGTCCAAGGTGTTCCACTTCACATGCCACCGTTCACGAGGCTTTCGAGAGCGTCGTGGACAACCACCCAACCGCCGTGGCTGCTATATTCGGAAACGACAGCATTACTTATCTTCAACTAGATCTTGCTGCCAATCGCCTGGCGCACCACCTCATCAGCTCAGGTCTCTGTCCCAGGCAAAGAGTATGTCTCGTTGTACAGCGATCGATCGAGATGCTCGTCGGCTTCTTAGCCATTCTTAAAGCTGGTTGCCAATACGTTCCTATCGACGGAGGTGTTGCCTCAGACCAGGCTCTACAGCACATCTTCAAGGACACTGAGACACGGTTCATATTATGTCTCCCCAGATACTGGGACAGGGTGAAGCAGTTTGCGAGTCAAGAAGCTATTGTCCTTGAGCTGGGAATGACTACTGGAGCATTTTATCCTCCTTCACGGCCAAACATTGAAGTCACCACGAACGATGGCGTGTTTGCCATGTACACATCAGGTAAGCTGGTCACTCCCTATATCTGGAACTCTATTAATGGTTTATCAAGGAAGCACTGGCGTACCCAAGGGTGTGGACGTCAAACATGGCACGATGACTAACCCACTTCTTTCGGAACCTGGAAGACTGGGTATTACTCTCGGCTCAAAGATCGGACAGGTCTTGAGCATCTCTTTCGCGATGGGTATGCACTTCGACTTTTTTCCGTCATAAAATATGCTAACATACTACCAAGGCGCATGGGAAATGTTAGGATCACTGATGAACGGTGGTACGCTATACCTCCGGGGCTCAGATTGGGAGGCAACATTAGAAAAGGTCGGTACCTACAGCGGTATTCACGATACCACTCGACTAACTCGACCCATAGATCGATATCTTGATCAGCACCCCTTCCATACTCTCAAAGTATGATCAACAGCGTTACCCAAACATCAAGACCATTGCCGTAGCGGGAGAGGCGTGCCCACAAGCGTGAGTCGACCATCAAAACTTTCCATCGAGCCTTTTCTAACCATACGCGTAGTCTCGCGGATGACTGGGCTCAAGGTCGAAACTTTTACAATCTACTCGGCGCGACGGAGACATTCCTTTTCTCTGCACATCGACACATTCCGGGCGAAACTCTATTCATTGGTCGGCCACTACCCAATACCACATGTTACATACTCGATGATGCAGCAGAGCCTGTGAGCGTCGGCGAAAAAGGAACGCTATGGGTTGGGGGCGCAGGTGTCTCAAAAGGCTACATCAACCTGCCACTCACCACTGCGGAGAAATTTCGCCTCGACAAATTCGCAAATGACGGGTAAGTCAAGAATCTAAAACTAACACCACAACTTCAGCCCTCTGACATTGAGCCAGATCCATGATGTACAACTTCGGGAACATCGTCTGCTGGAGAGCAGATGGCACACTTGAGTCTTTTGGTCGAATGGATGATCAAGTTAAGATCAAGGTTTGTTTATCTGGGGATCACAGCACAAACAGTTGAGCTGACCATAACAGGGCTTCCGCGTTGAGCTTGATGGAGTTACTGCTGTCATTGAGGTAATTTCCCTTCATTGCAGACATGATCGGGGCTGACAATCGGGCATAGCAATTCTCTGGTATCACACGAGCGGCCTCTCTCGTCATCGATTCAGTACTCTACGGCTTCTACGCATCATCCACCCCTATTGTCGAACAAGAGCTTGACGCATATGTTCGAAAGTGCCTGCCCTACTACTCCGTACCTGAACGATGGATATCAGTTCAAGACGTCCCGTTGAACCCCAACGGCAAGGTCGACAAGACTCAGCTCAAAGCTTTGGCTGCGGAATTCCCCGTCTCGAAACCAGACGTCGCGCCAACCAGAGGAGCACACACGCGACACGACTCAGCCTTCGACACCCTGATAGTACCCGCGAAACCTGTAGACACCCACTCCGTGGTTGCTGAAGAAGTTACTCGGGCATCTTCTCACGACGTTGACCTTGAGAAAGGACCTCAATTCAACAATATCGAGGAGCGCTCCTCCTCTGGAAGCGACAGACCGTACGAGCTACCCATCACACTACCAGAGGTGCGGGGCTCCCCCACGCAAGCCTGGCTACGACATCGAGGACTCATCGCCTATCGCTGGCTTCTCCTTCCAGTCTTTCTCGCAAACATTGGAGTCGCGTGCTGGCTTCTTTACGACAACATCAAACGCCAGGAATACCCACTTTCGTCGACCGCAACGGCTACTGCTGCGAACCTCTGCGCTGCGATTCTGGTACGGTCGGAACCGGTCATCAATCTTTTGTTTACTATTTTCTCCTCGGTTCCTACTTGGGTGCCCCTTGGGATACGGCGCATCTGTGCGAACGTCTTCCATATCGGCGGAATCCATGTCGGCTGCGCGATGGCCGCAGTGATCTGGTTCATCATCTTTACCGTCGGTGCCAGTCTCGAGATCGCCAAAGACGTTGACGTGAGAATTCTTTCACTAGCACCAGCGATACTGTCTTACGTCATCATTGTTCTACTCCTTGCGATGACAGCACTGTCGCACCCTGTCCTTCGCAGTCGATACCACGACTTATGGGAGAACCTGCATCGCTTCGGTGGATGGACGGTACTCATCCTCTACTGGGTGCTTGTTGGTCTGTCTACAAAGGAACTGAGCCGTGGATCAGGCATGTCGACCTCGGAGGCATACCTGCGAAACCCGTCACTCTGGCTCATTGTGATCGCGACTTGCGCCATCATCTTTCCCTGGCTATTCCTCCGTCGTGTCTCCGTCAGACCCGAAGTCCTGTCCTCTCATGCTATTCGCCTGCATTTTGATTCGCCCATCGTGCCAGGTAAGGGTGTTCGTCTTGCGCAACATCCACTTCGCGACTGGCATGGATTTGCCACAATCACCAATGCGCCTGAAGGAAAGGGTTACTCGGTAATCATCAGCCGAGCTGGAGACTTCACAGGTCACATCATCGACACTGCTCCTACACATATCTGGAGACGCGGTATCCCTACTTCTGGCGTTCTGCGAATTGCAACCTTGTTTAAGAGCGTTGTAGTAGTCGCAACAGGATCCGGTATTGGTCCATGCCTCTCTATCTTCCCATACAAGCACATCGCCATGCGCATTCTCTGGACAGCACCCAACCACGAAGCTACTTTTGGGAAATCCCTCGTCGATGATGTTCGCAGACGAGACCCGAATGCAGTTATACACAACACCCGTATGTCTGGAAAGCCTGATATGAGCCTCTTGACATATCAACTATACAAGGAGAGCGGTGCCGAGGCGGTGCTGGTCATCAGCAACAAGCAGTTTACACAGCAGATTGTGTTTGACATGCAGAAGAGAGGAATTCCGGCATATGGTGCGATTTTTGACTCATAGGTAACCGAAGGCATTCGGGCTATGACTTATTAACGTGTTGACATAGATTACTAAGTATTGACTTAATGAATGAAACGGCTGTTCTAACATGACCATTAAATCCTCAAGAGTACGATGAGAATGAGCCAAATGTACGATCATTGTGACGGTTGAGGCGCATAGCTAGCGAGTGGACGATTCTGCCGCCTAATGCTTCAGTACGTGTCGAGCCTCGGCAGTGATCGTCATCACATTAGCTCCGGTCTTGGACACTTGGCAATTATATGCTCCGAACTAACGCCATGCTCTTATGAGGCAAACTCCCACAGCTTCCGAATTAAACATTCACCGATACAGATCGTGTGTATTATGGACTTTTGGAAATACAGATACATGTAATCATCATGTAGATACCAGTACAGTGTTTCGAACACCCAAGGCCATCTTGGCTTTGTTCTTTTTGATTTGCCAAGATAACATTACCGCTACGCGATAGCCATCGACCTGCCATTTCTAGCCTTCGCCAAAATGCCATGCTTTTGGTCACGACTTAATCTACCTTATCTGACCTCCTAGCCCACAGGGCAGCTCAATGCCACGGTGACGCATGCCTGGATCTACTTGATCCTCCCAGGCAGGTGCATCACGACTTTCTGCGGAGAAGAGACGAAACGAGAAGGAGATCAAGTTAGCGCCCGGCGCAATTCGCGAAGTCGCCCAATCACACACTATTACACCATAGCACCCCCCGATGGGCCTATGCTGGAGAACATCAGCTGTCGGCCATTAGGGGAAGGTAAATCATGGTACTACCAGGATAGGAGGAATGTAGGAAGTATAAGGTACCCTTCATTCCACAGTATTATGTGGAGATCAAGCAGACCTCATCCTCTCGCTATCACATATTCCTTCGTTTGCAACTGTCTTCAAGATGAAGTACGCCATCGTCGCAGCTTTGATTCTTCAAAGTACTACCGTTCTCGGTAGCCTTTTGCCTGTTTACTTCAAGGCCCCGTCACCAGCACACTTCCTTGACGTTGTCAACAATGGAACCTACGATCTTGGCTGCAGGCCCAAGGCGGTCCCAACCGAGCAGGGTCACTTTGAGCTCCACGCGTACCTGACCGAGGAGCAAATCGCGCATCTGACCAAGGAGTATGAGAATTCGTCGGATATCAGCCTGCATCGCCGCGATCTCAGCAAGCGACAGGGTGGTAATGCACCCATCGGCTCTGGTGACCGCTGGCAGGGAGGTGCTATCGCACCATCTGGTCTCGGCACTAAGGCTGCCGGCTCGACCATTAGTAGCATCATGAACGTCAACGAGATCAACTCGGCAATCAAGGGTCTCGCCAGCGCATACAGCATGCCCACCATCACTCTACCATACAAGACATTCAACGGTGCCACCCAGACCGCTGCATACGTCGGTGCTGGTACAGACAAGTCCGCCTACCGCCTGTACCTTAGCGCTGGTATGCACGCACGTGAACGTGGAGGTCCCGATCAGCTCATCTACTGGATCTCCGACCTTCTCGCTGCCAACAAGGCTGGAACTGGGCTCAAGTACGGCAGCAAGTCCTACACCAACGCCCAGGTCAAGACCGTCCTCGCTGCCGGTATCGTCTTCTTCCCCCTCGTCAACCCAGACGGTGTCGCATACGACCAGTCCACTGGCTCCCTATGGCGCAAGAACCGCAACACCCGTTCCGGTAGCAGCGGCTCCTCGGTTGGCGTGGACATCAACCGCAACTTTGATTTCCTCTGGAACTTCAGGAAGTACTTTGATCCGTCCACCTCCCCTGCATCCACTTCGCCCAGCTCGGAAGCATTCTACGGCTCGGCTGCAGCATCCGAGTCGGAGACAAAGAACCATGTCAGCGTCTATGACAGCTTCCCCAACATCAGATGGTTCATGGACATTCACTCGGCAACTGGCGATATCCTTTACAACTGGGGTGACGATGAGACCCAGAGCACCTCCACTACCATGAACTTCCTCAACACCGCATATGACGGAAAGAGGGGTCGTCTTGGTGACTCTACATACAAGGAGTACATGCCCTCGACCGACGTAACGAACATCAAGAACATCGCTGCCAAGACTGCTACTGCGAGTGAGTACCACTGATTACCACACTTCCACGGACCCCGTACTAATACCATGACCAGTGCGCGCAGTAGGCGGTCGTTCCTACAGCTCCATGCAATCCGTCGGTCTCTACGCCACCTCCGGCGCTTCCGACGACTACGCCGCCAGCCGAGTTTACGCAAAGTCAGGAGCCAAGAAGGTCAACGGATGTAAGCACCTCAGAAATTGCTATATATCAATATATCATACTGACTTCGATGCCAGTCACCATGGAGTTCGGATATGCCACTAACTTCTACCCCACATTATCCGAGTTCAACAGTAATATCCTCGACACCAACGCTGGATTCATGGACTGGGCGCTCGCAGCCATTGCCGCCGGATACAACTAAAGCGATTATGAGATGATGAATGAGACGAAATGAGAGATGTTGTATATATTAGTACCTTTTCTATCGATCCTATAGGGCGGCGTTATCGAAGAGATGAGAGGGGGATATATCCTTTGCATAGTGGGCATATTTCCGAGACAACAAAATACCATTTATCCATTAATCTAACACAAATGGAGTGCTCTGCGATCACAAAGTTGGGGCGTCATAGTAGTTGTTTAAAGTCGTTTAGGTGCGGCAGTTTTAGCCACCTGCCTCGCTGAACTACGGTATACCAGAGTCAGTACCATATTCGAGCGCACAACAACCACAACCCTCCAAAAACATATCCTCAAACCAAACCACCATTCGAAAATCTTCAATGACATACTCTAATCCCTCCGCTAAAATAATCCTCCGTCATATACCCTCCCAGCACAGCCACACGCGTCCCCCCTGCCCATAACAACCCGCAAACATCCATGCCATCCACTTCCACCCCAGTCCCAACCACACTTCTAGACCCATCCCATCCCTCCACCCAAAAGCAAAGAAAAGGGTACCCATACTAGTCCCAAAATCTAGCGTGTTTCACCACCCAGCCCAGCGAACGGACATCCACCACCCCATTCGTTCCCTCTCGCCCGCGCCCGCCCGCGACAAAAAAGCAACTGGACTCTCAGGTTAGAGCCTGTTTCCTTGTCGGGAAAGATGTTACTCGCTCTGAGGTTTAGACGTCGGGAGGGGGGAAATTTCCGGGGGAAAGGAGCGGAGGGGTGTTCATGCATATGTGCGGTAGGCGGACAAATTTGACGTGATGTGACAGGTTTGCTAGCGCTGTTGCTATGGTAATTCCGGTGGAGGAGAGCTAGGTAGGTGGTGTGGCGGCGAATGAAATGGGGTAGGTGAGGGTTCTAGAAGGGGGAGTGTGAGTGAGGTTGTTTCGGGGGGCGTTCTTGGTGTTGGTCACTTTTTTTTTCCAAATGGGAGATGGGAAGTGTTGTTTCAAGCAACTGCATGGGCTGGACTGTGTGTGGTGTTTTAGATTTCTTGTTGTGAGAGGTGGTAGGTGGATAGACTGCATGATGGCCATTTCGGGTAGATCCCGCTTCTGGGCGCGTGGGCCGAGCATACGGAGATTATAAGGCTTCCGGGCCTTAGTATGCGAAGGGTTCTGGCCGGAGGATCTTTCTGTAACCTAGTGTGCTTGCATGGGACGAGGGTATTTGGTGCGGAGATTTGGGGGATATCAGATGAAGTCCTTGGCTGGCAGTGCCAATTCATGT